TTATTTTTTTAATATTCAACACAGTTTTCGAGTTATTGAGCGTCAAAGTTAGCTACCGAGCATTTCCCGAGCACGGACGAGTTTGCCCGAGCCTTCCGCATAATCGTGACGTCACAAACACCATGTTCACATCACTTGAACAACACGGCAGTCTGGAGGGTGGTACTTTCATGACTTTGCGGATGAGCATCGATACATTAATTGAGTAAGTTTTGACTCCATTTCGACAATCTGATAGGAAAACAGATCATGACTCCTTTACAAACCGTTCATAATAAGATTTGCAAGAATATCGTATTATTCAACGCCTTTGAGGCCCTTCCTCCATCTTGCAGGACCCAGTGTGTGGCGGGCCAACATATCGAATAATGGTAGCGATGAAAATATTGGCAGGATTTTTTATTTTCTGGAAACCTAAGTAAAATACTTTTATTTTGTTAAATACGGCTGCTATTTGACTTATTTATCAGGGCTTCCCTCCTCCCCCCAAAAGTTAATCTCGGTCTTTGATCCTGGTTAACTTCAATATTCGCAGTAAAGGTTTCGAATTAACGTCACTCATTTTCGGCATATTTTTTATTCAATCACATGAAAGATTTTCAGGGGTTAAGCACCTGGTACGATCGCTTCGCTATTTGCAGGATAACAACTTAGTAAAATTTTCAACTCCCAGGCCGCTGCCCTCCTGTAACTCGAGTGAACCGATGAGTTTGCAAACCCTAAATAAAATAACGTTCATGATTTATATGGATGTATATCGAAGTAACAATATATTGAATTTATTCGAAAAAGAAGCTAGATTCATGATAAAATGAATAGATTCTTACATTCGTCCGCATGATTGACTTCAGAATTGAGAATTTCTTCGAGCAGCTAAAAGTGCCTATTCCTTCCAAAGATAAATTCCCTCCTAATATAACGCAGTACCAGCCAGCATATATCCTTCGTACATTTCATTAGCCTCGAATTTTCATGAATCTTGGATCAAAGGCTACGTATATCTCCTCGAATAGTAACTGAACAAGATGAACTGAACTGTCCAGTCCATGCGTGATTTCCATTCAAGGAATCAAAACATGGTGTTTGTGACGTCACACGCACTGGGTGACATGAAATGCCGACAATGGTCGAGCACTCGACGATAATTTCATGACATTTAGAGCGGAATTGCGTCAAAACGGACAATTATAATTAACCGAAAACTTGAAATTAAGATTCCATGCATCGTTTTCTGCATAATATCAAAAAATAGTTTTGCGTGTCAGTTCACCTTTAACACTTACGGGTACAACCTCTAACATTGTAAAACAGAAATGTATCCAAAATCTGCATAACACGGCCTTAGAATTGCATTTTTTAAAGGAAAGGGTTCTATCTAGCATTTATTTTTAACATTTTCTCTGCCTGTAAATGTAGTTGTTTTCATTTATCTCAAAGTAGTGTGGTAGCTAAGGGCTCTGAAACGATGATCTTGCGCACATTGTGATAAAAGCATGAAAATCTGCACAACTAAACAGATTGATATGCTTTATAAGTTGGGATCGGGACCAAGACTGTGAAATGCCCCTAAATGCTATTTTTAGAATGCTTAATTGTTCCCAGACTCCTAAACTGATTATCTCTATAACTTTGTTGAAAACGAAATCAAACACATGAAAATTAGTATATATGCTAATCATAACACGGTAATGTGATTTAGATTCACAACCATCATCAAAATGCTCCCAAATGCTATTTTTAGACCATGTACTCGTTCCCAGACCTCAAACACGCTTATCTCTACAATTCCGCTAAAATAAAATCAATAGCAAGCAACTTGATTTAGATACTAATTATAGCACACTAAAAGATTTTGGTTCGACACGCATCTTAAAAATGCCCAAAAATGCTATTTTTAGAATGCCTGTTCCCAGACTTCTAAATTTATTTTCTTTTTAAGTTTATTGAAAACCAAATAAATGACATGAAAATTAGTATAAATGCTAATCATAACACGGTTATGTGACTTAGATTCACAACCATCATCAAAATGCTATTTTTGGGCCATGTACTCGTTCCCAGACCTCTAACACGCTAATCTCTACAATTTCTCTAAAAATGAAATCAATAACAAGCAACTTGATTTAGATACTAATGATAACAATGCCAAACAGTTTGATCAGCAAGATCTACCGGGGCTTTTCCAGCTCATGCTACTCACGTTTGGTGTTCCTTTGGTAATTGCATAGTTCTGTTATCGACTCCTTTGGTAATTGCATAGTTCTGTTATCGACTCCTTTGGTAATTGCATAGTTCTGTTATTGACTCCTTTTGGTAATTGCTTAGATCTTTTAATGGCTACTTTGGCACCTCTTGTCTAAGGTTTTTGATTTTGTCTAGCAGAAAACTTCTTCATCAGAAAACACCATATGTAATGGTTTGTAACGCACTATTGTTAGGTGGATTGGCAGCATTATCTCTGATAGGTCTAATGCCATGATTTCGATCCAATGAACCTCGATCTGCTCCTGAATGCAAAGTCCTTGACGGCTAGCACTAATTACATGCTTGAAGAATTAACCTCTACAAGGGAAAGACTTTAATGTCTGTCCCACATTCTTTGCTGTCCTTTGTCTCTTTGTGGATGATCTTAATTGCGCTCCTTTGCAATCGTTCATATTTGCTATGCAGTAGGCTTCTCTCGACCAGCAAACGATTCAACTGTATCAAAAACGGATGGTGCATACCGAAACATGGAATACAGTATCTTGCGATGCCTGAAAGAATATGTTGGATCGGTATTTCTTTTATTTTTTTTTCCAGTAGCCATTTCTACCCAATTCTTTTCGATATTTAAGCATGTAAATTTAGCAATTACGATAAAAACAAAATCTACCAAAAACTGGCTTGTATCTACCTCCTCGTGATTGCAAAGAATAATAATAATAGAAATATTTATACAGGGTAAAACCTTTTCAGTGCCAAAGGCACTGTTATCAATAAGGGCCCTGTTCTATAAAAAATTAATTACATGGTTAAAAATGAAAAGTAATTACAAGCTAAAAATGAAAAGTTAAAAAATGAAAGTAATAAAGGGTAAAAATCGTTTTTAGTGGATATGAAGTAAATTAGTTGCTGAGGAAATGTTCTTTTAATCGATTCTTGAATTGAACAATCGATGTTAATTGGCGGATGTCAATTGGGATGTCGTTGAAGCACAAAGGGCCTTGGAAACGAAATTACTTTTCTGCAGCCTCCGTCCTGACCTTTGGAAGGCGGAGGGTGGATGAACTTCCACTCGTGTTATAATTGTGGTCCACTTTCTGGATATATGATGCAAGATTTGGGATGGCAGTTTCTTGCAGGCATTTAAAGATCTGTATCGCTGCCTTGAATTTATTATGATCTTGAATGCTCATGAGCCCACATTCTTTGCTGTCCTTTGGCTCTTTGTGGATGATCTTTGGCTCATTGTCAAATCGTTTATATGGATCAAAAATAACAAAGGTCCAAGAATTGAGCCTTGGGGTACTCCATAATTAACAACTCGAGATTCGGATATCACAGTGCCGAACTGGACAAACTGAAAACGGTTTGATAGATAACTTTTTATCCACGCAAGCTCAGTGTCCTTGATGCCATAGAAAGGAAGCTTTGATAGAAGTATAGAGTGTTCAACCGTGTCGAAGGCTTTTTGCAAGTCAATGAACACTGCACCAGTCAGCTTGCCTTGATCCATAGCCTGGCGGATATTATCTGTGAACAACGTCACTGCAAGTTAGGTGTTATACCTTTTTCTGAATCCAAACTGACATGTTGTTATGAGATTATTGTCTTCCAAGTACTTAGATAATTCTTGGCAGTACTGAAATTGGACGATAATTTTCAACAGAGGTTTTAACGCCAGATTTAAAGGGTGGAATAACTTTTGCGATCTTTATTTTGCCAGGGACAATAGATGTCTTAAGTGATAGATTTATTATATGAGCTAGGGGTTCTCCTATTACAGTTGCGCCATCCTTTAAAAATCTTGGAGGAAAATTATATTGACCTGGACCTTTTGATGGATTTAACTTAGCAAGGGCCCTTGTTACTCGTTCCTTTGAGACTGATTGAAGCTTGAAGTTAGTGTTTGCATGGCCTAGACCATTGTCATTTTGCTAGACAAAATTTCGCTGTAAACTACCGCACAATTTTTCAGCACAAGTTGCAAAATATTTACAAAATTTGGAGGCTATGCTTTGTTCTTTAGTTTCGAATTTGTCATCACTTTCAAGTGTTGACAGAATAGATGATGTCTTTTCTTTGAATGGATACAGCTTTTTAACAAGGTTCCAAAACTGTTTAGGATTTTTTGCATTTTCCTCCAGCATATTTTTGTTGTACTCAGCTTTACTTTTCTCAATACTTGTGTTCACTTAACTATCTATCTTTCCCAGCGCGAAATCATTTGGGATCAAAGCTAATTTGATCGGGGTGTTAATCGTACTTTCAAATAAGTATTTTATACAAGATTGGTTTTACACAAACCATTCAGTTGGTTTTTAGCGACATCCCAGAGAATAACTCTTTAAAGATCTGGGAACTATTACACATTCTAAAAACAGCATTCGGGTAGCATTTTGAAGATGGAAGTCAATTTAAATCCTTTACGTGTGAAAATCCAATCGTTCTAAATTTTTGTTTGTTATGGTTAGTATTCTTGCTAACTTTCATGTCATTGATTTTATTTTCAACAAAGTTATAGAGAAAATCAATATATGCGTGTCGAACGCATTTTGAAGATGCGTGTCGAACCAAATTCTTTTGGTGTGCTACAATTAGTATCTAAATTTAGTTGCTTGCTATTGATTTTATTTTTAGCGGAGTTGTAGAGATAAGCGTGCTAGAGGTCTGGGAACAAGTACATGGTCTAAAAATAGCATTGGGGGCATTTTGACGATGGGTGTGAATCTAAATCACATAACCGTGCTATGATAAGTATCTATATCAATTTTCATGTCTTTGATTTCATTTTAAATAAAGGTAATCAATTTAGGAGTCTGGAAACAATTAAGTATTCCAAAAATAGCATTTGGGGACATAGCATTGTGCAGATTTTCATGCTTTTATCACAATGTGCGCTTTCATTCTGCTTATCTCCTACACTAAAGTTTATACCTCTAATTTTGCGTACCAAACCACTTTGTTGATTCATTATACCAATAATGCCGTATTTCGTCCAGGTGAAGAGCCACCCTGTAGAGATACTGGTTTCGATGTCATTGTATTATAAGTAATGTCTTTCTTCAATGAAAGGTTCCCAGAAAACTTTGTTTGTCGCTGCTACTATACACCAGTTATGTTGGCAAGTTTGGCTTCAGTAGTGCAGCGGAAGCTTTTCAAAAATCATCAAGCGACAAGTGAATATATGTCTTGCTAAATAGACAGGAAATTTTGCTAACCGAGACTTCAGTTGCGAGAAAAATGTACGATCAGCACAATTTTAACATTTATATTTTTGTCAAATTTGATAATGCCATCGGGAAAAGTGCAAAACTGCAAAGTAAATATAATTTCAATGTGTTCTGGTCTATGTGAAAAAAGTTTAAAACTTGTTTTCCCGTGACTTTCTGCCGATACGTCATAGCATTTCTTTTAATCGATCGATAAAACAATCGCAAATATCTTACGGTTAAACTAAATGTAACAAGACTGTAATAATTTACCAAACCCAAGCCTGACAGCAATCAGATTGCACTGATGACACTTATCGACACATGGTTGTTACAACTCTTTCGGCGGAGATGGTAACGACGAATTTATAAGCGAAAGCTCAAGAGTTAAACAATTTCCAAATGAATTCACACAAGCAGCTGGAATAGATGAATTTTTAGCCCCTTAAAATTCATAGGTCATTCGCATCAACGTAAAACAATTTCTTTAAACTAATCGCCATATCCTGCAAAGGTAACAGTTAAACAACTTCATCTTTGTATTTCGCTGCAAAACTTCATCAAAGACACAGTTTAACGAGTTTAAGCAGTGAATAAAATTTATCCTTGACATTGACTACTATCTTGTAAAGTGATAATTTGTCAATCTTGTTTTTAACATTGTTTTGAATCTGCCTAAGCACACTCTCACTCACTATGCTTCATAACTGATTTTTGAGCAGCTATAAGTTGCAATTTTTATTTCCTTAACGATAAAGAACGTTGAGTTTTTGTTGAAAAGTCTAAGTCAATCCATGCAGATAGTTTTTTTCATAAATTGCTCTATGCTGGCAAACGTCACGCAAAATTTACATCCAAATATATGAGAAGTTTGTAGAATAATTTGCGGTGTTAAAATTAAAATGGAAGGAACAGAATGCTGGAAAAAATGGAACAAAAATAGGAAAAATTATTTCAAACAAAACTGCCACTCAAAGAGAACAGCCTCCTCGATCTTGTAGGTCTAAAAACACTGTTAAAACAAGTGATTCTGCCATCGGTCAACCTCTTTTAAACAACCCAGATTGCAAAACTCTTTAATGACGACATGTTTCGGATAATTGGCAGAGCCTGGTCGTCCTTCCATCTAGCAGTTTTGGAGGTCGATCTACATACAAACGAAAAAGCCGACATTGTGTAGACAGAAGGACTCCAGTGGTAATTTTTCTTTAGGCTCGCGGCACTGATTGGTCAACTATACCGGTCTTGTGCTTGCGTTTTTCTGATTGGCCTATTTCGATCCACAACTGGGTATATATTTTTCATCGTGTTCTTTCGGACCCTGATTCTGACGTTTTATGCTCTGAGGAGTGTCAGACGAAAAAGCTTTTAGTATGTTGTAAAATGTTTGCTTTTTTCAAAGCCATTTTCAAATTCTGTACCGCAAAAAAAATTGTTCTTATTTCAATCATAGTAAAATAATAACGAACAATTTCTACTAGCAATATCGGTTCCACTTATTACATACTAGTTCCCATTTGACATTGGCTAGGTTCAATAGTTTAACGTTTAAAGAAAAGCTGTGGTTGATTTTGTGTAGCGGCTTTAGACGTATACAAATGAGCATGTACTAAAAGCTTTCTTTTGGAGTGACAACTATGAGGCCTTTGAAGAGCACAAGGAAGTTGAAAATTGCTCATGTTTGGGAATTTCTGTCCATCGATTGCATTTCATGTTCTTCTCGTAATATATATTGAATTTGTGAATTTTAAAAATTTGCGTTTTTCAGCTGGAATAAGGGATTGATGTCATGACAGAACTATTAAATGAAGATGTTACATATTTATCTGCGAAACTACAAGAAATGTGACTCGGTTAGGAAATACACTCAGTTCCTAACGCATGTTCTTCAATTTAATTAGAATTTTGATTAAATCAACACAAGCAAGCAACTTCGCCAATAGAGATTTTTAAAGTTAAGTCACAGGAACAGTGACCGCAAGCCACGTTTCCGGAAGCGTGGAAAATACACGATCGGCAAAGTTGAACTTTTAATTTCTTTCAAATCTGATGATATCATCGGAAAGAGCTTGCCAAACTAATTAGAAAATATTAAAACATAGATGCGAACTGATCTATATGCAAAAAGTTCGAAACTTTGTTTTGTCATAGTTTATACCTATAGGTCATAACGTTTTTTTAATCGATCGATAAAACGATCGCAAATATCTTACGGTTAGACTAAATATATTGTGATAATATTGTAATGATTTCTTCAACACAGTAACAAAATTTGATCATTTAAGCAGCGCTCACAAGAACCTACAATGTTGATGAAATAAATGCTAACCAAACGTCCAAAGATTGTCTTCACTTCAAAGTTTCTTTTCATCTCAAACTGAGATGTATTAATAAGTCTTCCTTAGCAAAACTTGTCTCTTACATTCTGAAGGTAATCCTGGTCAAGAGTCATCTTGAAGAAGTACCTGGAGTTAGGGCACTTGCTCAGCAAACAAAGAAATATGTAAAAATATGTAAAAACTGTCAAAAGGTGTTTGGCTCGAGCGGAGAAGATTGTTTTGGCTTTCCCTCCACGACACAGGCTACCAAGTAGCTCCACTATGATGAAAAATAAACACATCAAGTGCAAAAAATTATACTTGTGCTGTCCTCTTTCTGCAACTCTTTAGAATATTTAGCAGGTAAAAAAGTTTGAGCTACACTTAACATTCAAGTGAATGACTATTTTCTTCAGCACCATTTAACTCCAGTTTGCTTTGATAAGCAATACGGAATAGTATTCCACTTAACTTGGTTCAGAAAAAGCCCTGATATTGTTATTGTTGTTTGAAGGCTGCGCATTAAACAAAACATTTCGTGTCTTATCGAATCTCACATAAACAGGTATTAATAAGGGCATTTTCTTGATGCCAATAAATCAGATAGTGAATCGTCAATGTAGTGGAGCCTTAAAATGTGAAGATAGAGTGTGTTGTTTAATCAAATATGCGGTGACTTTTGACGAAGAGAATTGGACAACAGTTACGCTTATGCAAAATTCCGATTGATCTAAAAACTTCATCAAGAAAACCAGCTTCTGGTTGCTGTATTTATGAGTCCATATATGGATGTGATGACGTATAATTCATGAATATATATTAGTAAGTTTATTATACTTGCATAGTTTAGAACCTGTTTGGTCATAAAAGCTCGCACCGATCACAAGTCTGCCTTATTCTTTCAGAGCAAGAGTTGTGGTTAAACGGTAAGGGCTTCTGATTATATATAATTTATATTCCAACAACTTTTCGCACAACAATTGTATTCATCATGTAGAAATTAAGTAGATGAATTTTCAAATATCTCAATGTTCGTCACATTTTCCAAGTTGATCTTCTACAACCAAGCGCTTTACATTCTCAACAAAATTAATGCGTTCCTATAACTGTATTGTGTATTTGATGGTGGACAACTTATTTCAATTTAGAGTAAGTAACTTGATCTGCTAAATGAAAATTATGATTTCTTTTTTTTTCGTTGATATTTGGTCGCGACAATATTATATTGAAATATTCTTATCATTCAAACTTTTTAAGTGCGTACTGACTTTTTTACTCGTTTGAGTGAGTTATTCTTCAAGCAAGCATTTATAAGCGATTCTGTAAAAAGAATTCTTTCCAGAGTAATTTAATTCGGTTGATACCGCTTTTGAGTTAGAATTACTTTCTTAAGTTAAAATTACTTAAATTAGAATTAATAACAATGGCGGGTAGCAGAATTTTCGAGCTCCTAACTATGGTAAAGGGCTTCTTAGGAACTTTTGGAGTCGTCAGAACAGGGTAACGTTTATGTTTAAAGGTTGATGACATTTCGATTGAGCTAGCGTTTTCAATTCACTTGTGTCTTACATGCTGTAGAACTAACACAAAGTTGAATCTGAAACATCAAACATACGTTTGAACAGAAAACCTTCGGTTGAAATCGTGAAACATACATTTGCGGAACCAAATCTATGTTTGACCTGTTTGACCAAGCGCAACAAATAATTTACATCTTGAATTTGTGAAACATAGATAAAATAACAAAAAGATTGTTGTCTTCAAAAGTTCATTAGCAAAATTTCTCGTTTGACCGAATCTCCAACTGTCATTTTAAACATTCTTTATTCAGTTCTGTGTGCTCCAAGGCTGCAAGTTTCCTTACATTTCACTGTTAAGCTCTACAGAAGATGAAAATATTTGTGTTTTGAATATTTCTGTGTTTTTTACTAGTAATATTTCTATGCTTTTAATTAGTCTCGTTTTGTTTAACAACGTTTCGCGCTTCTTTTAACTAACCTGGCTTTAAAGATTGTCATACAACAATCTAAGAAAAGAAGATTTCTAGTAAAATTTCATTCATAGCATTGCAAGATAATGAAAGAGAATTTTTGAAACCTTAACTTTAAACGACTTCTCCTTGAGTTTGCGATTAGCATGTGCTCCTAAGACTAAGCTAAAACAAAGCATTTGATTGATTGGTTTTCTCACTAAATGACATACGCGATCTATTATCCTTTCGGAATACCATATAGTTGCAGGCACTAAGCTCACGACATGATTATCAACCGTACGTTAATCACTTAGAAGAGTGGGCTTGTTATCCACTGGTCACAACCACGAATTTGACAGATGGCTGACTCTGCTCAACTGCGCAGCATCTTTTTGTGTGCATAGAATTGAGAACATTATGTAATGTTTTGCGGGAAGCGCATAAATGTTTTCGAGGTCGCTGTATTTTCCCTGGGGGGAGGGGGACTATGTAACCGTTAGTATTCCTAACGCATTTATTCCATTATAAGACACAGCAAATGAGGTGTTTGAAAATGAAAGCTCCCTTGATTTCAAGCTGCACCAACTAAACCACGCAGAGATACTTGATTTAAGATGACAGATCAACAACTGATAAAAATCTGATTTTGCATATGAACAAAATAAAACATTCCAATAGTCAAGATGACAGATCATCAATATCGTCCAGAAGTATTTCTCCCTCATCTTCTACAGTATCACCCTCATTTCCTAGGTAGCAGGAAAGCTTGGCAAGACTTGGGTAAAACAATGTAAGCCGCCCTTGTTTATAAACCTTATAGAAAGATTAACTATCAATAACAGAGTAATGTGAGTACAGTCAACTTAGTGTAATTCGAACTGTCTTGCGGATCTTTAGAGTGTTCGAATTGCAAATGTTTAAAAAACCGGATTTTGCCTATAATCACAACGTACACGGCATTCGTAAACAAAAAAACGTTTTTGTTAACTTGTTTGGTATTTCAATAATAACGCAACTAAAAAATAGACAATGTCGCTGGCTTTTCAGAGATCGGCACGTGGCAGGCCAAGATTCCTTAAGCTAAGTCGTTTCATCTCCCCAATTTAAAGACAATGACTTAAATGATCATCAAAAATTACAAGAAAGTTGATTTTAAGACGATATTATTAAATGAAGTACTTATATCATAAGGCTCTTTCTTCAAATTCGCAGAAATTCGTAGATAATCAAAGAGATTCGAATTTAAGAGTTTCTCAAATGTTTGTTAAGTGATATTAAAGGGACCTGAAAGTTTGAATTAGAGAACGACTACTTTCGCCAATGTTGTACCAGTATTCTTTGTACACAGCGACAGAATTCGTATCTTTAAACATCCCAGTTATTAGTCAACGTAGAGAAAACAAGCATTGCATAACTTTGCAGTTTTATAAGTTTTTGATGCAGAAAAGCAAATGTTATCGCAAAACATACTTGTGCAGCTGTTCTCATTATTTTTTATCGTACCAGAAATATGTGTAAGCAAAAGTCCAATTCAAATTAATTCTTCTAAATTGTATGTCGCACTAAGAACTTGTTTGGATGACCGGATAAATGATTGAAACTTCTAATCTAATTGCAGGCAGGTGTTATTTACCAATTAAAATTAAACTGAGCGATATCTTCTATTGCAAAACATGAATTGAGAATGCAAGCCGAAAACTTTGTGATTTTCTTTTGATTCCAGGCAGGTTAAAAAGCTATGTTTCTTTAGTTATGTGTAGGTGATGATGCTTCAGTTAAAGATGTTATGTCATAATGAGTTTTGGTGGTCACCTAAATCTAATTGGCTGCATTTCATAAGAAGCTTTTGCTACATCTTCAAAGCGGGAATAATTCCCAAAGTATTTTAAAAAATAAATGACATCCCGGGCATGGTGCCTTCGAAAACCCTTTAAAAATATATAAGAAGGTTTTGTCGAGTTAGGTTACCCACAAATTGCGGAAAATTTTTTTTAATTCATGGCGACAAAAAGCTAACACAAGTTTACAGGTGAATCAGAGTATACCGACTGATTACCAGATTAACTTTTTCCCTTTTGACAGAAGTGTCATGAAGTTCATTTCATTTCTGAACCATTCGCAAAACAGCTAGATTCTCGAATTGATTCTCGGGTGTTGGAATTGTTATTGAAGAACCTTTGTTTGTATTAAACTACGAACTTGTAGCTTAACGCCTTTATTAAGGCAATATTTAACTGAAGCTTATAAATTTGCTAAAAGAAGGTTTTTGGAAACTATTGTGAGGATGAACAGTGGTCGAATAAATATTGATTTTCGTCACACTTGGGGTGGAAAACTTATTTTTCTATCGCAAGAAACTCATTTGCCTCTTCATTAATGGCATTATCTTTGAATAAAATTTGACATCAGTAGCAAATGATTTAATGCAAGTTATAGAGATCATTTCAAAATAAATATGAACGTAAAAACATTTCAAACTTCGATATCTCGATCCTAAGCAATGGAAATTACCTGTCTGTCTTACAGTGCTCGACTCGACGTAAATGGGTTGCCGGAGGATCATATTAATTAAAACTTAGAGCCACCTGCTCTACACACCAAAGCGTCAATCTTCAAAGTATTCCCAACTCTGCATGGCTCAAGTATTAATGTGCTTGGATAGCAACCTAGGCGAAGCTAGATTTGGTCTTTAGTTTTGCAATGGGCAGTAATAATAAAGCACAAAACTCTCATTTCTTTATCTGTATCCAAATGGCATTTGAAGGTTTTCTTCTCCAAGAATTATGAAAAAAAACACGTGACCGTCGTTTTATCACTTATAGGTCATTTCTTAATGTTGACTGGACTCGGGTTAGATTCACAACAAATTTGATTCAAATGAAGCTCAACTAAATTTTCACCCAACTCTCGATAAGAATTTTCTAAACCGGGTTCACCTCAAGCTGAACAAATAAACACGACTTGCATTCACGCTACGAAGGTCCAAATCTGGATTATTTCAGCCGCTGCTAGCTTACATTGTTTGAACAGGCCTATGGGAAAAATAACTATATTGAAACAGATTGAATTGGCTTATTGCCAGTTGCACACAGTATTTACTGTGCGGATATAACAGCATGATCATGAAACCAACTGCCTATTTGTAATTAAGTGGCCAAATGTGCATAAATGTATTGCGAAAGCTTAATTTCTTTGTAGCAAAGACAGTATCCACCACTATCAATCCTGAGAAACAAATTAGGATCATACTTTCAATTTGATACAGTGCTTTGAGCGTGTTGTTCATGTGTGAAAATCTATAGCTGTATTTTTTTGTTTCCATCTTTCTTAGCTAAGCCGGCTGAGGCTTAACAGATTTTAAATTAAGAATATGTGCAAAATAGACAGTGCTATCTAAGAAAGAATAATCTACTATTCTTGAAAGGTTTCCCAACACGCGTTCTTAAAAGCATTAGATTGCCAAACAAGAATCCAATTCAAAAAGAATTTTTAAAACCCAAATTTTGAAACATATTTGTCACTAAAACTTCTTGAACAAAGAATGCTTTGAAAATAGTATTATCTGAGCTAGAAACCGAAATCTAATGAAATGAAATGAAATGAAGTGAAATAAATGAAATGAAAAAGAATTGAATGAAATCAAACTGTTTCGACTCAAAATAAAAATGACTCAAAATTTCAATTCTCAATCCTCATTGCGCGTAGTTTCAACCAGCTTTGAAATGTAGCTGCACCTTCTCGATTGATGGTGCAGTTTGTTTCAAAGTTTTATAATGTCTGCGAAAGTTAAAAATTGAATATAGAGTAGCCTCGTAGAAGATACTTAATTTAGAATTTAAAGTAAATATTTTCACTACAGTTGATGCTTGAAAAAGTCCTCAATAATGAGTAAGATTTGTCATGTTGGAAATACATTTGAAAACGTCAGTTAGTCGTCAATTCTACGTTTAGTTTGCAGATCATTTTACATTGGTCATTTGAAACCTGAAAAGCAAGAATAGAAGGTTAGCCTCTCTATTTCTATCTTATAAAATAGTTAAAGCTTTAATCCGCAGTCATCAGTAAAGAATAGTCTTTAGGAATATCGTTCATAATTTTTCATTGCAATATGGCGGTCAAATATTGCATTTATTTGTTTTTTGGGAATTGTTATCAAAATATTGGACTATTAACTGCCCTTTTTCTGTTTTTTTTAATGAATAAGAATAATAACTTTCAGATAATAAAAAGATACTTCAAATCATTTTTAGGTTTATTTGTAGCTGTTGTAGTCTATTAGAGTGTGGGATTCCCCAACAATGAGCTTGATAATTTCTGTCAGGATTCCCCAATAGCAGTATTGAAAAGGTTGTTAAGCAGCTAATCTGAAAATAGAGGTGTCCTACTTTTTAAAAGAATATCAGCTAGGTTGTTCTGATATTTTCTGTAGATTTGAATACACAATTATTAGAACTTCATAATATATCATTTGCTGTTTAATTTTAACTGCTCTGCTGTTTAATGATATTCGTTCGTTGGTGGTGTCCATGGTTACCTTGTTGGCCTGTTCAAACATCTTGTGATCCATGTCATCCAGAACGTAATGGCAAATAGCTAGTTCTTATTTTGTTGGACTTGTTATCTGTTCTTGATTAAAAGAAGAATCTGTGAAGTCGTTTGAGATGAAATATTTGTGATTTATTTGCCAGTGATGCAAAACGATTAATGCAATTAAATACTTACGTTAATGCAAAACGAGATTGAAAGCTGTTCAATTTGAAGTAAAGAAGGAAGGTACGCGGGGTAGGCTGTCCACCGGATTCCGTGAGTCGTGCAATGAATGATTTCAAATGCTCAATATATTATGGAACAAAATATTAAAATAAATACCATGTACAGCTAATGTTTCGTCACCTCATACAGGGCTTCATCTGTTACACTGACTGTAATGAAACCCGGTATGCCGAAGTGAAATGTTACCTTTACGTTTAAACTATCTTAAAATTCTGTTTTACAATTTATAGGATTCTCGTCATCATTTCGCTTTGTTCCTCCTTCGTACAGACAGAGCTGTCATCGTTAGATTTTAAATATTTAAATTATAAGGTCTTAGCTTTTTAATATCTACGATGTTGAGTTTCGGTAATCTATTCGATTTTTGTTTGGTTGACAAGATAATTACTGGTTGCATTAGACTAAAATATATGGAAATAAAATTTGAGATTTTTACGCATTCTTGATAGAAGCGATTCCTAGCTACCATCTAGTCGAAGCTCGCAAATTTCCCTGCCTGTTCGTAAAGTGGCGTTATTGCACTTTACAAGTTCTTGTTCATTGCATATTTTTTGTTTCAATCATATTCAAGTATTAATAGTATTTATTCGTCGATTCAATCAAGAAGAGAAGAAAAGAGCCTTTGTTTGTACATGTTTTATTTTGCGATTATTTAATACATCAGGCATTTAATATTATTTGAACAACGAGAAATATACACATAGCTTTCCAGATTTCCAAAACCTAGTATTTACAGGTCATTTCCAGGGAAGGTGAATATATTATCTTGAAAGACTTGTATCCTATGTTTTTTTAATTATTTGTTTCCTTGAAAGACTATGTTTTTTTAATTAGACAAAGTTTCCGAATGGTCACAAATATAGTATTAGATATGTTTACAAGGAATGAATAATTGATCAATGGGTAGTTAAATTTCAATGCCAATTTACGAGTTTAGCTAGTTGAGGATTTGAGATATTGTCTGAAATATATACTTATGTTAACGGTGGTAAAATTATGTGTCAAAAGATCTTATTGTCGCTGACCTGATATGTCTTTTCAAAGCAAAAGTTTTTAAAAAAAAATTAAAGTTGTTTGTCATTGGTATAAACGCCTTTGAAAAATAACAACTATCTTCTTTTCATCAATGATGAATGAGGTGGAAGGAAAACAAACCAAAGCGTATATTTGGATAAATAATTATGTATTTAACGAAAATTCAGACGTTTCGCCTTCAAGTTGTAATTCATTTTTCTCGTTTACAATAAATTTTGACAGAGAAAATCAACCACCAGCTGTCATTCGTGGCATTTATAGAATATTGTTTTCTTCGTTTGAAGGTCTTTTTTGACATTGATAGTTCCAAGATCTTTTTGCAGGATCCAATGGTAGAACAGAATTTTATTTATTTATGTAAATTTTGAATTGGTTATCCTGTAAAAACATTCGTAATAATAAAAATGGAAAGATTTCATTTTCAATTCAACTTAAACTACAACTACAAATCTCACTATTACAAGGTAATTTGCAATTGGCTAGCCTGGTTTTACAAGAAAAAACTATAACAACCGTAAGGTAAAAGGAAAAACTGAGAAAAATAAAATAAAACAACTAAAGTTGAAAAGGATGTAATTCCGGATTTGTCCATGGCTTATTTTTGCAACAAAATATGTAGTACGTAGTACGGATGGCAATGTTGGAAAGTTTAGAAATGAGATACTGTTTTTGTTGCTGATCGATGAAGAGAGAGTCACACATTTTGAAGAATGAATTGCAGGAATTGCCGAAGATGCCAAGAGAGCTCATAGAAAGATTAACAAAGGAGAAACATTTGAACTGCCGCTGTAAACCAGATAAGAGAGGAGCATACTTGCTGTGTTTTCTTGTAGCATTTGTCTCAAGATTGGATTCGAAGCCACAATAATGATAATAATAATAATAATAATAATAATAATAATAATAGATAGCTAGATAGATAGGCCAAATTTACATGAGATGCTAATGTTATTGATTTCATTGGAATTACTACAGAATGGCAAAGAGTTTGAATAAGTTAACCGGTCATCGATATTACAAAAAGACGCAAGATCAACCATTTCCAGATGTTCTCTCAAGACTTTCTCTCAAGAATAAAAATAATATTTCAAAATGAGTTTCGAATTGCTTGAAAAGTTATAACGATTAATTTTAATACAAGAATCGACAAGTAATTGTATAAACAAAGTTGAAAATTTCGACTGCTAAATGCAAATTTTGATTTCTTTGTTCTTTAAAAAGAAGTTCTTCAAATAACAATCATAGAAATTCCTTGTTCTTTTTGTTTTTTGTTCTTGAGAGAATTGATGAGAGAAGTTGCCAAAAATATTAAAAAAACCTATACATCCTTTTTTATAAATAAAACGTCTTCTTTTTTTCTACTCTTTCTTTCCTTTGGAATTTTTTGGCACTTAGTGGGATTGCTGGTGTGGACTTGAAATCTTCATGATGCTTAATCTTCTTTCCTGACCATTCACCATGATATCTCTAAGATCATGTATCCATCCATTTGTTGCCAAATCTTTTGAATGTATACTCTCCTTGCTCACCAACTTTCAAGCGCTCGAATCTGACAAAGTAAGAACATCTCCTATTGTTCTCTTTCTTAAACTAATGAAACATTTTAAACTAAATCTATAAATACCTTGCCTATCTCACGCTTTCTTATCAATTGACAAGAGTAAGTTTCAAGAAATCAGCTGTCGAAAGTTTCATGACTGAGAAAGCCGAGGCAATCCGAGATTTGTGTTAGTGTCCTTCTTCCTCTCAGAAGGTTTAGATTAAGATTTAAATCAAAAGAAAACAGCCTCAAAATTACGCTCCTAATCTTCCACCCTTCATACTTTATTCAATAATCTTCCACCCTTCATGCAATAATACAATTTTTCCCGTCGTGTAGTGTTCTTGTTTTGGAAGATGCTGGTGAGACATTTAGTGTGCTTGCAAAGACTTCTTTATGCCCTGTTTTTATCAACATGTGTATAATATTTGAAGTGCCACATTACGATGCGGTTGTTTGCATGAACAAAAGTTTTGCACCTAGCTTCTTCACAAGAATGCAGCTTAAGCTCGTATTGCTTTTTAGATTTCTTTACAGAAAGTCAAATAGTGCAAACGATATTGTTAATGAATTCTAGAATCGGACACAGATTATTGCAATCTGTTCAAATAGAAATGCGCAAAAATTAAATTTATAAATCACAAAACTGTTGTCAAAAGGATTAGTACTCATATTTGTTTTGGCAGCAATGCCTTTTCATGGGAAATGTAATATTTTTCTGTTGTTCTTTGCTATTCAAATGTTAGATTAAAGATTTTGCAACCGCTTTTCTAATCAATACAATTCGAACTATCAGCTGTTAGAAAGTACCGATATGCGTCGGTGTTTGTATTCAGAAAGCATGCAAGTTGTATGCCTTTTAATTAAATAAAAAAGTTATGTTTACTGCACGAGCTGTGCATCATCTGCCTTCAACTTTAACTCAATCGGTTTCAAAGATCTTTATTAATTTAGCAACCAATAACTGAACTTATCTATCAAAGAATGCTTTGCCCCCATGCATTTTTTCCTTCTTTATGTGGATTGTCGGATTTTAAAGGGATTGGGGGAATCAATGAATGGCCTGTTGGTACGCCAATACATACAGGTCGTCTAAAATACGACGCTTCTTTCACAAATGCGTTTCCAAAACATTTTCAGGGTAAAAAAATATTGAAACTTTGAAAACATGAATACAATGCATTATATATAAATCTGAATAACCATAGTCTGCTATGTCATCTGTTAGACTTGGTTGTGAATTGTAATTGATATATTTTCCTTGCGATTGCAGAGGTTGCTTGTTATCTTCTCAATCATTATATGTTAGAAAACATTGTCATTAGATAAAATCAACATGGCGTTTAAAGTACATGATATGAAAATAGCATTTCTTTAAGAAAAGAATCATCAGCGATTTTTTTTCCAGATCCGAAAAGCAGAGCATAGATATAAAGATTACGGTTGTCTTGCAAAAAAAAAGGTAAGTCTTGGCACCAAACGTCTCTCTACGATTACTGATTGCAATTAGATCTTCAATAAAGCTGTCTGAAACCCTGCTATCTTCAGTAATTTCATTGTATCTTTTTTCTCTATGCAAAAATTATCTTTTACGGATGTTAGACTTGCTCATCGCTAGATTCCGCAGAATTTTTTGTTTTCGCCTATTGAAACACGTGAATCATGAACTTATCTTACCCAAAAGAATCGAAACCTTTCAGACATCTTGCCCTGGAATTCCTATCATTAAAGTGAATTGGAATAAAACAAAGCTATGTGAATTAAATTGTAGAAAGCCATATCTAACAATGTTTATTACCTTTTCCTGAACACAAACGTCAGGTGTATACAGCTATGAACAATAAATATGGAATTTAGATGAATGCCAAGTTTAACCAGTTTGATTGTAAAGTTGCTTTGTTGACAAACGAATTAGTGACAGGTGATTTCAAGGAGAGTAAGTACCGCTGCTCAAGCTATTCGGCATTTGTGCAGATTTTGCAGATGTGCAGATGGTGTGACATTGGGATCTACATGGACGATAATCTTACTTTTACTGATCTACAACGTCTTTGAATCAGAACTTTACGGTTGTCTTATAGTAATACCGATTTTGAGGTTTTTGTTTGAATGTTTTTACTTTTTGCATTCATTTTGACCAATGTTGGAAATCAGCGGCATAAATCGATTACGTTAAAGATTTATAAGAAATGTATGAAGAGGCATAGTAACTAAAGTTTTTTGCATTGTCGTGAAATCTTCAAGGGTGTTCGAAAGCAGCATTCTATCTGCTTTCACAAATTTACCTAATTCAATTTACAATGGATTACGAATTGTCAGTTAGGTTGCCGTTGAAATTAGGTTGGAATTAAAAGTGAGCCCACGGGTAAGCTTAACATCTTTTGCAGTTCATGCAAAGTTTGATGCATCACTAATTATTAAGACAACTCTCTTTTACAGATTAAATCTTCACGTGTTTATTATAATCTTCAGAAGATATTCAACAATCGGGATGCCCTCGTGGTATCATAGATTAGATTGTTTTGCCGGAGTTGTCAAGTTTTACGAAATTTATCTTTTGCATTCTTAGATTTCAGTTGTCCAGTGACAGACCGGAAAGAGTGAAAGATGCAACGAGGACTGAACAACACGACTACTCCTATGATGCCATCAATACTGCCTTATCAGCCAGCATTCCATACAAGTCTTATCATTCTTAGTGTACTCACCACAGCACATAACCTGCTAGTACTGGTTGTCTACAAAAAGAACCGAAGCTTGCATACACCAACTAACTTTATTCTCAGTAACCTGGCATGCTGCGATCTGATGACAGGGTGTATTTTTCTTCCACTGATGATCTCAACCTCGATGGTGGTCAACAGAAGCCTCCAGTTTGCAACCAATGTTTTTGCTGACCTCACCGTAATCGGAATTGTTTTGTGCCTCACGTCAGTAACATATGAACGTTACCTGAATCTTTGCCACCCATACCAATATCCAATTATTGTCAATAAGTGTCGAGTTCGTATTCTGGTTGGAGTCATATGGACCATTGCTGCTCTCATGTCCCTAGTCCCTATTGTATGGTCCCATAACACTTTGAACAAAGCACCTGGGAAAGAGGCAAAGAGCTTCAAGCAAGCATACCAAGCACACTCATTGGTGGTGCTGGTGATTTTCTTCGTTATTCCAACAACAGTTTCCCTGTACGCCTTGATTGCAATGTTTTGTGTTGTTCGCAGGCTGACAAAGAATGACCCGATGGTTAATGCGAAACTGAGAAGAAAAAGAGAGAGAAGAGTTGTGCTTGTTTTCTTGGCCATGTATGCTTGTCTCATCATCTGCTGGACCCCTATGATCCTGGTGCGTATTTCACTTGATTTTCACCTGAATCTGTTCGTATGGCAGAGGTGGCATCTAGAGCTTTTTCTTTGCTTAAGGGGACTACCATCTTTTACCAATCCGCTTATCTACGTATGGTGCAAGCAGGATTTCAGACAGAGTGTCTTCAAAATCAAGGCAATACAGAAAGTCACAACAATGCGAACAAAGTTGGACATTAGCGAGCGCATCCTAATGGTCACAAAAAATGCTGATTGAGAACGTTGAGTGCGATAGCTGCTCCTTCTTTGTATGATGACCGCTAAAGTTAGATTAGCCAAATTACTGTTAGAATTAAAGGTAATGTGTCCATATAAAAGAACTGCGTATACCCAACTTGTCAAGCCACCCATCAAAATAACAATTTGTGATTGGTTAGTGTTCTTGCAATGCAAAAATGTTCACATGAAAAGCTGGCCTCGCAGCAGGATAAATAAACAGAACGACCGTAATGACTGGGGCGATGACATGAAAAATCACATGTTTCTAAAAACCCCTGCAGAGTCGCTTGCTATAGCTGGACACATTACCTTTAATTTGATGTCAAGAAGATTATTGCGCAGTCTAAATGATTGCGAGTTACAATGAATTGTTTCATGGAACTCAATGCACACAATACCGTAAATCTTCGAATTAGCCCGAATTTTAGCTTCGAATTTTTGGACGGGGGCTTATTCGAGAGGGGGGCTTATACGAGGGGGGGCTTATAAAATTATTGTAGACAATAAGAAGACGAATTTGTCGTGGTAATTCAATAAAACGCCATAGGCAACCTCAGATAGCAAAAACCGTCAAATTGAGGGGTCAATTCGAGAATATACGGTAGCAGTGGGGGCTTATTCGAGGAAGAGGGCTTTTTGACAGTTTGTAGTTTTAGAGTGTGGGCTCATTCGAGGGAAGGGCTTTTTCGAGGGGGGGCTAATTCGAGGATTTACGGTAATTACTGTTTCAGAAGGGTTTGTGTTCATGTTACCTAGGTATTGCAGAATAGATGCTGCGTTCTTTCTTTTTATGGAGGGCATGCAAGTCTTATTGCGTAGATATTTTGACTTTATTTAAGAATATCTAACATTGGGCAGGTGTGACGCACTGTTTCGACAACAGTAAGTGAGAAAAAGTCAAGGGAACCTTTTTATGGATGGGACCATTTGTTTATATCTGTTCATTGTTTTCGATATGATAATTGGTTGTATATGCTGCAGACATTAAGTTTGTTTTAACGTTATTTAGACGAATATCTGCTCATTTGAGTGACAGTGTTCTGACTTTAGAACGTTATTTGCCATAACTTTTTGCCATAATAGAATTTTAAAGTGAATTAGATATTTAAATGCTGAGTATGAGCTGTATACTGCCAAATCATCGCAGGCCGGTTTCCACTCAGGCTGCCCTGCTTGCACGATTCCAACTGAAGATATTTGGCGAAATAACGAATCGGCCAATCTACGAATCGGCCAATTAACAAGTCGGCTAATTAACGAAATGGCCAATTAACGAATCGGCCAATTAAAGAATCGGCCAATTAACGAATCGACCAATCTACGAATCGGTCAATTAACGAATCGGCCAATTAACGAGTCGGCCAATTAACAAAATGGCCAATTAACGAATTGGCCAATTACAGAATCGGCCAATCTACGAATCGGCAATTAACGAATCGGCCATTTAACGAATCGGCCAATTAACGAATCGGCCATTTAACGAGTCGGCCATTGAACTAATCGGCCAATTAGCAAAAGTTGCTTGGAAGCTGAACCGAATTGTACTACTCGGTGGATGATTGTGTATTTACATCCACAGTGAAAGTTAAACCTCGCGAATGCTCTATAGAAAAATCCGTTACACTTGATTAAAACTTTATGTTATCTTCGTATACTTGTCTTTAATTTGTGTATACCAACATTAATTAGAATCTATTGACAATTACTAGAGTCTAATCTATAGATAATTATGTAAACTGATTTGCTAGAGGTGGCAAAATTTTAAAACATTAACATTGTGGATAGAGTTTAAAAACGCTCTCGTAATTTAGAAATAGGGGAGTTGGTACCTTTGATGAGGACGGGAAATGTATTAACGGGATTTAGCTGTAAATGGTTCATTTTTGTGTTTTTTCTCTCTTCAGAAACCTTACGGTAGAAAAGTCAATTAATCTGAAAGATAACCTGACTGCTGGTCCTGAGTTTAGTTTTGCACATTATCCCGCATTCGATCACTGCCCATCAAATTACAAAAATTTAATGCATAAAATCAAAAAGTTCATATTAGTGCCATAGACTTTGCTAGCGAAGCCTTTGTGATTGAGGGCTGTTATCCCCTATACCACAATTAAGAAAAAAGCTTCCACAAGAAAGAGGACTTCATTAGATGTACCAATTTGCTGTGTTATTGTAAAATGGGTGGATAACATTTAATTATTTCATTTTTGAATGAATCATTTTTCCTCAGGTCAGGAGAGCCTCAGCCAATAGAAATTTGCATTAACTATAGAAATATAGATGACTATTGCTTTGGCGTGTAAAACAGAGTCAAGAATACATCACAGTTTCACAGCAGTGAGCTGGAAAAGGTAACGATGCAAGAGTTTTTAGGAAGGCCAATGCATAACTTAACAAGAGTATAGAATGTGAGAGGAGTTTACCGAAAACTCTACGCTAGAAAATATATATAACCAGATGTAAAATGAAACATGCCAATCAGAAACGCGAGCACATAAGTTTGAGGTTGCCCAATAAGTGCTTCTTGCCAGTTTAAGAATGTTACCAATGGGCAATCTCGACAGTCATGAATGTGCAAATCAACAGCGCAGGCAACAAAATCGTACTTGTAGCAACGCCGGACCCAGGTGCAAACCATATTCTTGGGCCATATACAAAACAATGAACCTAAAACGCGTTTAAGGTGAATTTAAAACGCGTGAAATTTTATTTTATTAACTTTTAATTCATTTTCGTAAAGAATTGATCAATGTTCCCAGTCTAACTATCATGTGTAATTACCATATCATAAAGAGTCATAATTTTACCAGTGGGTCCCTGCTGCCTACAGGCCTAGGAACAATTGCCCCCTTTCCCCTCTCAAGGGGCATGCTCCCTACTAGTTAATTTTTTATATCTATGCTCTGTCGATTAGAGATTATCGATTCACGTAAGCAGACTCTGTAGCTTGTTAAAATTGGCAAATTGTTTAGAATTAATGAAATGATTCATAGTCATCAAGCTTCATGTAATGAAACAGTCACAGTCATGAAATGAAACATTCACAGTCATGTAATGAAACTACTGGGGATTTCTGTAACAACGAAAATTCATCGGACAAAATTGCACCAAAGAGTCATTAGAGTCCCTTTCACTAACTAGCTTTTTGAAGCAGTTTGCTGCAGGAAAGACCGACGTTGCACCCCTAATCCAGGCAGAAATACTGACAATGTACCTTCTCTCCCAGTGAAAGGATGGCAAAAATAATGTTGTATCTAGCTAGAGTTGGTCAACTCTGGAACCTTAAACAAAAGCGTTCGGTAAGGATATTTTAACATTTTTCTTAGATATTCACTGTATTATAGGATGCTGTTGAGCATCAAGTCTTTAATTATGAACATTAATTTGGGAAATTCACTTCTTATCACTTTTGTATTTGTCTTTTAAGGGGGCCCATGGAAATCAGCACTGCTGGGAATCTACCTTCCTAAATTATTTGAAATGAATGAATAAACGAGTGAATGCTATTGACACAGAAAAAAACATTATTGCATTGCACCAAGACTTTTGGTAAGACCATCTCAAGATTGAGGTCATTTATTCACTTAGCCAGCAAATAAACTTTGTGGTTCACATTATTACCAGCAGCTTTTCGAACAATATGGTTCATATTGTATTAGTCTTTCAATAATGCAACAACAGCGTCTTTTTGGAAGAAATAAGTCTTGGTTTAACTATAATCAATTCTCTGTATTTCTTCAGTTAACGTTTACGAGGAAAAAACGGTATTGTCTGGCTGTCAGCTTAAGACTGATATATGAAGCGACGTTAGGATACACTTCAATCTTCAATTGATATTCCATAGATTAAAGCTTCTTAACCTATGATTATGTTGAATTTGAATCACATGTAGCTGGCAGCGTGTATACTTTCTAAATGCGATCTCCTGTCATGATAAATTAGCAAACTGACGTTTAATCAAGTATGTTATGGGATCAATTTGGGTTGCTTCAGAAAAAAAAACAAAATTCCGATATCACATACATGGAAAATATTAATCCTTGTCAAATGTAAATGAGATTTTGGCAATAAGAATAGGTGTAGCCAAGCATTTCAAGGAAAATTATTCTAGCCGAAAATAAAATGTTGATATTGCATTAGCAATTCATATATATTGCAATTCGGAGTATTAATCCCATTATCAAACAAAACGAAATTCATGTAGTTTACCGCGTAGTACGTTTGTCTACAAAGTGGAAAAAAGTCCATTTTAAAGGCACTTGGATAGACGGTTAAAACTTAGTTTTCGGTTTTTAACTACAACTGCAATCTCAATAAAGTCGTTGAAACATTTCGACAAAACACCAGCTAAAAACACACCTGATAGGCTATATAAAGCTTTATAAACAAGCTAACCCTATGAAATTCCTTATGAAATAACCTTATTCCTTATGAAAGCAAACCTGCCATCTCTCCAGAATAGACGACTTCAGGACATTGCCATACTTATGTATAAAGTTAAAAACGGCATAGCCCCACATTTTATAAAGGACATGTTTGCAATTAAAGAAACTCCTTATGAATTAAGAAACAGCAACTTTGTAATTCCGAAATTTCGTACGGTAAAAGAAGGAAAACATTCAGTAAGATACTTTGGCCCATATCTGTGGAGCAAATTAAAGAGAGCCACCAAGGAGGTGCCAACAATAAACCAATTCAAAAGATGTATAAGAAGAATGGACATAGAAACTCTTATAGATTGCAGACTTTAGTTTAGTCGTACACACGGTTTTTAGAAATTTTTAGGTTTTAATAATTATACTGTAATTACATATTTTATGCTCTAATGTAACTTAATATACTTTTTTCGTTGTGTCCCCAATTAGCTTGTAAGCTAAATATTTTTTTGGCACATTAATAAAGTTTTTGATTGATTGATTGATTGATTGATTGATTGATTGATTGATTGATTGATTGATTGATTGATTGATTGATTGATTGATTGATTGATTGATTGATTGATTGATTGATTGAAGCTTAATATGATGACAAAGCCTTCTGTGTGTCCAAAAGAACCCTTGTTCCTGAATCTTAAACAATTTTAAAGCATTCGAAAGCATTGTGTTTACTTTGCAGTCAGTGGCGTAGCGTGAGCGCAGAACTTAGGCATGCGGTAACATAAAATATACGGCTATGTTGAATAAATGTAATGGTAATTTCAGTTTCTAAAAAATACAAGCGGTAATTAATGATAATCGTGATAGCAAATTTTGATTTTCAAAGTAACAAATCATTTGTACTCTAATTCTAATCAATCAAGGTGTCTATTCTTAGCATCAGAGGCTCCGATAGAGGTTGGAAAGTGAAGGGGGGCGAAGGGAAAAATTATCACCCATGCGAAAGTTTTTGAAAAAAGCTCAATTGTTTAGCAAGACTTTTCAGAATAACTCCTAGCGCTTAAACTGCTTCGCAAAAGATTTTATTCTTATTCATATTCCTCAAGAAAAGGCATCACCTAATGCCCACCTAATGTAAGAATTTTTTATGCTATAATGAAGCTGGGGATTCCCGCAAGAAGGAGCTCTCCACATTGCGAAATTGTTAACACACTGCAGAGCCTAAGCAGGCACGTAAATAATAGGGGGGCGTGGGGGGCGTAACGCCCCCCCCCCAAAGTTTGGAAAATCCAGTTACAGTTGGAAAACGTAACGGTTGACTTGGAATTTTTTTCTTAAGACCAAACTTGTGAATTTTATATTTTAAGAAGTTTTTTTATTTTAAATATAAAAATTCTAAACATTAAAATTCACAGGCTGATGCTGACCCATCCAATCGTTTTCTATTGTGAATCCCGTCTCCACTGGATCCAAATTGCACACTTGCCCCGTTTTCTTTTTCTTTCTTTCTGACGGGAGTTGAATCAAATTACGAACAGGCAAGGTGAACTTACGGATAAGAAACTTGAAACTTACAGTTTGGAATAATAATACCGGCATTGATCAGAAAATATTAGAGTGGGAATTTTTTTAGAAACTACGAGTAGTTAATTCAATAAAAGATTAAGAATCTTTCAGTACTAAAAATTCTCAACGCTTCTTATAAAAAACGAGTTTATGCTAAACTCCCCCTGTTATTTGTTAATGTCCTTGAGTCCTTATCATAAATTCCTATGACAAAACTGCTGTGGAGCAAGAACACATTGCAAAAACTGCAGTAGAAGTATTTGATCAAAGAAGAGTATTTCATCTTTCGAATCAGGCATATGCACAAGTTTGTTCTCAAATCATCATTTCAATTGTAAAGAATGAAAAGGCATTTGGCCCTCTGAAAAGTTTAAAGGTAGTTTTCTTCGATCAAGAACGAAAATAAAAGGCCCAAATTCTTGGTGCTTCTATATCGTGAAAAAATGTATTTTAGATAAAATTGATCAATTGATCTGAAAGAATACTACTAATCATTAAGTATATCTAATACTGGTTTTGCTTAAATGTTGCTTTACTTCTTACAGTATGTTTAATGTTTGTTTCATGTTAATCAAAATTTAGAGATTTTAGGCTTTTATGCTTTAGGCTAATTATTGAGTAAAGATTTGGTAATTATAAAGAAAATAGAACTATGGTGCTCGGGCTATTTACAAATATCAATTTGGTAGGTACAACAGATCTACTGGTCGAATGAAAAATTTATCACTTGAAGTTGGAATTTTCATACTTCCACGCCCCCCCAAAATTAGCAACTTGTTTTCGTCCCTGACCTAAGCGAACAGGAGCAACAGTTTCTGCTCATTTTTTACTCTCATAGTTAACTAAGATGAAAATAGTGAGCTGTGAGAGTTGTTAGAATTGAAGATGCTTCCATGTGTAAAGTTTCAGAAAGTTAGTCCCGGCAAATCATCATGTATTTAGCAAGGCTTGCGCTCAGGTCTACCGCATGCCCTGGTCCGTAAATTCTGACTATACTGGCAAGCCTTTTGACTTGAATTACGGAATGCGGATCATGACAAATAGACTCTGACCCACTTTGACGAAACTTTTTCTCTTTTCAACAGTCACAAAGTAAAGAAAGGAAAATAATTGGATTTGAAATTATGTATCACGCAAAGAGTATTCGCAAAAAGCAGCTTATAGGTAGAAAAATGTTGTGGATTATCAAATATTTGGGAAGGCTTGCGCTCAGGCCGACCGCAAGCTCCAGTCCGGAAAATTCTCACTTCTCTCAGAAGCTTCTTTCGAGTTGCACTGAAGTTGCACTGGAGCATCACATGTTTCTCTTATTTTGGACAGGCAAAAAGAGTGATGTGGAGGGGCTTCAGTTTTTTAGATTTTTCGAATTTCATAATTTTTAGCGATCTGTTTACTTGGAAAAATAGCCAATTGGGGCCAATTGGCCTGTTGGCGCTAGAGTTCACTGCATGCTGCTCATGACAAGAAAGAGAAGCCGTTTATTGCGGAAATTGTTATGCATTGAAAGTGTTGCAAGAATTTTAGAATTTGTCTATAAAATTTTACGCTTGCGCCGCAAGCGTAGCATACATAGACGCTACGCCACTGTTTGCAGTGTATTTGGTTTTTCTTACTGCATTGAAACCAAACCCTCTTATTTTTGTAAACTGGTTCAAGCAATAAGAAAGGTTTGCAAAAAATTGACAAGACAGTGATTTATCAACGTAGCAGAAGCCTGATAACTACAAGCATGCAGTGGCGGCGCCAACTACTGCCGAGTGGGAGGGTAATGGGCGTGGCCAGTGAGACCACGCCCTAATCGCCTCGTTTCAGTGCTTTGTACCAGGTCAAATTTCCTTAGGAAATATGATCTATCCCTACCTAGTGCTTTCTAACCCGTTTTTAGAAGAAATATGTAGACCATGTTTCGAAAAAAGTGGCGGGAGGGGGGGGGGGTAATTACCCCCCCCCATACCACCTCCTGGCGCCGCCACTGCAAGCATGTATATTAAACAAAGGAAGAAGAAAAGAACTTGCTCAATTTGTGAATGGTTTTCTGTTATTGCAACGACTAACAGGTTTGCAGCTAATCAGTCATAGCCCTTTTTAGCTAAACATGGCCCTTGAGTCTGTCTGGAAAGGAGTTGTCAAATCATCATGGTTTGCCTGTTTGTGAACTTAACATCTATGCTTCTGTTTACTTCTGGTGCCCAATTCAACAGGTGACCTGGTGGCCAGCTTATGTTGGGCAAGTTAAGAAGACGAAATTGATAGGTGGCTAGAACCAGGTTGACAGGTTTCCATGTGATGAATAAACAAATTATGTTTACCTGATATAGTCAGCTTGTACAGAAGAAAAATGTATTGAGCAGAGAGAAAGTAGAAATCCTCAAACTTTTAGATGAGTGCAGGTGTCTTCATTTGTGCAGAACGTTTCACTAGCTTGTTATTGACATTTGACTCTCGGCATGTTGAATTGGTTAAACTTTAGAACTGTTTGCAGAAATTGTTCAGGGTGTAAAACAAAACTTTTACTAAAATATTCACGATACATAAGCTACCACTCTTCAACTGCAAAGAAAATTTGACCTCGTTGAAATCAACTGCCACTTTAATCCTTGAAAGCTGAAAGGACAATTACAAAATGAAGAGTAAAAATATTTTTGTAGAATAACGTTCTTTGCAAAAAACCTGATTTACTTACTAATCGTACAAATTTACATAGATATGAATGTGACTTCTTACACACACTACAAAAATTATTCTTGATGATGTTGTTGCCGAAAATTTTTCCTTAGGACTGCTTTGTTTTGCTAGTCTTTGATAGGATATCAAACCAATTTTCACTATAATTTGTCATGCATTGTCAACAAGACGCTAAAAGAATGTGTTTCTTTCTTTCTATCAAAAGAACTTCATGATTGCAAGTCTCTATTATTTCTTTGAGCCAAGTGCATTGTAGAGAATTGATATTTTGTAAGATGAAATGGTATACTCTCTCAACTAGCATGTGTAACTTCAAATGCTCCCTCTTTGTGTCAACAACGTATCACAAACTGTATGGCGACTTCCAGGTATTAGACCGGTATTCGTTTCACCATCCAGGTATAAGACCGGTATTCGTTTCACAAAGTTTTGCAGAAGCCCATTTGTTACACAAAGCACAAGGTGCTAGAATCCCATTAAAAATTCACATTTACCGGCCCAAAAAATGGGCAATCAAAACCAAAGCATCCAAATGATAGATATTATCTCAAAAATAAATATTGTTAATTATATGCAACTGTCTTTCTATCTTTTTGTTGCACGAACCATTTTCTATTTTTCAAAAATTTGCAAAATTGTTATAGTCAATAAACAAAATATTTTCATAAATTTGCTTTTTGGTGTATGGGACATGAAGGTTCTAAGCATCTGAGAGCCTCTCTGTTCTATACACCAAACAGTCTGTACAGCTCTACCTATACGGAATCGAGCACTTTATGACAGACCAGTAAACAGTAAGTTTCATTATATTCTTATATATATATATATATACTCAATCTGCAGACAGTACTGTTTCGCCCTTTGTGGGCTCGTCAGTGCAGCACAGAGATATAGCACCTTGTGCTATATATATATATATATATCTTATATAAGTCTATGGACAAATTTCGAATTTTGTATAATGATAACTGAAATCATGTACCATACTCTTTCAGTAAATAGAATTGATTGTTTATGAAACTGTTAAGTTTTGAATTGGTCAAAAATGTTGCAGGAGTCGAAAGGCCAAACCAGTGGCGGATTTAAGGGGGGGCAACTAGGGGCAGTTGCCCCTCCCTCGCTGAGTTGAACCAAGTCTGGCGCCCCCTTTTGGAAACGGTTTGGCACAATAATTGTGAAATTGTCCTCTAGAACGTGAATAGAGAGCCTTCTGTCAATAGTTAGGGACTGAAATTGTTGTATATAGTGTACTCTCATCAACTATTTCTGAAAATTTTTCAGCACCCACAATGCCAATAGCCCCTCCTTCAAATTTGTTCTGGATCCACCCCTTGGCCAAACAGACTGGAAATATAGCAGAAATTATACAAAATATTGCATCAGAAATCAAACTGAGATCTTGTACTTAAAATACAATGATTTGATATCAACCCCCCATTCAGTGCTTCAGTAATGGGAACAACTGACAAATACACACAGGTGGTTTAAGCTAATCATACTATTGTGACCTTGTTATTTAAATGCATTCGTTTGATACATGCAATAATAGTTACGGAGCTGTTAACATCGCACCTGATGACGATGCATCTGCCATTCTTATTCAGGTAAAGATTTCTAGAGTTTTGTAAGCTTTTTGCGTGTTTGATTTTATGTTGTCTGATGATGATTTTTTTGCAAAAGTCCACAGGAAAGAAACAACTGCTTTCTCAAGCACAAGACTTTGGGCAAGTCTATATCAAGGTGAATCTCGGAGTAGCAGCCTAGAACTGACCCGTTGTTTCACATCGAAGTATAAAAGGTTTTACCTGCACGGATTGGAACACACTGCTGCTCAGACTGTTTTACATTAATCTTGTTGTAATGCATATGTAGGCACCCTATGAAATTAAGTTGCAATTAAACTATTTTGGCATCAAGCAAGAAAAGCAATAAATTAAACAAGAATTTTTTGAGCAATATTTTTAATGTTAACTAAATATGATTAAAATCAATTTTGTTCCTATTTCCGTTAAATTAAAGAAATGCCTTTATCAAAGAAAGCAAAAATGTTTCAATTCATTTTTGTTGGTGCTTAAACTTTGTCATCACGTTAGACGGTGTTGAAGTAACTGACAACTAACGGTCACAATATTTGTTTTTTATCTTAGATCTAATAAGCATTTCAATATATCAGCGTGACAACAAAGTTTCAGAAAACGATCTAAGAGAAAGCTAACTTTTCTCACCTTTAAAGGCAAAAGAGGGAGGTTTGGAATACACTAAACTTTAAGATCACAGAAGTGTATGCAAAATTTATTTAGAGACTGTTATAAAGGTATACTTTGCGCGCTTTATAAAGCTATGTTCCAAAATTAATCTTTACGACTAAAATGATTAGGAGGCTTTTTCTTTAAATTTAATTTTTACTTAAAAACCAATTTTAGTGAAAATTCTCTTTTATACTACAAAATATAATCAAACTGTTTTTAACGATGGCAAAAATTTATTGGCAAAATGATAAAGTCATGCATCTTTCTCGCTAAGAATTATATTACGATGATTTTCTATAGGTCTATTTTGTAACAAAGCAAACATTCTTATAAGAATATTTCCTCTTGTAAAAATTGAATGTAAGAATTTATAAGAGTTGTATCAAATGTTTCATTCTTCATTTTTAACTTGCTTATTGTAACTTATTTTTAAGAGCCCTGCTTATGCTGTTGTGTAATTTGCCAAATTCCCATCAAACCATTCTGAGATTGCCATGTGGACATGTTTTTGCTGATTTTAAAATATACGAAGTTGGAAAAGCACTGTCAGGAAGTGTCATCCAAATCACGACTGGAACAAATGAATTAGATTGCATTCAGTCATGTACAGGGCACAAAAATTGTCTCTCATACAACATCAACCCAGGGGAGAAGAAATGCGAGCTCAATAGCAAGACAAGCTACCACGAAGGTGCTGCGCTGGTATCCAGACCAGGCTGGATTTACAAATCGACAAATTATAACGAGACCTTGGTTTGTATGCTTGAAGAGCCACCCTTGTTATAGTGGAGAATCGAAGGCTTTCTACTGTCTCCTGAAGGACTTACTTGTCTTTTGCGTTTTCTTTAAATTTCAGCTTGTTGCAAACATGATTTTGAATAAAACAATCAATAGTCTGATTTATATTTTAATTGAATTGACATTGATTTCTCACGATATTTTCATTGAATATCACAGTCAGCAGTTTCCTTCAAATTTGCACCTCTAAAGGCAAAGTTGAGCTGTTGTTGAATCTTTTTAAACACTACCGTAAGTTCTCGAATAAGCCACCATGACCTACTTCGCAAAAACGAATTTGGCGTAGGGGTTTATTCAATGGGGGCTTATACAAGGGAGTCTATTTTAAGGGGGCTTATACGAAGGTAAGTGCATGGCTACTCGAGGATTTGAGGTAGCATGTTTTCTTTGATGTTCAATTTTTCTGAAAAAGAGTTTTCTTAAAATCTGGCAAAACCGACAACTTGATTGATTTTCGAACTGAAGGAATTTTGCTGTAGAAGCAAGCTGTCTCTTTCAGATTGGCTCAACATGCCAGGAACTGCAGCCGTGTCCTACTGATATGCTCTGCAAAGATACATGCAATTATCAATTCTATGAGTGCATTCAATGCAATCGAACAATGCCTGAAATGCTGTGTGCCCTGCAAAACGGTAAGATTTAGCCTTGTTCGACAGCTTTTTCATTTTCATAAACGTCTAAGACGAATGAGGCTATGGAAATTATTTTTCGCACACTCGAACGTTTAGATAAACTTTGAATTAAGAATGTTTGACATCCATTGCTTAGAAGAATAAAAGAGGTTTTGTATGGCAACGCTGTCTCTAAATGGTGAGGAAACATTTTATTTTTATTCACTTTATTTAATTTTGGTTTACACAGTAATGGCTAATAAACAGCTAATTAACACAAACTTGCAACAATAACAACATAACTGAAGATAAGCGTAATGTTCACAAGTATCGAATAATAGAATTATGTGGTGTGTATAGTTTACCGAGCAAGTAAGATCCGCTTGTTAAATTATAGTTTTGAATACTTTACAATTTTCTGTCGATCGAATATCTAACGGTATAGAATTCCACAATTCATTACATCTTTAGGATATTGTATCTAGCCCATAAGTAACAGTGTTCGGGGTTTTTGTATCAATGATTGATTTCATAAATTATATGCAAGCTCATTCAACTGAAATATTTCTTTCATAAATACTGGATTTAAGTTATATCATATGATTTTGGATTTAAGATATTATATGATTTTCATCAATTGTGATCTTTTATATTCCTTCATATAAGGGAAGATTCTGACTAGAGCATCTATCTTTTCACCTTCTCCTTTGCATACCTTTTTATATGTTTTTCAAAGTTCAGTTGCCGTCTAAAATTGTTCCGAGTAGTTTCGCTTTTGGTGTTTGTAACTGGTGTGCTAAAAGTTTCGAAATTTGAATTGGTATTGTAGTGTATTGTATTGCTTCTGATTGCATTATAATATATTTGTTCTTGCTATTACTTTGCTCCTGCTTTGGAATTGGCCACCGTAGTTGCCACACTTTAACGATTTGTGCATTAAGATTGCCATAAGGTCATTTACATACTGAAATGAAATATATTTATGTTAGGGCTACTAATTCAATTACTATGATTTTTTATTTAAGTTCTTATCAATAGCAAAACATTTTAAAAATTCATGTTACATAGATTTAGAATTTTGTTATTACCGTTTGTGCAAATGTTGCTAAACTTCAAATAACTATCCTTAAGTAATTTTATCATGGTTGTGAGTAAATGTCATATTTATTGTACAGCATGTGCTACTCTTGTATCTTGTAGTTTCAACCCGATGTGAAAGCAACGCATGCCAAAACAACGGAAATTGCTCTGAATCAGGTAGTCAGCACACAGGTACCAGTTGTGATAAAGGTAAATTTTTTAGCATCTTTTAATTTTTATTCTGATTTATCAAACTTTCATCAATCATTGCATGTTAAAATCATATTTCAAAACATATCAGTTCAAGTCTGTACGTATCATAAATGTCATTTATCCCTAATGCAAATTTTTGTTTTTAAATGCAGTAAAACTGTTTTGCAGACAGAGAAAGAAAAATAATCACTTGTATCTTCTTCTTAGCTGAATAAAGGTAGTATGTGAAGAAGGTAGTGAATAATATTCTAAAATAGTAAGGAATCTTTGACGACGCCCAATTTTTCAGAGCAGCTTGGAAGATAGATGTTAATAATTTAGATTTTCTACAATTCTGGCAGTCATTTATGATTTTTTTCTTCCAGTCCTAACTTTAAAAATAGCATTGATATATGATATATAGTCTCTCATTCTTTATATACAGCCTATGTTCATTAAGGCCTCCTTTCTCTGACGATAGACTTTTGAGGAATTGCTTTCACGAATCAGCTGTTTTTGTACGTTTTATTTTATATTTCAAATTAAAATTTTCACTGTCTATACTGACACGATGTCTGAGACAAATTGATACTTTGCTTTCAACATATAGCCTACAAACGAGGAGGAGGGAGGAGGGGTAAGCAAATGAGAAAACAACCCGCGTTGGATGTGGTTAGAGGACAGTCGCCTCAACTGCGAGGAATCGCAAAAATGATATAATATCTTACATGCTCAAGAAAGAGTTGACAAATTTCCATCAACAAAAATATCTTACAATAAATTCCAATGGAAAAGAAATATATTGAATATTTTCTGCTTCGTAGACATTATCACATGTGAAAAAACTTCCTGTTTGAACGGAGGGACGTGTGAAAATTTTGGAGGTATCTTTTCATGTCAGTGCAAGCCAGGATACATTGGAGCGCGATGTGAACATGGTGAGAGCATAAATAACAAAATTTTGAAGTTGTTGAATTAAACCAATGTTTTTAATGCCATTCTACGAAACTTTGGACAGAGTTTTGTGGTAATACTGGCAAAGCTAGCTGACGAGTTTGGAAGTGAGAGTTAGCTAATGGACCATGTTTCTAGACCTAAGTCTTACATAATGCAGAAATGCCAGTGCCAAGTTTCAAGACCTACAACTCTATTCATAAGGCAGAAACACAAGCTTCTCAAAAAACTGCAAAGTGTTTAAGGCTGTTTTTGATGAAAGTAATTTCAATTCATCGATCCATAAAAATTTCCTCTTCATTGAATTACTTGATTAATGCCGACACAGTTACCCTTTGATCGATTTGCTGTTGTTGTGTAGTTGAAAGTACCTGAAAGTATGTTTTATATAAATATTGCGAAAAAATGAATCAAAAATTCCTTAAAGGTGATAAAGATATAGGGGGATGGGAAAACAAGGGAAAAAATTAGATGCAATAAAATTCAACTGTTCAGGTTAGCAGCAGAAGGTTACCTCAGTTTTAACAACAACTAAAGAAACGAAATAGTTTGGGCTTAAGAATGGAAAAGGTTACAAAGCTACTGAAAAATACAAGTCAGCGGGTAAAGGAAAATTGGCGAAAATTAAGTCAAGGAAAAATGAGTCAATTATAAAAAATCTAAACACTCTTCCTCTTTTTGTCTCTTATAAATAGATAGGATTTTATGACAATGGTTTTTGCCTTTTCAAAGAAATGATTAACAATTTAGAATACATGAGCTAAACTGGCGTAAATATTGAAAAGTCGCAGATTTTTTTGAAAAAAGAAGCAGAATTTTTTCCTCCTCTCTTCGATTTAAGTCATTTTTGTATCTTCACAGAATGTGCGAATGCTAGCTGTCAAACTTCTTTGTAATATTTGGTTCTAGATATTGACGACTGTGTAAGTAACCCATGCAAGAACGGGGGAACGTGTGTGGATGGCGCGAATCAATGGACTTGCAATTGTCCCCCTGGTTTCGGTGAAAGTGTATGTTATCCAAGTAAGTATATATTGTTCAATAACAGCATTGACCACCTAGTAGGGCCTCCGTTTGTTATAATTGTGAAATTTTCCCCTGGCCCACCCACTTTCCAACCTGCGTCGGAGCCCATGTCAATTTTTGCAATTTCGTGATTCTTCTAAATCTGAAGAAAATGTCGAGGGAGGGGAATATTTTGAAAAGATAAATGAGTGAGCTGATTCACTAATTTTGAGTCTACTTCTACGTAACTGCAAATTTATTACGGCGTTTCACTTTCGTAAATGATCCTTTCATGGCAATTACAAGGGTGTGATCTAGAATTGTTATTCCATCCGCCATCATTTATTATTGCTGTCTGTTGACTCTGCTTTTGTCCAGACTCTCTCTGAGAACTCTTGGGCAATATTCCACCAGCAATTTTAGGAAGGTAGGTAGCCACATTGTTCATCAATTCAATTTAATGATGTGATCAAAACAGAACTCGCTGCGTGCAGGCCAGGCCAACCCAGCTCCCAAAACAAGCTTGAGTATGCAAAAGAGGCTTTCATTACCTCATTGATTACATAACGATATGTCGACCTTTAATTTTTTGTGAAACTTACTCTCATAATTGTGAACGTTAAATTTTTATCATGGAACTTCATAAATGAATATAAGTTTTTGCTGCTCCAAGTTAAAAAATTATTCTATTCAGTTTGAGTTATTACTGAAAAAATTGCCTACAGTTGCGAGAAAAAGAGTATTAATTCTAAAACCGCAGTTCACACTCTGCTATCAAAAGGTGTTTAAACGGAAGTCGTTTTGGCAAAATGATTTTTTTCTGCATAAATTCCCTGCATACAAAGCAAATTTTCTCAAAAACATATCACCGTCGTACAAATCGAGTTTCATTTTTAACGTGTAGTTTACTTACCTAGCAAATTGAGCTCTACTCTGATAAATACGATATTCAGCTATTATTTTAAAAAATTCACCCCAAGAGTTGAAATGAAGTAAAAAGTGAAATCTTAACTTTCTGTCAAATTTTACTGGCCTCCATAAAATTTTCTTGACAATTGGTACTTCATGCTATAATTCGACTTTTCTGAGCTTTATAGGTAAGCGTTACTGTGGCCCTAATTAATGCAAAACGAAGCATAGCCTATCATTGATTATTTTCAGGTTCCCTTCAACGTTAACTGATAGTGTTTTTGTAAATAACCATTAATAAGGCGATGAAAAAGTCTTAGGGAAAAAATATTATTTATTTAGCTGAACTTTTCCTTTTGAAAATAATTTCAGTAAACCAAAGTGAAATATTAAACAGTTTTCTGGTTTCTTCCAAATTTTCTACTCAGGCTTCTATTTTGTTTCAAATGCTTTTCTTTCTTGGGTGTCACCTTTTGCTTTTCTGCCGCTTCCAATTTTGAGTTTGCACGCCTATTGCTGTCTTCAATTTTTCAATTCGTCAATGTCGTTACATCTAAGCGTATTTTTGATCCAATTCTAGAATGTGGCCTATCTTTAAATGGATCGTCGGGCAGTATTGCAAGCAGAAATTATCCATCTAAGTACCCACATGATCATACTTGCTTGTGGACAATCAAACTTGGTATTGTCTCTAAAGTCAGGATCGAATTCCTCGATTTCGTCCTTGAGGATGATAGCTCTTACCAATATGATTCAGTGAAAATATTTGATGGTCCAAGCACAGCCTCTCCTCTGATCGCCAAACTTAGTGGATTAACATTGTCAGTAAAAACTTACATTTCAAGTGGAAATTCTATCACTATTCGATTCAAGACTGATAATGACCGTGCTAAAAAAGGATTTGAATTGACATGGAGTGAAATTGTCTGATCTGAGGAATAACAAAAAGCTTGATTTACTTATTGCGTAGTCCCGACAGAAGTGCTTCTTGGAATATCTATCCTATTTTGATTCTGATCCTTTGAAGCATTCTTCTTACCTATGGGGAAATTTTCTGTGGAATAGAATTGTACAATCAAGAATAAGATCCAGAAGAAGCATGGCTTACAGTTAGGCATAGTTTGTAGGCACCGCCAAGGCCGGGGGGGGGAGGGGGCTGTAGCTCCCTCACTTTTTTGCTGTAGTATGATATTAGTTTTGTGGCATCAAATATAATAATAGAAAAACTACTATGAAAGTGCTCATTGAACCTACAACACTGTAAATGATTTCATACTTCAATGTCTTATGGAAAGGTGACTGAAACCAGTAAACGAGGATATACAAATGTATGTAAAGGCTACAGAAAATTAACATAACTTGGAATGTAAGTAATTTTGGACTTGATCAGAATTAAAAACCCTATCTTCTACAATACACAAGTAAGAAAAGCAATTTTCTATGCAGGAATTGCTTACTAAGTTGCTGCAGCATAAATTATAAATTAATTACTAATGAAAGGAATACAAACTTCTATTTATAAATTGTACAGTGGCCATCCCAAGCCTTAATTTCCATTTTAAATGCTGCAACAGACTTTAGGTTCTTTGTATCATCATTTAGGGTACCCTAAGCATTGCCTACCCCACCCCCCTAAATCTTATAGAGTCTATCCTACATTTTATTGTATGGGATCTCTGAGGAAATTCGCATAAAACTTGTTTGCGTAAGTTTTAAGTTATAGATTTTGTTTGGAAATTCTCCCAGAGAATTGAGGGGCTTTGGTGGTAAATCGTTTTGTAAGCTTCTAAAAGCATTCTCTGTAGGTTATCTGCGTGTATTGTAACATCTCGATGCCATCGCGATGCAACCTTAACCCTCTGTTCTCGACCATTTAAGTAGCTGTGGATTAGATTTAAGCTTTTCCTTTTAGTTCTGTACGGCTCCAATCAGTAAATCGTGCAGTTAGCAGTTATAAACCTTTGAGAGGTCCATTAGAATAGCACCCACAATGTCCTTTGAATCTAAATATCTTTAAGTATACACTTCTAAAACTTTTTTTTTAGGACAAACCAAAGTTTTAAATTACCTTTTGAGAAAATATTACTTTAGTTTGAATGTAATTAAATATTTAAAAGACTTGTTGATCAAAATAGTAATAGTATTCATGTTCACGTACAGTTTACGTTTTTTCTTGTATCACAGCATTATATCGGAATAACTTTTAACTTTGAATTTCAATATTATTCTCTATATCAATATTAGATCAGTAGTAGATCAGTTTTATCTGAAGACCACTTTTCAATTGTTCTAAACCTTAAAGTGGTGATCTTAGCCTATTTGCCTTTTCCGTAATGATTAACTCGTCTGCAATGATTGCCTGTAAAACTTTTCATAAAGTTTAGACTCTAGTGGCCTAAATTAGATCCTGGCAAAAATATTCTTTGAATCTTTCAAAGCAAGACTGTTTAATTGTCTAATTTGCCATAAGGAAAGGCAAAGGTTGTTCTAAGTGGGTGTCATAAAAAAATCAAAACATTTTTCAAACATCAAAGAACTAAAACCATCAGTGAACTTCCTTAGCAACCTATAGCTTTAAAAGTATAGAAAACTTTTATGATGATTTCTGTCGAAGAGCTAGCATCCATGCTTGCATTCCCTTATCACGGCCAGTGGCGTAACGCAGTTTAGGGCACATTGATTCAGCGTTTTTCAACCTTTTTTCTACGGCACATTATTCGCGGAGAGTTATTTTTTTCAATTTTTTAGACCAATTAAGTACAATTATCCATGCAAAGAAAGTAAATGTCCTGTCCACTGCCTTCACTGACTCCCACTGGCAAGCCCAGTCCGTTGCGCTTTGTCCCTATTACCTATATGACGGTTCATGTTCATCATTTCTCTTGAAATGGCAGGTATTTTGCTGTTGGCCTCAATGAAAGTGTAGAGACCTTGAACAACACCAAGTCCATTTCTCATGGACTCACATTCCGCAAGATTCAACTAATGGCCAAGGCAGTGAACATAGATTCTTAACGGAGAGCAGCCCTCCATTCGCTTTTTCAAGCCCTCGGCTTTGCCGCTCATTGTAGACTGTCGAAGCATTGGCCAACAAGTTCCTACATACGCTTTAAAGCCCAATTTGTACAATTGCTGACGATTGAGTTTTGTAAAATTTAGCAAAAACTTCCTTTCGAAAACCATTCAGTGCTAAACTGACAAAAACTGACATTTGTTCGTGCTGACGAAAGTCAGATATCTAATAAATTATGAGAGCATAATAGCCGCTTTCTTTTACTTCTTCGACAATCTTTTCAAGCACTTTTTGAGCCTTTAACTTTTTTGTGTTTTTTGCACCCAACAAATTGCTATCTTATTCCATTAATTCCGAAAGCGCTCACGATTAGGACCATTTTATTTTTTCGTCTCAGAGGTTTTTAAACATATTCAAAATGAAGTTTTTCTTATACTTTTTGTTTTTAGGGAAGGCTCCTGCCCAAATTTTTCCCAAAAAACTCAGCTGTCCGAATTTAGGGGCTGAAGCCCTCCCCAGCCCCCCGTCCCATACGCCTATGAGCCAGTGTCGATGCAAATAGAAGTATACATTTTCAATACATCAGAATTTCTGTTTATATCAAGTCTTCAAAACTAAAATGTTGAATTGGCATTTTCCAGAGCAAGTCGAAATTTCTGGTCTATCAAAAATAACTGACATAAGTTTTTACATGCATAGAAATGAATAAAAACCACTTCTATAAAAGCTTTTTGGGAAAAACTAATTTACAAAATTTATATCATATTGCATGTCTTTGCAAATCATCTTTGCATTTACAAGAAACACAGGAACTGAATTTGCGTTTAATCAGACCCTATGTGAGGCTGTTTTTCCTCAGATTAAATATCACAAGCTCCGTCAGTTGATACTTTTTGAATCGGTGCTATTATCTTGTTTAAATTATATTGTAGACAAATAAAGCGGGACTAAATATTTTCCAACTTGCTATCCGTAGACACAAAAATGTCCATCTACCCGACATCAAATGAAAAAAAAATTGAAAATGAAACAATTGAGGCAAATGTTTTGTAGTGTTAACACACGAAAACGGAACATTTTAAAAGCGAATTTGAATAAGCCTAGTGAAATTGTCTAGCTTTTGGGCGCGGTCAAAGCTCTTTCTTCAAAAGAAAGAAGGTTTGTGGCGATTAACCAACTATGAATAAATTTTAACAGCCAATGTTGATGACTTTACCAGGGGCATCGAAGGCATTGAAGGAACTAGAACGTTGCGCTGAAGCTGCACATCCAGCTGCAATTGCAAGGGTTTGGACCTTCTGTTCCGTACACAGTACTTTGCAAATGTGATAGACAATATGCATAAATTGCTATCCTCAAGTCAGGTGTTTGGGATCTGCTCAACATCAATTTTGGCGTGCCCACTGATTGGTGCGAAAATATTCTCCGTTTAGAATCATACGACTATATTGGTGAATGATGGATCTTCAAGATCAGTATAGAAACATGTTTCAGTAGCTCCTGATTGAAAACAGCATCAATGGCTGGCGTGTCGTTAACACGGATCTAGTCATTTTCGTGTTTAGCGTTTAAAATTGTGGCAAATTAGTTGATTTTTTAAATCGCTCGCGATTGTGGCGAATCGTTCTGCATCAAAACAGAATTTGGAGATATTTCCATAACAAGGTCTGTTAACTATCATCTTCAGCATAGCAGATTATCCATTTGTTGAATAATATCGAGGTTTGTTGATGACTAATAACAGAACAACATAAGAAAGAGGACTGTTTCCGAGCGATTATGTTTAGTGTTTTCGGATTATGACAATTGAGTTGATTTCAAAATAATATCATGACTCTCAAGTAAGTTGAAAGAAAATCACATAAAAGAGGACCGGGTCCGATTAACCATCTAAAAATAGCATTTAGGATAAATGTTTTATCAAAATTTTATCTAAAATGCTTTCAGCACATCAAATTGGGCCAGATTAGTCGAGATTAGAATTTCTTTGTCAATTGCAATTTGATCAAAGTAATATATTTAAAATGGGAATCGGTCGGAGAGCCCCGTCTAAAATAGCACTTGTAGGTTTACATTGGGATGTATTGTCGTTTTCAGCGTATCAAAATTGGTAGGTGTGCCAACTTTCATGCAGGAGTCATAAAATCAGGCTTTCCCATCGATTTTTCTTCAAAGTCTTAGCACCATTCATGATGTCCGGTCAATTTGCTTATTGATGAACCACAGCAGCAGGTAAAATGTTTGACAATCTGTCAAGATTTCAATTATGATTATCTTTCAGATTCAAGGCAATAATTATGGTTGCAATCTACACCTGTTAACAGAGTTCATGGGAAAAGCTTTATATAGAACCATTTAAATTTTTTCTAAATCGCTGCAGGTTGCTGATTCAACAGGCTTCTGTATATAAACATGTTTGTGTGACAAAGTCACTTACTGGGATGTCGTCTATTGAAGAGCTACATTCTCGAATTTTGAAAAATGTTTAAAATGGGAATTTCACAAAGGTAAGCATTTCTTTCCATGCTAAAAATCTATTATATTGAGCCATACTATATCATGCTATGCTATGTTTTGAAGCGTTAGATGTGACCAGAGGTGGCGCCAGAAATCATCCGACAAAGGGGTTGCAGCTTCCGACAGAGGGGCTAAAATGACAAAAATATGCAGTTTTCGTTCGTTATTTTGTCCAATTTGCACCGAAAATAACCATTAACATTCTTAGTAGACCGTTCAGTATTTAGGTCATTTTTGTTTTTTCTTGTTTTTTCTATTTCATATGCTCTGTGGGTTCATCTGTCAACCATAAGCTCTAGTTCAAAGCAACTTTGCTTTCAATTTAAGAGCGTTCTTTCACACAATTCTAACATTTGCAACTCTTTGTCAAAAGATGTGTGAACAGAACAATTGATGACGAACGTGAGAACTTTGGTTTCTGTAAAGTTAACTGCTTCAGAAAAAGTCAATTTATCAACTGCTGTTCGACTTTTTTGGTAGCTCTTAGGGATTTTCTGCAAGTAAAAACCAGCTTTACGAAATAAATATTTTATTCTAGGACCATTCTCCTTCTAATGGTCAGCCTAAAGGTTTCCGTTCAAACAATTCTGAGATTGCCATGTGGACATGTCCTTGCTGATTTTAAAATATACGAAGTTGGAAAAGCACTGTCAGGAAGTGTCATCCAAATCACGACTGGAACAAGTGAATTAGATTGCATTCAGTCATGTGCAGGGCACAAAAATTGTCTCTCATACAACATCAACCCAGGGGAGAAGAAATGCGAGCTCAATAGCAAGACAAGGTACCACGGAGGTGCTGCGTTGGTATCCAAACCAGGCTGGATTTACAAATCGACAGATTACAACGAGACCTTGGTTTGTATGCTTGAACACTTTTGAACACTCAGGAGGGCACTTTGCCATTTGCATATAGTTTAAAAAAACCCTAGTTGGTATAGCGGAGAATTTCAGATTTTCTACGTTCGCATGAAGAAATCTCTTTTCCTTTGCAATGGCATGAAAATGTCAACGTACTTTCTTGTTTCTAAAGGTTGCCTATCTAAATGAAAGTTCATTAAGGTCTTTTTGAAAACAATCTGATTCTGAATTATTTGGGTTCCTCTTGTCCCCTCGCGTTTTATGCAATACTTTTCGTCCGATATATTTCAGAGTATCAATTTCGAAAAGTTAGCAAAGGTAACCTAATACCTCAGTATGCTATGATCTCGCTGTAATTCTAACAACTATGAAAATATGAAAATAGATTTTAATGACATTCGCACTTCGCAGTTTTCCTTATGTTTCTATTTCTCTGAATAACGCTGAATCCTTTAAACATGTCTGTCATACACGAGTGTCAAAAGAATGATAAATTTCGACACAGAAGTAATGATAGTGTTACAATAATTTACAAATTGATTTTCATTCTCGTTGTCGACATTTCTTTCCTTTTAAAATTTCTTTCTTCTTATTTAAGCAGGACAAGCAGGGAAACCAGCAATTATTGTTGAAACTTCTATCCTGTAAAAATATTCGTATTGTTATTTTTATTATTGTTTTAACATACCAGACGCAATTTTCTAGATTGGCTCAACATGCCAGGAGCTGCGACCATGTCCTGGTGAAATGCTCTGCAAAGATACATGCAATTATCCATTCTATGAGTGCATTCAATGCAATCGAACAATGCCTGAAATGTTATGTGCTTTTCAAAATGGTGAAATATATTCTTATCTTTTTTCTGTATCTATTTCTTAACTAAACCTTCCTGATATTAGACAAGAAAGCTAGCAGAATGTTAACTTGTGAATTTTTTGTAAGCTGGATTCGGGAATCGATAGCACTGCGATTCAGAAAATAATGGTCAGGAATCGGGCAAAAAACGTAGCGGGAATTCGGAATAAGGGGGCCTGTGGAGTAACCTCAGAAGATAATTCTGAATGATTCGGTGCTTGAAGATTATTCATAGTTTATCTGAGCCGTGTTTCCTACTGAAATCAAAATGTATAGTGTGTAAATGGTGATCTCTGAAAAGGATAGGAAGGTGTTTACAGTCTTCAATTTTGCTAGTGTCATCTGAAGTCTTTAAATATAGTATAGAACATAAGAAATCATTCCAAATAACAAAGAAGAGGAATTTTAAAGCTAAATTTTAAACTGTTAAAGAGATTTTTTGCCAAAGAATAAATTTAACATTCAAACTTATTTACGAACGTTTATGATGTTGAGTGCAAGTTTTTTTATTTTGTTTTACTTCCATTTCAAGCATCAGGACAGTGTGCCAGCAACCCTTGCCAAAACAATGGAGCATGCTTGGAATCAGATGGCATGTACTTCTGTACTTGTATCTCTGGCTATACAGGTATCAACTGTGAAGCAGGTAATGAAACAAAAAGCATCTTCACCTGTTGTATAGTGTTCACTTACAACTTTTCACCAAATAACAAGCCACATGTTCATGTAAATAGTGATTAAGTTAACATAAAAACAGCTTAAATTCAAAAAAGAGAACCATTGTATGAGATGTAAGAAATGTCTTTCATGCTACACAAGGAAATGATATTTCATGCAAGCAAAAAACTAACCGATAGCTTATATCTTCAATTCATGCCACACAAGGAAATGATAACCGTATAAAATTATATACATCTTTTAGGTATAGGTACGTGCTACAGTTTGCCCTGTTTTAATGGTGCACAATGTGAAGAGCAAGGCACAAATTTCACATGCACGTGTTCAAACGGTTTTACAGGGAAAAACTGCGAGACAGGTATGTTTCAGTTTCAATGTCCGGGTAAGCTTGAACTTAAATTTTGTTTTTATATACCAAACGAAGAGTTTAGGTTGCAACATAATGCGTAGAGACCTTATGTACGGTTACTTGTGTCCGTAAAAATGAAAATTGTTGAAAATTGTACAAGAGATTTAGTTGATTCTGATGATGAAAAACAGATTGATCAAACTAGGCGTTAAAAATTTTATGCAAGTCAAACATAGTCCAACTTTACCTGCTGTACTCTTTGCTCAGCAGACAGTCAATTTAGCAGTGCAAGCAGGAAGCTGTTTTTTGGTTTAGTATTCACATACTTTTAGTAAAGGTTTTTGCTAAAATGAATCAGGTTTTCTTTTCAGATTTAATTTCCATAGAATCTTAGACAAGGGTATGATCGGCAGAAGAAAAAATTGGTTTCGGCCAAGAGGATAAATGTTAGTTAGGGTTTTGCAATGCATTATAAGGAATGTTTTGTATAATAAACACGGAGCTATGTTGGTTGATGTAAATTTCATTACAGCTATACAATGTTTCTTTTAGATATAAATGAATGCTTGAGTGACCCTTGTCAGAACGGTGCTACGTGTATCAATACTATAGCTAGCTACAGCTGCAGCTGTCTTCCTGGTTTTAATGGTAGTCACTGTGAAACAAGTAAGGAATTACATTGATTCTTTAATTACACTGATTCTTTGCTCTCAGTCATTTTATTTTTACAAATTTAAGTAGATCATACTAGAAAATAAGTTTAAATAGTGTATAAAGTGTTTTCCGTTTTTAAAATTGACTGAATTGAATATTATTGGGAAATCAGAATTTGACGTAGAACAATCTTCTAATTCACATTACAACGTTTAGAAACACAGGACAATTTTTGCAATTACTTTTTATGTTTGATGAAAATTCCACCTCAGATCTTAAACAATTACAGTTACTAGATTGATATATACGAATTTGAGTTATCCAGTGTTGCTAAACCTAGGCATATTTAAGAAAGAATACTTGGTATATTGTTTGTCTTATTAAACTATGACAGTTTTGTCTTTCTGCTACTAGTTTTATCAATTTTTTTGTATGCATCAAAAATTTGACAACTCAAAATAAATTTCAAAATTTTCATTGGGGAAAAGTTTTACGTAAGAGAATTGCTGCTGCAAAGCAGAGTATCTTGAACTCTTTCTCATTTAGAGATCAATAAAAAATCAGTCATTATAGTTGCAATTGAGGAGATATTTTTTCGTGGAAAAGTTTCAATAATGTAAGAAAAAAAAGAAAAACTACTTCATGCTAACAGGAACGTTTTATCTAGCATGATCAGAGACCAAAGCTACGCCAATATTTGAATTGGTCTGTGATGCAGGGTTCTCTCAAAGCTCTTTCTAGAGGGCTTTCGTAAAAGGTTCGTGTGTAACCGGCATGCTTAGCGGCAGTTGTCTTGAGAAATTGACAGTGTTTTGTATTTTCTTGCTGCACGATATTAGGCCGGTTTTTTGAAATTTAGTCGAAAAATATTGGGGGTTCCAGACTCATACCAAAATATTTTGTATTGCTCTGATTGCAAAAAAATTATTGTGGTATAAGTTTTCAGACAATGAAGTATAGCTTTAGCTTTATGTTCCAAAACAGTCATAGCATTTTTGTCAGTGTAGCCCAAAGCATTTATTGTTTTTTTTGGAATATATGAAACAAATCTTTGAATTCCCCTTTCAAATATTATCGAGCAACTTGTATTGGGGTTGCAGCTTTAATTTCAATTTCTACTTTATTTTTCAAAGACTGTAAGTATTGTATCATTTTGTAGATTAGGTATTCAATGTATTTTATTCTTAGTGTAATGTTTTGTTTAATTGTTGTCTAGCAAGACGGTTTGAAAACATTTACTTTAAACTTAACATGTACATATTGTAAAATGATTACATGTTGTTCCTGCGAAGTAATTTAGGACAAATTTTGATTGTTCGGAACACAGATTTATTTAAAGTCTAATAATCTGTCATATGATTAACTTTTTACAATTTCCCCCTTGCTAGATATAAACGAGTGTGCTAGCAATCCTTGCCAGAACTCTGGCACTTGTGAAGATAGAGTCAATCAATATTCCTGCCAGTGTGTGCCAGGATTTACAAGCACGCATTGCGAAACAGGTATGTTTTATAAAGATGCAAACTTGGTCTCCAATTTTCTCCAAGCAGAAAGATTTAACCGAATAAAACCGGTAACTACCTTTACTTTGACATAAGAAAAAAGAGTTCTTTTAAGATTTTTAACTATAAAATTTGTTGCAATCTCCCAAACAAAATGCACACTATTGATACCCAATTTTTGTTTTACAACTGATGTTTTGTTGATGTTTTCAAACGCTGATTTGATCTTTAAACTTGTTAAACTTTGATGGGAAAGTCTGGAACTGTTTCAAAAATATTGATATGGATAAGTTATTTTCCTTTAATCTAGATGTCAACGAATGCTCAAGCAATCCTTGCAGATCTGGCTCAACATGTCTTGATAATGTCAATCATTACAGTTGTCAATGTGAGCCAGGCTACAGCGGCATAAATTGCTTTCAAGGTAAAATAACCACACTCTGTTTTCCTTTCTTTTCATTTTCTAGATTCCTAGGAATGTGCAAGTTAATCTGAAATTAATAGAATAGTTATAAACCACTTGATTATAAAATTACTTAGTTTTCATCAAGCTTAATTGAATTCGTCTTTATCAAGTTTTTTCATTGCAGAAATCGATGAATGTGCTAGCAATCCTTGCCAGAACGGAGGAACTTGTCAAAACTTGGTAAACCAGTTTGTATGCCAATGCAACGTTGGATATACTGGTTCTCGCTGTGAACAAAGTAAGAGCAAGACTTTATAACTTACTGTAACCAGGGCCGGCGAGAGGTTTCAGAGGTCCTGAGGCAAAATCCAAAGATGGGCCACCTGCGTGCGGTGGGAGCAGAAAGTCTTTGCACCCACACCGTTGATATAATCTTAAAATACTTTTAATGATATTTCCCAAGTCATTTTTGCAATCGCTTAAACATGAATACGATTTTAGTCATACTATTGCTACGCTTGGTTAATTCCATACTTAAAATGGACTTCATTACTTTTGGAAGCCTCCTAGACCTCGAGGCTCTGGGGCAATTTGGCGCTTTGCACCTTTCTTTCGGCAGCCTTGACTGTAATTGCAGCACAACATTGCAAAATCCACCACTATTCAGATAAGAAGGCATTTTCAGACTTTCGATGATGATAGACATTTTTCAGACTTACAACTTTACCGTCCTGTTATTTTTTTGAAAATGTCAGCTGAAAAATTCATTTTCATGTATTTGCATTAATCTTTAGAGAGACATCACCCGACTATGTAGAGATTTGATAAACCCAGTAGCCAATTATGTAGATTAATACCTTAGTTCTAACTTAGTTTGTGCCTACCCCCTCCTCAATAAAATCGAAGACTGTACTTAAAACATTATTCCCAGTAGGGCTTTAACTATGAAATAGCCTTTTTGTATCTGCATACGCTTTCAAATAAGAAGATGTTCTTTATCGATAACCTTCGATTTGTTTCAAAATTAATTTTGCAAAGGTTTTTGATAAAACAGGCTAGATGGAAACAGGCAAATAGCCATAGTACACTTGACTGTTTGCCAATGATGGAACTTAAAGCCAGGCATGTGGTGGAGCTTTCATTTAAGAACAACTTTGATCAACAAAAGCCCAACGACATCAACATATTGCTAAATGATATTACCAGAAACTTAAGATTTTGTTCTGTGCCGCTTATCCAGGGTGTAGCTAGCGGGAGAAGGTTGTAGGTGGGTGGGACATTTATCAGATACTTTATTCGTAAAATCATCTATCAGTAGGTAAAATCATCTTTCAGTAGGTAAAATCATCTTTCAGTAGGTAAAATCATCTTTCAGTAGGTAAAATCATCTTTCAGTAGGTAAAATCATCTTTCAGTAGGTAAAATCATCTATCAGTAGGTAAACTCATCTATCAGTAGGTAAAATCATCTTTCAGTAGGTAAAATCATCTTTCAGTAGGTAAAATCATCTTTCAGTAGGTAAAATCATCTTTCAGTAGGTAAAATCATCTTTCAGTAGGTAAAATCATCTTTCAGTAGGTAAAATCATCTATCAGTAGGTAAACTCATCTATCAGTAGGTAAAATCATCTTTCAGTAGGTAAAATCATCTTTCAGTAGGTAAAATCATCTTTCAGTAGGTAAAATCATCTTTCAGTAGGTAAAATCATCTTTCAGTAGGTAAAATCATCTATCAGTAGGTAAAATCATCTATCAGAAGAGATATATGCCGATTCCACTGCACTTATGATGTGCATTCAATAATTTCAGTAAAGCTGCGACAGACCTCTTTAATAAACCGTCGGCAGATATTAAAGTCAAGGGAGTTTTCATCACAAATGCCCAATTACTTACGCATAGAAATGAAAAAAGACTTTTAGCTTACCACTAGAATGAGCTGAATATTTCTTTATTTCATAAATATTTTCTTCCATATTGCAATTTTCATTAAGCACCCTCATTGGTAGAAAGGAGATATTTTTAGCTCATTTGCCCTGAATCTCAGTTCCTTTTTTCATCGATACAATTCAGGAATTTTGCTGGTCAAAAAAAATGTAGAGGCAACAAATTGATATTTGATACATCAATCGAAAACTCTCAAAATCTTACTTAACATTCCTAAAGTGTGACTTTGGACATGAAAGTTGAATATTATTCCGACATTTCGATCACGGATAGTTGTGGAGAAAATTGCAACTTTACAAACAAACATAGGATAAACACAGTTTTCTTTCATTGAATTGGTACCAGTAAAATATGAAAAAACACGTCACAAGATACCATGAAAAAAACATATAAACATCAACTTAGGGCGAATCAATTAAAGGACGAACGCCCCTTATGAAATTAACGAGAAGCTGGTAATTTAAAATGAGGTCTCTTGCAATTTGAATATATCCTGCTTTGTGCAGAGGCGGGGCCAGTCACCAATGTCATAGAAGCAATTTTTTTAAGACACACCATTTTTACTTCCAAGAACAGGATTTCGGCATAGATGAGTGCCTGTACTGCTAGTAGGATATACTCATGACCAACTTTTTCAAGAGCGGATTATTTAGAATGACAATAGTCAAATTTCCAAAACTTCTACTCCAGTTGGAGAACCGACCTTACCTGACAGGAAAATGTTAATGATATATTATTGATCTTTTTAGACCACCGTAGAACACCATGCAAGGAAGAAAAGGCTTGTTTGCTCTCTCATAAAGACAGCAATAAAAACTATATCTTACATCTGACTTTCTTCTTTAAATAGATATTGACGAATGTGCAAGTAACCCATGCAAAAACGGGGCTACATGTATTGACGGTGTGAATCAATGGACCTGTAATTGTCCCCCTGGTTTCAGTGGAACTGTTTGCTACCCAGGTAAGTTCTTATTTTACTGCATTCGTATGGGAAAGAAATCCTATGCAAAGAGCGGCAACTGCCAACCGTTGATTTGCTATGTACAAGCTATGCTATGCTAGTCCTAATACAAATTACAAATTCTTCTACATGGCAGAGCAATTTATAAAATGGAACTAATCCTTGAACATGTAAGGAGGCTTTCATTAGAAGCAAAGTAGAGTGAAACCACCAATAACCATCACCTCTGTACAACAGCTACCTCAAGAAATGTGGCCAATGGAGAAAGTCCCTGTCGAATTAATGGTCAAAATCTCATAAAAACCCTCCGCACGTTAGCCAACTCCAGCCAACGGCCAAACGGTCACTTGGGAGTTCCCAATGCCTTATTTGACCTCCATTAACGGTCAAACAAGCAACCTTTGCAATTAACTGAAATAAAATTCCAACAAAATTGTTTATTAAATGTATTAAGAAAGCAACAACTTTTTTTATCAAACTCATTAGCTTTTTCCAGCCTTTTCCCCTTGCTTGATACATCACAGAAGTTTCAAGTGCTAGCCCGACCCCACGGTTTATTTCTATTTACGATTCAGTGACAGTGCATGATATCGTGGATCACAACGTTGTGAGTAAAACCAAGTGTATAAATTTCTTGAATCACCCCTCTCCCTCTTCCGACTGGATAAAAATGATATATGAAAAACCTCCTCATAGCGGTCACCTCTAAAACAACGGCGACTAAGCTTGTTCCCCAAAGTGGCCGCTATTAGAGGTTCCACTGTACATGCTATGCATTCACACAGCTTTTACTTTTGATGCTACATATTTGAGTGTCTACTAGTCATACTGTATGTAGATGGAAAAGGTAATTGGTTAACTGCAAATGTAACTGCATATAATGAGGTTCTTTTAATTTGAATATGATTAAAATACAGCTGTATGTAGTCCCAATAGGAAGGGTAAATTTCTGAAGATCTTTGATTCCTTAATTTATGTATGAAAGATATGATCTGAAACATTATATATGCATAGAAATTTGTCTTTTGATACTTCCGTAGCAAAGTGCTCAATACATTAGCAAGTAGAGCGTGATATATCATAGAGTTGAAGAAAATAAGACTACATGGTTTATCTCTACAAGCCTGTTTCGTGAGTAACTCACTCTTCAGGAGATGTTACTCACGGACATCTCCTGTGACTTCAGGAGAACATCTATATAGCATAGGTTCCAAATCTTTGATTGGCTAAGAGTTCTGATTACATTCAAATTCTCCATAGCCCTTTAGCCAATCAGAATTCAAGAATACGACAACAAACGTGCCTCGCAGCTAGATTTAGGCCTATTTTGGACGTTTTTACCACTACCCACAAAAAAATAAACGTGTAAAATTTGTTGCAAGATAACCTAAATTTTTTTTTAAAAATTTAGTCTTTGGTAAATTTAGAAAAAAACTGCCGTTGTACTCAGTTAAAAATTTTCCGCGATCGTCAGTTACGAAGGCTTGAAGTTAGCAGTTCACCATCCCCCCAATGACAGCGAAAGAAGTTTGAAAATTCACACTGCTTGAATGTTAAAATCTATTTTATCTACGTAATCAACAAATTAGAACTCACCATAACAAATACATGGCAATATCTTTGCATATCGGCATGAATGTCTATGAAACTTACGTGGAAAAACGCTACATTTTACCAAAACAATATGCAGCTCTTCTATCTCGTAAAATCGTATTAGCATCAGCATCTCAACTAATGTAATCCGCTTAAACTTATTTTCAACTTCTTCATAATTACTTTTTGCACTCAGTTACTTCATATATTTCTTTTAAATACTTGTAAAACCAACGAGAAACTCATGTCCACTGCCAGTCCACTGCTGAAAAGGCTATCGCAATGCAGAAGCTGACGCGATTTGTAATGATAAAAAGGGCGGGAAAATCAAACATACGTCACTTGCGAAAATTTTTTTGTTGTGGCTGGAAAATTTTCGTTATACTCGCATGTAATTAAAATGGGAAAATTTTCAAAAAATTGCGCAAATGAAAGACACGACGTTTGGAGAAGTATGTCTCCATTAATGGTTAATTTAAAAGCAAGAGTCGGCACTTCTAACCCTTTTTTCAAAGCTTTCAAGCAAAAGGATTCGAAGAGGGCAAAATATCACATCTGTACAGACTGTCTCAAAAAATGTTGGAAGAAACGCGAATTCACTTCTACTTTGCCAGAGAGATACGAGAATCTCCCGTCATATGCAACAGTAAGTATTCAAATAACAAGAATATCAATTCTCATAAAAATTTCATACCAAGTACACAATACTTCCTGTTGCCACTTTTGACTTTGTCTATTTATACTTTTTGCTTCTTTAAGACTTAACTATCATATTCTGAATAGTATACAAATAGATAAAAAAACATATTAAATATGTGGCTGGTTAAGGGGGAGGTGCTCTAGATAAAATTATGATATTTGCAGGGGAAAGCGGGGGTCATTTTTTGGGGGGAGGGTACTATTTACAAAATATATTTAGGTGGTTGAATATATCTTAAGGGGCTAAAGATATTTTAGAAAGCTATAGATATTTTGGTTGACTGCAGATATTGTTGAGGCATAAAGAAGTTTTTTTGGGGCTTCAGCTATTTTTTTCAGGGGAGGATGTTAAGGATACTTTGGGGGGGGGGCAAATATATTTTTCTGATAAATGCTGGTGCTTTCTGGTGCTTTGGAAGGCCACAGTTTCATGCCACTGTGCACCAGACCTTAAAAGAAATTAAATGAATTGACTACAGGGTTGAAAGAAGTCTTCAATTACAAAATTTAGGTAAATAAACTTAAGAAAATATGTTCAAAGATGATATCATCTGATTTTCAGCTGATGAATGCAATTGCTGATGTTGAATCTGAATCATCTCAGTCCCAAGATACAGAATCAGCTTTCAGCATAAAAGATGAAAATGCTTCTGACTTTAATCAGATTGATGATGATTCTCAGGAAGGTCCCAAGCCCTTGAATTTTCAGACAAAAACAGTTAAAGGCGAAACATTCTATCTTGTTCCTGAGTTTCTTGCGATGGACTACGCCATCATGAAGATGACGATGACGGTATTGTTGCCAATGAAATTGATGCCAACTGTGGTGACGATGAGGATGAGGAGAGTGGAGTTGAGGAATTAGAGAAACAAGAGCCTCGCATCAGCTGTACACTTCTTCGATTAAAGCAGCAAATCTTCAGCTGGGGCCTTATTCCCGGCCCAAAATGAAAGGGAACACACACATAGTAGTTGTGCCATCGACGAATAAAACGGTTTTTTTAAAAACCACCATCAATGCCGATTAGACAATATCCACGTCAACACACACGATAATATAGTGTAAACAAGCCGTAAAAAGCCACAACCGCACTTATTGAATCCCACTAATTATGATCAAAGCGAGTACACTGAACACACACCAAACAGCATGCTTGCGCGCATCATATGGTCTCTCCTCCCTAATTGGGGGGATCATTTGGGAAAAAATTTACTGAGCACAAAGGAAAGTTATCAGACACTCGATTTTTAAAATCATAGATCATTTTCAACACTCTTTAGACGATTAATTTTTTTCTGGGGAATCGTAAAAACGTGCAAATACACTTTACACGATTGATCTTTTTCTTTGCAATCGTAAAAACGTGTAAATAAGGCCCAAGTCAAGATTCGAGGCACGTTTCCCGCCCTTTTTTATCATCGCGTCAGCTTCTGCATTGCGATAGCCTTTTCAGCAGTGGACTGGCAGTGGACATGAGTTTCTCGTTGGTTTTACAAGTATTTAAAAGAAATATATGAAGTAACTGAGTGCAAAAAGTAATTATGAAGAAGTTGAAAATAAGTTTAAGCGGATTACATTAGTTGAGATGCTGATGCTAATACGATTTTACGAGATAGAAGAGCTGCATATTGTTTTGGTAAAATGTAGCGTTTTTCCACGTAAGTTTCATAGACATTCATGCCGATATGCAAAGATATTGCCATGTATTTGTTATGGTGAGTTCTAATTTGTTGATTACGTAGATAAAATAGATTTTAACATTCAAGCAGTGTGAATTTTCAAACTTCTTTCGCTGTCATTGGGGGGATGGTGAACTGCTAACTTCAAGCCTTCGTAACTGACGATCGCGGAAAATTTTTAACTGAGTACAACGGCAGTTTTTTTCTAAATTTACCAAAGACTAAATTTTTAAAAAAAAATTTAGGTTATCTTGCAACAAATTTTACACGTTTATTTTTTTGTGGGTAGTGGTAAAAACGTCCAAAATAGGCCTAAATCTAGCTGCGAGGCACGTTTGTTGTCGTATTCTTGAATTCTGATTGGCTAAAGGGCTATGGAGAATTTGAATGTAATCAGAACTCTTAGCCAATCAAAGATTTGGAACCTATGCTCATCTATATATATATATATATGTATATATTAATTGAGGGAAATTAATTGACTTGGTGGAAGGGGAAGAAGAGGATTTGCCCCTTGACGTAAGTATGGCAAGGGACTCTCCTCTGCAATTCTCTGTATATATCTATTTCCATTGGTTCTTTGTTTGCAGAGGACACTTATTATTTTTATACATTTGTAGATTGTGCTCAAACATTGACTGGATCATCAGGAACTATTGCTAGCCAAAATTATCCGTCTGTCTACCCAAATAGCCATGAATGCATTTGGACAATAAACGTTGGAGCTGGCTCAACAGTCAGACTGGAATTTCTTACTTTCAGACTTGAAGGTATATCATCTTGTTGGGATTACGTCACAATAACACAGGGCTCTGCAAACTCTCTAATTGCCAAATTGTGTAGGAGCAATTTAAGTCAGAAAGTATTCATTTCGACCGAAGGTATTGTCAAAATAACTTTCAAGACGGACTCTTCGTTAAATTACTCCGGCTTCGAACTGATTTGGACGAAAATGTAAACGGCTTAGAATATATTTACCTGAGTTTGGTAGTTTCAGTACAAGAAAGAAAAGAGAGTTTTCTATCAATCATCAGAATAAATCATTCCGAGGGGCGCACATTGAGCTTTATGGGAATGCACATTGACCAAAGATATGTTGATTTGTATCCTAGAATGTCGCGTAAAGGAATGTCCTGGAAGCATCATTGAAATTTTCAGAGTCCTTTGATACTAATGAAAAGTTTTAGCCTTAGTGAAAAAAAATGTACCCTCACTTTTGACAAAACTAATAAAATGTGGCTTTATCTTTGTGGAAATGTTCTCCGTTTTATGAGAATCGTAGCTCAAGCCCACTAGAATCTGTTCTGAAAATTTAAAGCCCAAGATTGTAACCCAAGAATTTTTAACTTTATGTATTAATGCTAGGTGATTTGTTTGATAAAAGAAGTATGCCATCTAATGAATGTTCCCACACTTTATCAAATAGATAGCCCTCATTAAACTATAGTGACTCTACTTAGGCCTGTTAACGCTAATTTTTCCTTCCAATCCATTCCATCACATTCTCACATTACAGCACAGGCATCACTCTCTTTTCATGCGTTTGTTAATCCGTATTGTTTACTTAATCTTTGCCAATTTACGCTTCTTCTCTACTCGCCCCTCCTATCTTTATCTCACATCGTTCGTGTTAATTTTAGATATTCATTTCTGTATATAAGTATGTTAATTTGTGAGTAATTTTAGTTCAGTTCAGATCAGAGCTATACAGGCAATCTTCTGTCTCTCTTCTCCAGCTCCGTGTTCTCTGCGCGTAAAATAAAACACAACGCTAGGTTTGGAAATGGCACGTAATCGATGAATGGACTTATTAGTTAACGAACGGCATCAAATAATAACACAACAATGCGCAATTCTCTTTACACTAAAAAACTTTATACAATTTTAGGGACCATCCTCCTGTGTATGAGCAATCCTCCCTCTTCAGTTTTATAGCTAAAACTCAAAGAGAAAAAGATTGCTCTTCTTGATAATACTTCTCTTACATCTAAAAATGTCTAAAATTTCAAATTTTAATACAACTATAATTTTGACGCTGGAAAAAGCATAAAGAAAGGTAACGTAATATTTTTCAAACACAACGTAAACCCGTTTGTTAGCTACAATTTAGATGCTAGACAGAATAATTTTACAACAATAAAGAAATTGAATCTTTCATCGAAGTTTACTGGTCATAGAACGAGTGATTGACATAAGATCTTCGACGCAAGAAACTTGTTTCCTGATTTTTTATTACTTCCCATTTTTTCTTACTAATTGAGTGGAATATTGAAAACGTGAGAAGTACCCAAAGGGGGATTGAGCATTTCTTAAAGCCAACAAAATCTTTTGGGCATTTTTAATATCATGTTATCATTCAATCTAACCATATCTCTAAACTCTACCTTAAGATTGAAGTATGTATTTTCCTTTATCAATCAGCCTGCTTTCCTGGCAGGGCAATCGTTATCAAATAATTAGAAATAAAATGAATTGGAAATATCAATAGCTTGCATTTTTCAGCAAACTGCATGTAGCATAATCATTATAGATCTATGGCATAACAGAACATAACATATACATGATAAATGTTCCATATTAGATTGCAGTTCGAGCAATTTTCATAGGAAACTAGGCTCAGGATTAGAATCAGTTTCTTAGTATCTAGCTGATCTAGTACTCAAAGTTTTTTTAAATAATTTATTTAATACCAAGTAGAAAAAACTACTTCTAGAAACTTGTAACGCAAGGTGTTCTTCTTTTTATTATTGAAACAGAAATTGGAACCTTAAAAAGTTATATCTATCCAACTTAGTAAAAAAGCAGCAGTTTCTGTTTGAAGGTGATCAGTTCTATGATTACTTAAGGCTCAATTTGTTATAGATAGGCTCTTCTAAAATAAAGTCTGTATCATCATAGTGAAATTTTTTATAGATCTAGTTTCATGTCCAACTTTTTCTATTCAATTATTTATTATTTATTAGAGTTTCATGTTAAACTAATTTACACTTTTTATTCGTTAGCGTGTAGCCTTCGTGTTTATATTATTAGATGACACTGTAAAATTAATTCAATATAAATATGATCATTAACGATGAGATAATTAATATTATAAAACATAATAAAAATATATGGTATTAAGACAACTGGAAAGTTCCTTGGAATGTAATTAGTCTCTTCTCAGTAACACGAGTTTTAGTTAGAGTTACAAGTGTATACTTGGTTCTAAATTATCAAACTTTCTTTGGAATAACCAATACTATTTATTAAAAAACCTTGATATATTTATTACCAATACTATTTATTAAAAAACCTAAATATTGTATGTGAAGCTGATTTTGAAAAATTGAAACTTTATTAGAAACTGGACCGAGACTATTTACCATAGCTTTTATTTCAATATCTATTACTACTTTCAAATATCAAATACCTCTGAAGTTAGAGACTATAGACAATTTTTTATTTTATTCTAAATATAATGAAAAACAGAAGCATAATGCATGTTACTTTAGGACAACTTATGTCCCAAATGCTTTAGATAAAACGTCGAAAATGGATTAAAATGTGAGTGAAATTTGTACCCAGGTAGAGACTAAAAGTAACTTGAAACGGAAAAATCACATCATCAATCAATTACTGATTTGTCAAAATGTATTTTGCTGGAACAAGATGTATTCATTTTACAATATTTAGACAAGTAACATTTTATACAACATGCTTTTTAAACCAATGTTCCAGACAAAAATAAAAAAAAACTTTAACTTAAGAACAAAATATCTTAAGATGCCTAATTTACAATGTGTCACAATTTTATATCGATGAAAATTAAAGTAAACATGGAAATTACCCCGTCAAAAGTTGTTTTCTTTGCTGGGACAAGCAAATTCAAAGAATTTCTCCTTTTTTAATATATTTTAATACAGGCTAGACTGCTAAAACGCTACTTTTCAACAATACAGGGAACAGTACCCTGGGAAGCAAAAGCTTGTGACTACCCAAGGGCCATTGCGTATAGTTTAAAAAAGCTTGCCACGAGAGTTTTTGCAATCAGATTAATACAATTTGAATGGGATAACATCGCAATAATTACCTGGCATCTGATTGGGGACAGATTTTGGTCAAATAATTTAGGACAAAAAGGTTAAATTAAAACAGAACAAGTCAAAAAGAACCATTATTTTGAATGTGATCAAAGGGTTTCATTTGCATGGTCTATGACGAATTGGAAATTTTTTACTCAAATCGACCACATTTATGGATGAATTGTAGAGTGAGTAGAAGTATATTTCCAATTAGTTTATATTGAAAGTCTTTATCACCTAGCTTCTTTCTATTCAAGAAAATACGATATGCAAACTATCATCGATGAACGAGATGCAAAAGTGTGACGTAGGGGTTTTATTTGCAAATCGATTTATTTGTGCTGTTTTTTATCTCAAACCCCCAGATATCTCTATACAGATATGAAGCGAAAAGTTTTCTGTTCTAGAGGAAATGTTATAGGAAATTCGTTTCTTTTCACCAAGCTGTGTGTAAAATCTTCTTTCGATTGCTCAAAGATGTGACGTGCTCCATAGGCCTGGCTACGGGTTGAGAAAAGGAAGTTTTCAGTCTTTGCAAGTTTATCGTACTGCTCTTAAAAATTCTTTCAACTTTTGGCTGGAGACATCCATTAAAATGACAGTTAAACTTGTTTAGAGATGTTGATCAAGCAAGTGCACAAGATACATAGAATCAAAATAGGAGCAATGAAATGGTTGCAAAATTTGTTTGTGGTACCATTGAAAAGTCTCCTCTTTATTCGGAAATTTTAGAATGGATGAAAACAAGAATAGGGGTTATATTTCAATATTCTCCGTCTTCATAACACCTTCATCAATTGATGAACCGAACTGCTGTTTCTTAGATTTCAATCCAAGTCAACTCAAACCCTTTCTCGGCTGTGTGATCAGTTGACCTTAAATCAGTTAAAGGCAGTCTGTCCCCTATTGTGCTCAACTTTATTTTCACGGGAGTGAAATTCACGCACCATTGAGCTTGATCGATAATTAAACAATTTAAGCCAATCAGTGACAGCATGGATTCCAGAGCTTTTGAATCAAATGGCTGTGCTCCCGTTGAAGTGAAGCTGTGGCTAGAAAAAATTTATTCCCTGTTTGGTTTGTGCGACAGATATGTCAACAGGGAAAAGAAATGCTTCCATTATCATCATTCAATTCCAGCCACTATACCTTCTTGCAATTTCCGATAGCCTTTTGCTTGCAGTTTCAAATGTCGTCCACTATCGCATCTAGGCCAGCCAAAGCGAGCAGCGTAATCCGTTAAGGCGGGAAGACCAATTGTTCAAATTAGCCAATCATTGAAGGGACTGACTGCCTTTAAAGAAAGTCCTTTAAAACTCAATGTTTTCACTGACAAGGTTGAATCACAAAGTTTGGCGATAAAAGGAGACCCTGTGCTTCGTCCATCAAATATTGTCATCGAATCGTATCTGCAAATGATGCTATCATCAAGAATGAGATAGAGAACTTCCACTCGGACTTTTGAGCCATTACTAACATCGATTGTCTACAATCAGTTATTATTATGTGGGAACTCAGACAGAAAGTTTTTGCTTGCAATACTGTCGGACGATCTTTCAAAATTTAGGCCACATTTTAGAATCGGATCCAAATTACGTTTGTTACGATTTTAAAGAATCTAAAGTTTGAGAACAGCATACATAACATGCAAACCCACGGTGGTAGCAGAAAATTTTGAGTCGATGCCAACAAACGAAAAGAATTGAGACAAAGTCAAGTTGAATTGTTTGCAAATAAATTAAAAATTGCTTTTCCTCTTTGCTTAACTGAATTCAGAAAAAAATTAACTTCTTCATTAATACTTCTCTTTCAGGAAGACAAATATTTTTTATGTTATTGAAAAATAAACGCTCTAAAAATTGGACATCTTATAAAATAAACTTTGATTGAGACTAAAGATAATTTTACTTCAATTTAACTTTGCTAATTGAGAGAATTTTGATGCAAAAGAATTCGTTAGAAAGGAATTAGCTTGTTCATGAAGAGTGTTTAGAGAATTTCAATACAATTTAATTACAAATGGATAACGATACACGAATATCTAAAACAAGATAGCTTATCAGTATAAACAATACTGTTGTCATAACGGTCTTGCTGGCTTAAAAGTTACAGCGAAATTATCTATGTTAAAATAGTTAGAATAAAAAGCAAAAATAAAAACTGTCTAGAAAAAACACGGGATTCGATTTTCTTGCGCATAGGGGCAAGCTGTTGAACTTTATTTTGCAGCCAAGAAATAAAAGTCCCTTTCGACCGAATTCCGTTTTCATTAGTGGCAAACTTGCTGATTCTTTCTCATTTCTTGTGTACTTCCCATGTGTTTTAAATGTGAAGTAATCTTTTATCTCATCGCTGGCGTTTTGCTGAAGGTTCTCTCAAAGACTAACGGAAAAGCTCTTTCTTTAGTTATTGCATCAATTTTCAGTATACATAGGTCAACCGTCAGGTTATTTGACTTAATAACAACTTTATGTCTATTTTCAAAACTTTCGATTCTGAGCTGTTAAGACTGAGACCTGGCCAAGAATATCAACCAGCAGTATCAAAAATTGGCATTATAATTGTTCTTTAGATCAATTCCGCAGCTGCAGAGTCAATAACGTATCGGATTTTTCTCAATAGCTTTAACCGACCAGTAGCTTGCTTGTAAATATTATTGAAATGATCATCTAAATTTAGAGTTTGATCTAGATGAACTCCATTGGCTGGAGGTTTCATTGATTTTAATGCCATTCAGGTTTATTTGCATTAAATTTGATTCAAGTTTAATTAGCTTTTTAATGTTCCAAATATCATGGTTTCTGTCTTTTCTTTTTTCCAGTTAATTACTGATTTGTTGCTATCAAACAAGGATTTGGGGCTGTTCAGGTCTTCGCTAAGTTTTGTCTTAATTTCGTTCAGAGAGTTTGAGGAAGTGTACATAACTGTGTCATCAGCATATGTTATGGTTTTTGAATGTTTTAGGACATTGTGGGCAGCATTGAACTTGATTATGAATAGTAAAGGTCCAATGATCGATAGAATTGAGGGACACCACAGCTTATTGGTATACGTTCTGAGAAGAAGCCACTGCACTGAACAACTTGAGTCCGGTTGAAGATATAGTCAATGAACCACATTAATTCATTCCCATGAATAACAGAAGATGGTACTACTAGAATGGTACTAACTGTGTCGAATTCTTTTGATAAATCGATGAAAATTGCTCCTGTTAGAGAACCTTTGTCAGTCTCCTATTCTATGTAATCAGTAGAGAGTGTGAAAACCAATCTTTTAGATCGCTTTTAACGAAAACCAAATTGGTGCTCTAAAAGCAAACAGCTCTTTTCTAAGTGATCCCTCAGCTGCTTGTGCACGAATGTTTCCAATACTTTTTAAATGCCCGGTAGTATTGATAGTTTTCTGTATCTATCCTGCCACCAATTTTGTATAATGGTACGATTTTAGCTCCTTTCCAAACTGATGGACCATTCCCAGTCAACGATGACAGATTGATAAAAAATGCCAAAAATGCAGCCAAAACGGAAAGCTAACTTTTAAAATCTTCTTATCTGATGGCTTTTTTCCTTTTTAGGTTTTTAAGCTGGTTATAGACTTGAATCGTATTTACTTCGATAAAAGAAAAATGGTTAGTGCACTATCGGGTAGTGCTCTCATGTAGCATCAAGACAAACATCTTTAAAAGTATCGATTTTGTTTTAATCGTTTCTGCAACGGTGGCAAAATGATTGGCAAAAGCATTTGCAATTTTTTTACCGTCTGCAGTCTTCTGACTATCTACATTTAGTACTGGAGTTGGCGATACAGTCTTTGTTTTATTTGGATATACCTTCTGATTTTCCCGTCTGCATTTTCCCGAAGCAGTTTTTTGTTATACCTTGCTTTGATATTATTTACGAGATTACTTACTCTAGTTCTTTGGTGTTTGTAAGCTGACCTTGCACATAAGATTTCATCATATACTTTGTTTACCTCGCAAATCAGATTGCAACACATACTTTGTTTACCTCGCAAGTGAGATTGCATCACATACTTTGTTTACAATGTAAATGAGATTGCAACACATACTTTGTTTACCTCGCAAGTGAGATTGCATCACATACTTTGTTTACAATGTAAATGAGATTGCAACACATACTTTGTTTACCTCGCAAGTGAGATTGCATCACATACTTTGTTTACAATGTAAATGAGATTGCAACACATACTTTGTTTACCTCGCAAGTGAGATTGCATCACATACTTTGTTTACAATGTAAATGAGATTGCAACACATACTTTGTTTACCTCGCAAGTGAGATTGCATCACATACTTTGTTTACAATGTAAATGAGATTGCATCACATGATTTGTTTACCTTTGTTTACCTTACAGGTGAGATTGCATCACATAATTTGTTTACCTTGCAAGCAAGATTGCATCACATACTTTGTTTACAATGTAAATGAGATTGCATCACATGATTTGTTTACCTTACAGGTGAGATTGCATCACATAATTTGTTTACCTTGTAAATGAGATTGCATCATATACTTTGTTTACCTTGTAAATGAGATTGCATCATATACTTTGTTTACAATGTAAATGAGGTTGCATCACATGATTTGTTTACCTTACAGGTGAGATTGCATCACATAATTTGTTTACCTTACAGGTGAGATTGCATCACATAATTTGTTTACCTTGCAAGTGAGATTGCATCACATACATTGTTTACCTTCCAAGTGAGACTGCATCGCGTACTTCTCTAGAATTTTTCTGATTGGTAAAAAACTGCAATCCTGTAATTATTATTTTCTTTTGAAAATTTTTTGTAATCTTGATCTTGCTTCTATTTGATCATGTAAATATTGCAACAAATACATTTCAAGTGCATCAAATCTTGAATAGCATAAAAGTGTACAATAGTAGTAGCATATTCACATATACATATACTTGCAATTTAAGGTTAACCGAAGAGAAAACAATTATCGATTTCATCTGATCCGGATTCATTGTTTTTGTTTTGTTTTTGTTTTATCTAAATGGTAGGTATTTATTAGGTGATTTTTGTGCAAATTCTATCAATTTAAATAAATATATATATATAAATATATATATTAATATACATCTACATGAGACTTGTTTGAAGTATTGTCTTCACCACAATTGTTTTTAAATTTGGAAGTCCATTCTTTTCTTCTTTGCGATACAAATAATGTCTTCTTTTTTATAAAGCTTGAAGTTTTCCTGTTGGCTTTATATTCTTTTCTTTATATCTTACTCCATATCAACTCAAAGCCCGTGCGCGCTATCACGTTATCACTATAAAAATCTATCTGAACAGTTGAATCTGTCGATGTAATTGTACCTGGTAAATCTGTTCCGCATTCCATCAAAATTTGAGAGTTTGACAAACCTTGAGTAATCTTTACATAGTCATAACATTTATGAGTATCTTCTTCAACATTGAAAGAAAGGAATTCCAGCTTGACTTTAAAGCCAGTACCCACGTCTATCTTCCAAGTGCATTTGTGTTGCCGTGGATACAACTCAGGGAAGTTCTTGCTTGCAATTACACCTGAAGATCCTGTCAAGGTTTGCCCACAATCTAAAAATTTCAATAAGAGGGTGTTTCTCCCTATGCAAAAAGTAAAAATTTTGCTAATAATATAGAGTGCGAGGGAGGGTTGTGGGGTAGCGATTATCTCTTTTTCCATATATATCATATTTGCGATTAACTCTTTTTCCTGACAATGCTTTGGCGTCGGACCGAACCATGGTATTTCCGCAGAGAAATAGCACTGGCCAGATGAAGGTAGGCCTATTTTGTGGAAGACGTAAACCTCGTTGTTGGTTGTATACCCATATCGACGAGCTGATAAAACTTTCGCTGACACTCAAAATGAGGTCGACTTTATTCATCATGATGGCTAAGGAATATACAGTACAAAAAGCACAATTCTTGAGACGGTGAAAATAGAGTCAGGAAACAGGAAAGCATAAGCCACCAGATTTCTCAAGACCGCCATCTTTGCAAATGTTTATTTCTCATATCTTACCTACCTTTAGCATTAAGATATTTGTTATGATGCATTTTGTCATTTTGTTGCATTAATATAATTACTCTACTCTTGTCCAGCACTCTACACTATAACAACAATCAGAAGTCACTTTTTTAAAAGTAAATGGTAATTGGTTGAAGGAAATAAGCTCACCTGGGTAGCAAACTGCTCCAATGAAACCAGGCCTGCAATTACACAGCCATTGATTTGCAACTTCTACACATGTACCCCCGTTCTTGCAAGGGTTACTTGCGCAAACACCAGCATCTGTAAAAGTAATAAAGTAAGCAGATACATCTAGCATTGGTGATTTCTAGTCAATAAAAATCAAAAGAAATACAACAAATTGTGGACGCTCGTCCGCTTCTCTGTTTGCCATAACCACTTCTGTGAAGCCATTAGGCGGCTTATACGAGGGGGGGCTTATACGAGAGGGTCTTGTAAAATTATTGTAGACATTAAAAAGACATGGGGGCATTTCGAGGGGGGCAATTTGAGGATTTACGGTAATAAGAATTCGTACAACAAAGGTTTTGAGTGTGTATTGAATTCGCTTTCGTTCGCAAATCACAATTCTCAAATCGCAAATCGAAAATCGCATGCTGATAGCGGATGAAGTGGAAATAGGCCTTCAACGTAACATTCAAACAATCTATTCGTTTTATTTACGTCAAGTGACTTAGTGAATGTACTTTAAGACTATGCTCTAATTCTAGACTAGCGTTTCAAATTTCTACACTACGTGCATAAAGTGTATGGCTAAAAATACTTTTGTAGAAAAAGTTAAAAGAAAATGAGGAAACATCTCCTTACCTATGACCCCATTGCTGGCGCCCAGGTTGTTTTCAATGCATTGATATCCGGGGCAGTCACAAGTGTCTATACATAAATTATTCACAGGGCAAGGATTTCTTGCTTTGCAGTTCTGACCGATCTAAAACGAAAAAAACCGATTTGCAATTGTCACTGGCTTCGAATCAAGGCCTCAAATTTACTTAGTAACATTTAAATTCCCACGAAGAATTTGTCATAAAATTGTTAACAAAGATGAACTTTGAATGGAAAAGACTTAAAAACATTCAATCAATCTATGACACTAGATAGTCGATTGTCTTTCCAAATGCAGTTTCAAGCAAACGTAACATTTTAAAAGCAGTAGAAGAAAAAATGCATTAGATCTTTTTTAAAAGAAGTAGAAAAGCACTGCAAAGCAAACTGCGCTCACTGGGCGTCACTCAAAGAAGAAATATGTTGGCTCTGATGTTCTTGAAGTAAAATATTTCAAACACATACCAGTTTTTCGGTATAGTCTGTAGTGTAGAAATCCCAGTTTTGATCCTTTAAAAGTAGGGAACTGTTTGTTGAATTAAGAATTGTTCTGCTGTTGAGTTGACATGTCCTACTTCCAAGTATTCTGACATTTACAGATCTGCACCATGGATTGTGAAGGCAGTGCCCAAAACATTCATGAATGTCCACATACTCAGGCTGGGCAATCGTGAAGCCTTCAAGCAGATGACCTTCAACTTTTACAGAAAAGTTTGCGAACATTTTACAGTGAAGTCTCAAGATGTGACAGTTTGTCGAGGTGAATGTCAAGTAGCAAATCAGTGCGCTTTGCGCGATCACAATGAATCTGTTGCGAATGTAAAACAAATTTTTAGCAAGATACAGAGAAAATATCTTTACTTTGATATTTTAGGTGATTCAGTTATTTAGGATGTTTTAGGCGTTAACAACTGTATAAGAATTCAATTCAAATCTGTTTCAGACTGCAAAAGAGCTAGCATTTCATGAATCATGAAAATCATGAACAACATCAACTGTGCTTAGTGATACAGAATTTGTTCTCCAATATTTGAAACTTATTGTTACCTATGATGCTTTCAAACTTCTAGCCTTGTCACAATTCAAGTGTTTTCAAGCCTAGTCACAACTTTATAGTTCAATAACGAATGAATCAATACCGTGAACAAAATGAATAAAAATCAACCAAGGAAACTGACTAGTTAAAGTGCAACAGCCAATTTTGGTGCATAAGTAAGATGACCAGAAATTTTCTAATAATACTATATTAAGATTTAGGTGTAAATGCAGGTGCTCGAAATACAGAGCCTTTCCTTTCTGTTATTGAGCATAAAGTTTTTTTCACATGAGAAGAAAGGCTGATCCACCAATCGGTATCTTAGCTGACTGTGAGATCTCAGACCCTGTTTCCATTGCTCCGCTTTCGTATGAAACCGGTTTTGAATTTGCGTTCCAATTAATACCCTCGAAAGCAAAGTTATTTGATACTAAACTGGAGTCTTTCAAAAACATAGTCACTTGAAAACCGAATCATTCGCAGTCAGTTTCAATAAGAGTCAGAGAAATCCATGACTTTGTTTTTATCACTATGGTTCGAGCAAAGGATATGAAGACAGAGTAATGAGAACACTTTCCTTTCGAGTCAGTTTTTTAACGAAAAAGGAGAAGGCAAAAATAACGGTGACGCTTCATGAAAATACGAAAATGGAAGGTTCGGAAAACGGAGTAATGGGGATAGTGCTTCAGTAGGCTTAGTGAATCCTTTCCTATCGTGAAAACGCATTCTCGCTTGCCGGGATTAAGATAACTTCACTGCTGATGTGCAGGACCAATTTCAAACATTAACTCTGTTATAATGTTTTGCGCAAAGACAGTCGCAAGCGGATATGATCTGGAACACTAATTTAAACTATAAAAAAATAAATAAAAGGTTCTAATGAGTAAGATATCTTATGAACTACTCTCTAGCTTAGAAGTAAGAAATTGGTTTGCAGCAAAGGTTTGAAAGATTGCTTTGTGTATCATTTACTTACCCTCTAGTAGAAAACTCCATACTCTCAAGTTCAACTCCTTTAGGAATGAGCCTAACTTGGGCTAGTCTTTTGCAAACCCTGCAGCCAAATGAGAGTTTCAGCAGTTAACCCATTTTTTATTTTTCAAAATGTTATTAAACTGATATGAATAACATCAAGGACGTATTCATTATTTCATTAGTGAATGTTGTATTTGACTTTATTTTACAAATTAAAGAACCCTGGAACAGATGGCAATGTACTAGTAGAGTTGTTGTTTTGAATGCTCGGTTCTTAACATTTCTTCAAATAAATTAATTACTTTATAAAAATATGATGGATTTTCTAGCTTGGTCGAAAGTGATTTGCCCTACAATGCATTCAAAGGGCAAATTAATGTGTATGAAGAAGGGTTTTCAAGCAGTTTATTGGTAAAGCTGAATTTGCATTGAAAGCATCTCACCGCACAGCATCAGAAGCGTGCCAAAAACAGGTCGAACATTTCCTTTTTGATGCATTAATCAATCCAAGCGTTCATTTTGAATATTTAATAGCTATGCAATAACCATACTACTGGCATTGATTTATTTCAAAAACCTGCAATCTATCGTATAACCTCGAGGCCTAAAATAGATGCAGCAAATCCGTATAGTCAGTCTTATTCAAAGTTTATAGGTTGTGTATATGCAGTTGAAATTTATCAAAACACATAAATATATGTTTTTACCAGTAACAGGGAATCCCGTTTGAAAAAATCTCAATTTTCTAGGCTTTCTAGCAGAAAATCGCAAAACTCTCAAACTATCATTCAGAAACATCTAAAACTAAATATGGAGTTAAGGTTGCACATGATATGAAGATTTGCGGCCAGAAAGGCGGATAGTGATAATCAAAATCATTTTTCTACTGATGATTCACAAACATCCCCTGGAAAGTCCGCTGAATGACGGGTTTTTAAGCATACTTTCCAAATGCGCTAAGAATTATAAATTTAGCAAAAAATAAATCACCAGCAGCCATCCACTTTCACAATAGTCCAACATTGACAGAAAAAGAGTCAGAAATCAGGGCAATACAATTGCAATAGGCTTTAATATGAATATAATGCAAATAATTAGTCACATGCTGCAGTAGGTAAACGCAGAAGCTTAGATTTTTATTATTCAGATCTAGGTTTTACCACAAGCTCCACCTCTGTGAGATTCCCGCTGGCTTGTGCCATGCAGAAATACTGTGCAGGTGTTGACACTTAGATGCAAACTTCAGTGAAGCGCTATTGGCAGATATTTTTCAAAGAGGAAGATGCATCTTACACTCAGGTAATGGCTAGCAGATTACCTTCACAATGATCACTTCTGACTGACTAAGGTAGTTCAGCATGATATAGCACGATCAACTGCTTGTAGAACATTTGTTTCTTCATTTGGTGGCTCCTTAAATAGAGCACTGCGCCTTACAACCAATCTGCCCACATACCGTTGCACATTCATATCTTGATAAGTAGTCATACCTGAATCTTACATAATAGCAAAGGACTGGAACAATTATTCAAGATTATTAAAGAATCTAGACAACCCTTACCATGTAAAACGTGTAGACAACGTGTACATAGTACACGGTAAGCAGCAGGTACACTACCCTTTGTCGTGTAGAGAGACAATCATTTGCCATGTGTCTACATTTCTCCGCATACCTAATTTACTTATTTTTGTATTTTCATATTGTTTATTGCCGTGTTTCAGCTTTGCGCGTTTTCCGTGTCATCCGCGTAACAAATTCGCGTGTTTGACGCTTTGACAAGACCTTAAAAACAAGTACTTTTGTTAATAATCTACTATTGCGCTATCAAAATGAGTATATTTTCTTTAGTGTGCTCGTCCTGCTCGTGTTCTACCTGGAAATTTCAAATCAAACCATTCTGAGATTGCCATGTGGACATGTTTTTGCTGATTTTAAAATATACGAAGTTGGAAAAGCACTGTCAGGAAGTGTCATCCAAATCACGACTGGAACAAATGAATTAGATTGCATTCAGTCATGTACAGGGCACAAAAATTGTCTCTCATACAACGTCAACCCAGGGGAGAAGAAATGCGAGCTCAATAGCAAGACAAGGTACCACGAAGGTGCTGCGTTGGTATCCAAACCAGGCTGGATTTACAAATCGACAGATTACAACGAGACCTTGGTTTGTATGCTTGATTATTCCTACTCCAGTTGTGTTAATATAATTAAAAAGCCAAAAACCTTCAGTAGGAGATGTTTGAGAAAGTTTTAGAGCTTCTGGATTGACCTTTTTATTTTTGTGATCCATCCTTTTTGCAAGAAATATGTAAACTGAAAGCGCTTTTCTGTATTTTTGAAATGTTGTTAGCGCTACACCTAGGCAAATAATCTTTTTTACTATTGATAAAATCAATCTTGGATTTCAGGTTTTGAAATCAATCTAATTGGATAAAAACCTTCCTTAAACAGCGACTTAACATTCCTGCGAATCTGCAGGGCAAATAAAAAACGAGCTTTAATTTCTAGATTGGCTCAACATGCCAGGAACTGCAGCCGTGTCCTACTGATATGCTTTGCAAAGACACGTGCAATTATCCATTCTATGAATGCATTCTATGCAATCGAACAATGCCTGAAATGTTATGTGCCCTGCAAAAAGGTGATAATTTTGTTTTTTTTAATTTTGGCAAAAACTAGGAATTACACATGAAAAGACATCTGTATTATATTCTTTGCTAATAATAATATTAGTCGTTGAACTGGATAATTGTAAGCATTATCTATACAAATATTTACATATATTCATTTTTCAATTTAAAAAAAAATCATGCTAACCAGTCTGTCATGAAGTTCATGATGTCATATAGAGATATATTTTATGTGTATGCATTCTTTTAAATTCAATAAAAATTAATATTAACCAGTCTGTCATAAAATCAATGATGCCGTTTAGGCAGAATTGAAGGCGCCACCCTTTGGTGTGTTGAAAAGGACAGTGCGAAACTGTAATATTGAGTTTCATGCTTAATCAGCGAGCAGCTTTTTGTCATACATTATGCAGGTTTTACAAACGTATCTTAACATGCATCAAATTTTTAAAGGTATTAATTTTCTGGTAAAGATATAGGCAGAAAGATGGTAGCACAGATGATTTCACTGCTATAAACTTTAATTGCGTATGCATATTTCTGCATTGTGCATCGTTTAATAAGCCAACTATTTATATGGATGTTTACCCTGATGACACTTCTTCCACGGCATATTCAATTACATTCTTTCACCTGATGAGAAACAGTCAACAGTGGTAACTTATGAAAGGGAAAAAGATCATATTGGAAGCTCGATTGTAAAAGGCATAGATTCGGCATTAAAAAAATGAATATGATTAAAAATGTCATGTTTCATATCATAATGATAGGCTATCTTATATTGGCACGTATTTACTTTAATTAGCTGCAAATGGGTGTGCCAGCAATCCTTGCCTAAAAAATGGAACATGCATGAATACAGATGACGTGTACGTGTGTATTTGTATCCCTGGCTACACTGGTATCAACTGTGAAGCAGGTAAATGTACAGAACATCAAATGAACTAAAACGCCTTTCTTCTGAATTGTAAACCAATTAAACTCGTTAATAATTAACAAACGCTTTCTTTGGATATAATCATCCTGTATAGGCAAACAATACCTTTTTAAAGAAAATGCAAGCTAATTAGACTAAACAAGATACCACCCTATTGAGCCGTATGAAAAAGGCAAACAACTGATTGTTTTCTAGAATGTTCTCAACACAGCAAGTTTTAGAATTTTCAACAAACAAAACATTTAGCTAAAAGGGCTTTAAGACTGCAAAAACAAGACACTTTTGAAAAACGTCGAAATTTTTTGGGAGGGATTAATGTTGTGAAAAAGACATTAGCGGGGGAGAGAATATCCAAGCACTAGAAAGGGAAGAATCACTTTGCAGTACTAACAAGGGTAACCCATCTCCATCCCCCGAGCCTCATCCCAATATCTATGCCCAGTAGTAAGTAGTACAATCGTATCTCCTTATAATTTTTTAGGGTGTAGTCCACTTTCTTCCTCTTCCACTTTTCCTGATTTGGCAGGAAGTAACTTTTATATTTGGCAAGACCGCCAATTTTTCACCCCCACTTCCATTTTCTGGTTGTTTGCCTTGATTTCCTCGGTTTTCCTGTCTTTTCTTGTTCTTCCTGATTCTCCCGGCTCTTCCTTGTTTACACTTATCAAAGTATTTTCATACCTGCTTGAGATTTTCATATTTGAAGGTTTGCATAAATGAAACTGAAAATTGAATAGCTTGTTACTTTTTACATAACACTCTCTTTGTTCTTATCTGTTGTTGATAAAATTTTGACATCAAACTGATATTATAGTATTTAAAAATGATCGAAATGGAATCTCTGTGGCATTGTCTGCATGTATTTCCGTCCTTGTTATCATATGATTGATTCAAATTAACTGATACCCGATTGTTACCTTCTAGAGCTAAGTCCTTGTTACGTTTTGCCTTGCCTTCATGGTGGAACATGCAGAGAGAAGGGAAGAAATTTTACTTGCACTTGTCTGCCGGGATACACAGGACCAATGTGTGAACAAGGTTTTTTGTTTTGTGATTTCATGGTTAATTTCGCGGTCATTCCTACCTTATCTCTTGTCATGCGTGGTAAATTATAAAGCTTGGTTCCCACTTGGCGACTAAGTGCGTTCAAGTGCGTTCATCTCTGAGCGTTCAAGTTAAACGCCAAGTGGGAATGCTCCGGGCGTTTAACTTGGAGGAGATGAACGCACTTGAACGCTCAGAAAAGTTGAACGCCAAGATCAAAAAATTTTGATCTGAGCGTTTAAACATAAAAGAAGCCGAAAAATTTAAGGAATGTTTCATTCATCAACCAGCAAGTAAGGTGCAAATGTTAAGCCAAAATAAGGCAATTTCAACCGGAGTCGATTTTGTTTCTTTGGCCTTAATTGGTTCTCTGAACGTGGTTTTGGATTTTTTTTATTACTGGTTATACCAGATCTAGCTCTGGCTATATCTAGCTCTGGCTAGGCTAAATCTCTCTGAACTCATGCGCAAATACCGAAAAAAATACTCTCGGTCACTTAAAGTTCGCCAAAAAGTGTATAAAAAGCCAAGTTCTTGTCGTTTTCTATAAATTTCACATACCCAGAACTTTCTTTTTGATTTTGTTTTCAAAACTTGATGACATGAAAGGTTCAATAAAATCGCCAATCTCTTTATCAAAGTTTCGCGATTCATTTTGACTTGTCTTCATACAGCTAGTTGAGTGTTTAAGTTCTGCAAGTGGGAATGCCTCGGCAGTTTATCTGTAATCTTTAATTCAATTAAAGGATTAGAGATGAACGCACTTGAACTAAAGGCATAAGGAGTGAAACCAAGTTCTGCAGATAATTATCTTCCAGAACTTCTTCTTTCTATCCAAAGGAATACAGATAGCCCTTGCGTTTTCACGGGAACTGGGAGTCTGTGTTCCAGAACCCTAACTTGAAAGTAGAGGTCTGGAGCACCGGCTAGGGAACTGGTGGATCAGCAATCCGAATACTTTTTGGATCGCCTTCAGAGGTGATCTCGTATGAATCCGATCGGGACTGGATTCCGTGTAAACGGTTGGATCTGGTCTAGATTTATATTTTCTTTCGAAAGTGAGACAGAATATCTATCAATTCAAAGTACTTGGAACACTTATTCCGTGAAATTGGTGTCAGAAATTCAAACACAAAGTTGACTTATTACTGTGCTAGAAGATGAGTCGAGAAGTTTTAGACACATGTTCATAGCATTTGTTCATTTTCATTTTGCTGTGAGTCTGTCTTTTGTGAACTGCTCTTTCTGGTTGAACTCTGAGTTGCTTCGCGTCCCACGAATTCAGCCTGAATTGTTTTTTTTAGTCTCAGTTTGCAAGAAAAACGTCTGATGCGCGCAAGTTAAGCGCATGCACGTTATCTGTAGGTCTCATCTAGATTCGATCCCGTGTAAACGCAAATTGTTTTGGATCGGACCCCTTGAAAACGCCCGGGATCCGATCTGGTCCAGGTCTCGTATAAACAGGGTCTTAGAATGCATTTTTCATTCACACAATTGTTTCTTTCCTGTTCTAATATATAAAACGAAAATCAGTACCAAAGAAAGGCTTAATCATTGCAATGTACCGCTGTTTCTCCATTTTTGAATTTTTGCTTTAGGCCATATTAACTTCGGATTTTGGATTTGGACTAAATAAGTATCCTTTATCTTCTAGATATAGACGAGTGTCTGAGCAGCCCGTGTCAGAATAATGCAACATGCGTTGATAAAGTGTCTGGCTACAGCTGCAACTGTCTCCTTGGATTTAATGGTACACATTGCGAAACAGGTATTGATATCAGAAAGAGATTTTGTAGCATTTGTAACATCGCATTTTGAATATATCTAGTTATTCATTATATGTCTATATATTTTTGACTAAATCTTTTAAACATTGTTTAGCTTAATACTCCTGGAAGATATGAAAATATTGGAGCAAGGAAGGTACGAAAAATAGCTGATTACGTCATCAGAAGTCACAAGCTCCTCTCTCCTGTATACCCTTCACTTGGTGGAAGACTTTTTTTAGTTTATTATAGCGCCACAAGAGAAAAAATAATTTTAGAAGAATCGTAAACTAATTTTCAAAGCAAGGAACATTGACACTGTAGAAACATGAATTTTGTACTCATTGTAGATATAAACGAGTGTGCTAGCAATCCATGCCAAAACTCTGGCACTTGTGAAGATAAAGTCAATCAATATTCCTGCCAATGTGTGCCAGGATATACAAGCACGCATTGTGAAACCGGTATGTTTTCAGTCATTTACTATCCTCTCCTCTGGGCTTTTGACGCTTCATATCAGGTTTTGAATGGACGGTAAAATTGTGTCATTCTCCAACATGCTTATTTCGGGATACTAACAAAAATAAAATGGTCTCACTTTTCAAAATCACTTTGTTCTGTATAATTTTCTCATCATTCTTCTTTGTGCTGTAGAGTAATAATACTTGCAAACCATTTTCGATCAATACTGAACAATGACCTTGCCAGCCAAACCTATCTTTGCTCAGATATCAGTATTTGAGATTAGTTGTTGCGTGCCACTGGTACAAGTGTTGTATTTTCTTTCCCACAAAGTTACTGTAGGCTCCCTCCAGCTTTTCTGAAACCTATTCTAGCCAAATCACTTTATTAACAAAGCAGTAAGAAAACTAAATAACGCTAAAAATATTTCTAAAGTTCTCTTTTACTCTGAAGAAGCACCAGAATTTTAAATAATTATTTGCCAATAACTGTTTGCCAATGTACTGACATTGAAAAGTTTCTCTGTTTCTTCTGTTCCACTGTCATTTTAACTGAATTGCCAAGAACATTTGATATCATTTTCTTGGAAACGTAGGTCGTAAAAACAAGAGCTAATATCATCAACATCACACCTCAACAAACTTTATGTATAATGAGTTCCAAAATTCTCTAATGGTGCTTTTATCTAGACGATGAAAAAATTAGGAATTTAAAAATCTTTTTATCCTTATCACTATCGTGTGTCACTGTTTTTAGAGAGCTTCTTCTAAAGGATTTTATTTACCAGGAAAACTGTATAATGCGAATGGCATTCTAAAGTGTGACGTCATAGAAATCAATTTTAGTATTTTGATATAGACCACATAACCTAAACGGACATCATTGAAAAAACTTACAAGTTTGAAGAATCATTGAAGGTAATAAAAACGTTAATAAAAGGGTGAGACATGGCCAATGAAAGATTTGAAGTTCGCCAACAAATTGCTATCACAGTAATTTTGGAGGAAAGAGACTGTGCTTAACTATGATGTAGTCATGTCTCAGCCTATCGCACGTACGGCTGATTTGGCACATTCAGAGGTTTTCAAATATATTATCATTCAGGCTCTGTGATCTGCATTCAAATACTTTCAAGTCAGATTTTTGTAGCATCATCACTTAAGAACTGCATTTCCATCATTCAGTGTTCACTTGTCTAGATAAAAGCACCAAGTGAAAAATCAGCAATATCTTAACTGCCCTTTTTTAAATTTAAAAAAAGCATCAATACTTCCTATTTATGTTGGTTTATAGCTAGTGAAATATGTTTTTTCTGTTATTCTGTAAATTTTGTTGTGAACAGTTTTTAGGGGTAAAAATGTGAAAAAGGATTTGAAAAATAAAATTATTATACAGCATACTCAGCTTTTCGTCTGACACTCCTCAGATTATAAAACTTCAGAATTGCAGGTATTATAAGACCTTAAATGTCAAGCATCCGCTACGCCCATGGTTATAATATGTCCTACTTCTATATAATATGATAAAATGCATCAATCGTTCTCTGCACCCCGTCTTTGATCTTTTCGTTGGCCTTCTTCTTCCACTTGCCCCCTCGCGTCCACTAATAGAGTAAAAGATAAATCCAATTGCTGTTCTTCATTTAGATGTCAATGAGTGCTCAAGTAGCCCCTGCAAGACCGGTGCAACGTGTTTGAATCAACTCAATCGATACAGCTGTCAGTGTGAGCCAGGCTACACAGGGACAAATTGTTATCAAGGTCTGAAGATAAAATTGTTTTTGTGTTGAATACTGATGTCAAATATGTTGCAATGCAGTAATGTGGCGAGGAGAAGGCAAAAAAGGGCGGACGCCCCCCCCCCCACCCCCGATGGCAAGAAAATCTCTTTAAAAGGGAGTGTTTTCTGGTGTTCCGAAGGGTGTGGCTTAGTAAAATATTTTCTGTGACTAGTTTCTTACTATATTTCGGAATAGATGATGGACACTTTGGTACCCAGGGTACCCCCCAATCTTACCACCTTGGCTACACTACTGTTGCAATATTGCCATCATTGCTAAAATTGTGGTTTAGGATTTATAGATCAGCGTGATATTAACACGTTTATAATCAATGCAAAGGGCACAACTTACGCATGAGTTTATGGAAGTTTTTCAACGAATGTCCAGTGACCATTGTGGTTTTTCCTGTACGGTATATTTGATGAAAAGTGATAATATTTCAGCATCATTGAATAATATATCTTAAATAGAATACTTGCCACTGACCTTTAAAAAGTTTCAATTTTTTGAGATTTTGATATTGCATTGTAAAATAGTGGGCATGATAGGCTGCATATTATTTATGTAATAGGAGAACACCCTAAGTAGAATCTTGGATACAATTTCTAAATAATCGAAGAATCATAACTTAAATAGAGTCAGTTTTGTTTAACAGACATTGATGAGTGCGAAAGCAACCCATGCCAAAATGGGGCGACTTGCAGCAACAAGGTGAATAGGTTTGAATGCCAATGCAAAGCTGGCTTTACTGGAGGCCTTTGTGAACAAGGTGAGAGCTCGGATACACAGCACTGGTGCGATTGCAGAAATTCTGCTTTGAATTCGTGTTTTTTTTATGTTGGAAAAGTTTTTTCATTTTGTCAGAGGAAGGCATGAGATTCGTTTAAAGAAAATTTTTCGGGAAGAAGGTTTCAAGAATTGAGAATTTTTTAGAATCAACTTTTGCAAAAGAAGTGAAATAGGATCTTTTGCGAGAATAACCTTTCAAGTTTTAGTAAAAATCATGATTTTCATCCAAAAGATGTTTCTATTCAACTAAGTGGCTAAATATAATCAAACAAAGAAAAATTATTGACATTCGTTAGAAACATTTTATTCGCAATCAAAGTATCTGAGAGCGTCAACAGGGTCAAACTTTCGCGAATTTCTTATTTTACGACGTTCTGCGAATCAAACCTTTTATTATTTCTTCCCGTGAAAGTTTCTTACCTTAAAGCAACTAAAAGTTTAACTTTTGAGATTCTTTTTTTAACGTCTCCAAAGAAAGAGCTGCTGTGATTTTGAATCAGTGCCGTCATTTGATCTCATTCTTTGCCAAAATCTAGAAAACACCTTTTATATCTACAAAACTCAGCAAGATCTGCAAAATGCTTGTTTCCATTTAAACAGAGTTGTGAACGCTTCATGGCGGTATTAAGCGTGAAATTTGGAGTAGCGAATAGATAGGAGGGGGACCACATACAAATTAAACATTAATTACAAAAGATTTTGCAAAAAAGTGGGCATGGCCTCTCAAAATCTTGCTTTAATGTCAAACTTTATGCTTAGCTTATCGTAGTTTTCAATAGCGTTGAAAGATCAGTGTACAACTAAACTCACCGTTTTCTTTCGCAGAAATCAATGAATGTTCAAGCAATCCATGCAAGAATGGGGGTACATGTGTAGATGGCACAAATCAATGGTCATGTAATTGTTCCTCTGGTTTTTCAGGGAAAGTTTGCTACCCAGGTAAACTTTAAACTCATTACATCACTTTTTCAACAATCTTGTAATGGCTCTATTTCAACCCATTTTGTTGATTCAGAATTAATTACACTTTCCTGGCTAGACTAGTTTTTTTGGCTCTTCTTGCGTGATATATGATTTTGTGCATTAAATTTTTTGTTTTGTTCTATTGTGTAGTTAGAAACGCACAATTTATATACAATAATTCCCTTTTCGGTATATATGCATATTCTCCAACTTTAATTTTTGCAACGGCCACCCTTCTAACGTCATTTCTCTACGTACATGTCAGAATTGTCGAAATGATTTTAAAATGGTTAAAAAATTTTCCATTGTCCTCATTGAAGCCTTATAGTCCGAATCCTATTGTAAATCCGTTCTCGCTGCGTGTTAATTGTATTCTTAGCAGCTTACCTCGGGTGAAATTGCCATCTCTTTTTAAAAATTAATGTCTCCAGCGCATTTGCGTTTCCATTTCTTAAAGACGTCATAATGACGTCATAACACTATTTTTTGCCAAAACTTCCTGAATTGATATTAATTTGGCTTCCAACAAGTAATATTGGGTGAAGATATATGCCAGGCAGGCATGCGAGGCACATAATCCTATTTAGCTCATCAGACGTCACAATTTATTATATCATTCAATGGTGATGACGTCATGACATTTATGATAAATCCGCTGCTAGTGTTGATTTTTTCCCTGAATGTTAATATTTGTTGAAACCGTTCACTGAATCATTCCTTTGAATGAATGAATGAATGAATGAATGAATGAATGAATGAATGAATGAATGAATGAATGAATGAATGAATGAATGAATGAATGAATGAATGAATGAATGAATGAATGAATGAATGAATGCATGAATGAATGAATGAATGAATGAATGAATGAATGAATGAATGAATGAATGAATGAATGAATGCATGAATGCATGAATGAATGAATGAATGAATGATCATTCCTCGCAAAAATGATATCTTCTATTAAAGATTTGTGACCTCGTTTTCAAAATGTGCTCTATTGTTGTAATTGAGTCCTTGAAGAGAGTCCTTGGTTCTTGGCATCTTTAGCCTTATCATAGAATGTGATGCAAACATGAGCCCAAAGCCACAAACATTACTCCAGAATGCATGTCAAATTGATATTATAAATAAAAAGTTGATGCAAAGTCCAAGGGGAGTGTCGTTCACTCGCTTACTTAAACTTATAAAAGAACGTGGATGCACTGAAGATGAATCAAAGTGTCTTAAAGCATGGAAATAATTAGAAAAGAATCTGAAGAGATTTCATAAACTGCAGCGCAGAAAAGTAAAAGACATCACGAAGACAGCCAGAATTCTACCCGCAGACAAAATCAACTCATGCTCAAACTGCATACATATGAACTGCACACATATTGAATGAGAAAGTGTCTTTCCTGGAGAAAAAAGAAAGGAGAGTTCTCTAAAACATTGTAACAAATGTTGTTATTCCTGAAGTATATCACGGGAGGCTATTAAAATGTGAAAACATTGGCTAAGATCTTAACCAGGCGTTTCTTGAAGAAAGATTTTCAACGAATCCAAATACAGTATCTGAGCACCTTTACAGCGAGCTTCCATAAAAACGTTTACAGCTGCAAACAAAGTCATCAAGACCGCAATGGAAAAAATAAAATTAGATTGTTAAGGAACATAGAGATTTGTTCAGTAGAATGGCAATAACTGCCAGAATCAAAAGGCACATTTATATGAAGAACGTCATCAGCATCTTTGAACTCTCCGTAACGGTAAGAAACATCGTAAACAATGATGAATCTTTGAAACTTTACCCTCCTAATATCCAATCACGGTCAAGCAATATCGTGACATAATAAAATCTTACAAGTAGACTAAAATTCTTGCTCCCGATCCGAATCTGTGGTCAAAAATTTTGTGCAAAATAATTTGAGAAATGCTTCAAAATGAGGCTGTAAGTTGAATTGGTATATAAGAGATTATCTTGCACAGAAATGTGCCATTGCATTGATTGCGAGAATGCATATTTTAGCAATGAAATGCAAAATCAATGACGAGGAGACGAAATTGATGTTTAAAATAATGACTACTAATTCTTGTTCTTAATTTGTAATTGTTAAAGTTTGTTTGCCATTCAGAGTTCATAATTGTTGTGTTACTTTCTTAACTATCCGACGTCACTGTGACGTCACATTACCACATAAAATTGAAACTATTCTATTTGAAATCTTCATAATGTATATAATATCAATTTTACAGCTTAGATTGCATGATTGTCTTCAAAAAATGATTTGCCTTTTACTGTTTTGGAGAAAAAAGTAGTGAATGAAGTCACACCTAATACATATGACGTCATTCTGACGTCATTAAGAATGTCACCTGGAGACATCGACTTTTGAATTCTACGATAAAAATTGAGTCAGACTGTTGTGAAATGGAAAAATTAACGTAATATGAGAAGGGGATTCGTATTATGGACAATAGGACCCGCACTATTAGTCAAATTCTTCTACCTTGCGTCATCTATGATCTTATATGGGCGCTGTCTTGCGTAGGCGTGGTCTGCGTTGGTAGGGTCTTGTGTAGGCTTGGTCTTGCGTAGACGTGGTCTGCGTTGGTAGGGTCTTGTGTAGGCTTGGTCTTGCGTAGACGTGGTCTGCGTTGGTAGGGTCTTGTGTAGGCTTGGTCTTGCGTAGACGTGGTCTGCGTTGGTAGGGTCTTGTGTAGGCTTGGTCTTGCGTAGACGTGGTCTGCGTTGGTAGGGTCTTGTGTAGGCTTGGTCTTGCGTAGACGTGGTCTGCGTTGGTAGGGTCTTGTGTAGGCTTGGTCTTGCGTAGACGTGATCTGCGTAGGTATGGTCTTGTGTAGGCTTGGTCTTGCGTAGGTGTGGTCTCGAGTAGGTGTACTTTATATCCCGGATAAAGACCATGGGTAACCTTTTGATGTGTGAATTATGTGACATGTGCTACAAATTGGCTGAAATATTGTTGAGTAATAGATTCCTATGCAGGGGCGTACTTGCGTTTGGGGAGGGTGAAAAGGCTTTCTGCCCTGCAAAACTGAGTGGTGCCCTGCAGACTTCGAAGGAAAGATTCGTCTATAGGTTACTAGAACAAGGATGAAAAATGTTTTGAGCCAATCGGACTGTTTGTTTACAATTTGAACCAGCCAATGGTATAGCGTCAAAGACAATAGAAATCTGAAGATAAAATAGCATCGAATCAGCCGCAACAGTAACGCTCGCACCTCATATCCAAAGCTGTGGGGAAAAACCGGCGCCACAAAAAGTTAACGCTGAACGCGAAAATTGTCATTATTGAAGTGCTTCATACAATAATGCATAGCAAAGGAGTATATCTAAAACTTTGCCGTACCCATTTTTGAAATTCGGTCGTTAACCAGAGATAAGCGATGAAACGTTTAGCCCATTATTGCCCTGATTGAATCTGCTTACGTTGGTTATGGTTGGTTGTACTCCAAGAAAACGACATCATGTCATTTTATTGAAAAACAGGTCATTTTTCACTTACAAAGTATGTACGTCGTATATTTTAAAGTAAGACGGAGAGATAATTATCAAACTCGGGTTTTTTCCCTTCATTCTGCCTTTTTCTTGCATGTTCTCAACCCTAAGACAGTCCGTCAACTTTCTTTCATTGAGTGCGTTCTAGAGTGTTGCGTACAGAAGAAATGCATATCTTGAGAAAATAGCGGCATTGTTGCAAATATTTATTCCAAAATCATATGCCTATTCCTGATTTTGGTATTTTTGTAGGTGCAAGCAATGGTTCTTCTCATGGCAAAGTTTTATAGGACGATTTGTCAACGAATTTTGTGAACACGAACTGATTAACGTGGCTTCAAAACGTTAGACAGTAAACGATAAAATGTTTTCTCTAAGCACGCAACGGCCCACGCTATCTGTCTCCACTGAAATAAATCCCCTGGTTTTTTAGTGACTTAAGTACGGATTCATTTGAGAAAAAACTCAGAAGTACTTACGAAGTGCTTGAGGGTTCAAGAATTGTATTCTTCTTTACTGTTATCAGTGAAAATGTAGAACGTCTTTGTTGAGTGAAAGGTTCAAGGTTTCCCAACTTTGCATGTCGATATATTCAAATATTTTTGCAAAGTTTCATTAAAAAGAGTTGGAGAATGTACCACTTTACAAAATATAAGCTCAATAATGACCCTGATCTTTGTATTCCAATAAGAACTAAAAAAAATGTAGCTTGTTATATCTCAATAGCTTTTTCAGTTGAAGGTTTGATTCAAACTTTTGCAGGTCTTGCAGAGGTTTCAAATTTTACTTTACAAATTTTTAAACAAGCAATTTTTGAAATAACAAGTAAAATGTGCACAATTTTTCAAGGTTTATTTTTTGCTTAATTGCTTAATACTGTTGCGGCTGATTCGATGCTATATCAGCCCCCTGAGCCCCCCTACATCTATTATTTGCAAAATTTTTACTTTTTGGATTGGAATTAATAGCCTCATATTTAATTTTTTAGATTGTGGGCAAACCTTGACAGGATCTTCAGGTGTAATTGCAAGCAAGAACTTCCCTGAGTTGTATCCACTGGAACACAAATGCACTTGGAAGATAGACGTGGGTACTGGCTTTAAAGTCAAGCTGGAATTCCTTTCTTTCAATGTTGAAGGGGGTACTTATAACTGTTATGACTACGTAAAGATTACTCAAGGTTTGTCAAACTCTCAAATTTTGTTGGAATGCGGAACAGATTTACCAGGTACAATTACATCGACAGATTCAACTGTTCAGATAGAGTTCTATAGTGATTTTACGGTAACGCGCAGGGGCTTCGAGTTGATATGGAGCAAGATATAAAGAAAAGGAACAGAAAAGCCCACAGGAAAACTTCAAGATTTTTAAAAAAGAAGTCAATATTTGAATCACAAAGAACAAAAGAATGGACTTCCAATTTAAAAACAATTGTGGTGAAGACAATACTTCAAACAGCTTTCATGTAGATATATATTAATATATATAGATTCATTTAAATTGATAGAATTTGCACAAAAATCACCTAATAAATACCTACCATTTAGATAAAACCATAGAAATGACAATGAAACTGGATCAGATGAAATCGATAATTGCTATAGAAAATATCTCTACTTGTTAACGCAGGTTCAGTAAATGATTAGAGTAAACTCTTAGAGAAAGACAATCTTATGTTTTCTGAATTTTTTGCTCAACACAACTCAACGTACATCGTGAAAAATCTCTCTCTACGAATCCTTAGCGCTCGATTCAATTTCCAGCTTTTATAGAAGCGAACAAGGTACTAAAATTTATCTTAGCCAATCACAATCAATTTTAACTACTACTCAAGCCAACAAAAATTGAGAATACGATTGACGTAGTTAATCCTATTACAATAGCTTGCTTCCAGAAAATTCTGGCTGGATCCTTAATCTATTGTCTCGGCCTCAAAGTGAGGCTTTTACGTAAATTGCATAGTTCCGTAGTTATGTAACACAAGCATACACAAGAAAATATAAACGTGTTGATTTAAGAATAATAGATTAAGAATTTACTAGAATACCGAAGAAAGCGCGATGGGGATTCTCCGACAATTGCCATTTCTTCGGTTAACCTTAAATTGCAAGTATATGTTTATGTAAATATGCTACTACTTTTGTATACTTTTATGCTATTCAAAATTTGATGCACTTGAAATGTATTTGTTGCAATATTTACATGATCAAATAGAAGCAAGATCAAGATTATACAAATATTTTCAAAAAATAATCATTACAGGATTGCAGTTTTTTACCGATCAGAAAAATTTCTAGAGAAGTACGCTATGCAGTCTCACTTGGAAGGTAAACAAAGTATGTGTTGCAACCTCATTCACAAGGTATGTTGCAAGGTATATGATGCAATCTAATGTCCAAGGTAAACAAAGTATATGATGCAATCTCATTCACAAGGTATGTTGCAAGGTATATGATGCAATCTCATTCACAAGGTATGTTGCAAGGTATATGATGCAATCTAATGTCCAAGGTAAACAAAGTATATGATGCAATCTCATTCACAAGGTATGTTGCAAGGTATATGATGCAATCTCATTCACAAGGTATGTTGCAAGGTATATGATGCAATCTAATGTCCAAGGTAAACAAAGTATATGATGCAATCTCATTCACAAGGTATGTTGCAAAGTATATGATGCAATCTTATGTCCAAGGTAAACAAAGTATATGATGCAATCTCATTTACAAGGTATGTTGCAAAGTATATGATGCAATCTCACTTGCAAGGTAAACAAAGTATATAATGCAATCTCATTCACAAGGTATCTTGCAAGGTATATGATGCAATCTCATTTGCAAGGTAAACAAAGTATATGATGCAATCTTATGTCCAAGGTAAACAAAGTATATGATGCAATCTCATTTACAAGGTATGTTGCAAAGTATATGATGCAATCTCACTTGCAAGGTAAACAAAGTATATGATGCAATCTTATATCCAAGGTAAACAAAGTATATGATGCAATCTCATTTACAAGGTATGTTGCAAAGTATATGATGCAATCTCACTTGCAAGGTAAACAAAGTATATAATGCAATCTCATTCACAAGGTATCTTGCAAGGTATATGATGCAATCTCATTTGCAAGGTAAACAAAGTATATGATGCAATCTCATTCACAAGGTATGTTGCAAGGTATATGATGCAATCTCATTCACAAGGTATGTTGCAAGGTATATGATGCAATCTAATGTCCAAGGTAAACAAAGTATATGATGCAATCTCATTCACAAGGTATGTTGCAAGGTATATGATGCAATCTCATTCACAAGGTATGTTGCAAGGTATATGATGCAATCTAATGTCCAAGGTAAACAAAGTATATGATGCAATCTCATTCACAAGGTATGTTGCAAAGTATATGATGCAATCTTATGTCCAAGGTAAACAAAGTATATAATGCAATCTCATTTACAAGGTAAACAAAGTATGTGATGCAATCTCACTTGCAAGGTAAACAAAGTATATAATGCAATCTTATGTCCAAGGTAAACAAAGTATATGATGCAATCTCATTCACAAGGTATGTTGCAAAGTATATGATGCAATCTTATGTCCAAGGTAAACAAAGTATATGATGCAATCTTATTCACAAGGTATGTTGCAAAGTATATGATGCAATCTCATTTACAAGGTATGTTGCAAAGTATATGATGCAATCTTATTTGCAAGGTAAACAAAGTATATAATGCAATCTCATTCACAAGGTATCTTGCAAGGTATATGATGCAATCTCATTTGCAAGGTAAACAAAGTATATGATGCAATCTTATGTCCAAGGTAAACAAAGTATATGATGCAATCTCATTTACAAGGTATGTTGCAAAGTATATGATGCAATCTCACTTGCAAGGTAAACAAAGTATATGATGCAATCTTATGTCCAAGGTAAACAAAGTATATGATGCAATCTCATTTACAAGGTATGTTGCAAAGTATATGATGCAATCTAGTAAGGTAAACAAAGTATATGATGCAATCTCATTTACAAGGTATGTTGCAAAGTATATGATGCAATCTCACTTGCAAGGTAAACAAAGTATATAATGCAATCTCATTCACAAGGTATCTTGCAAGGTATATGATGCAATCTCATTTGCAAGGTAAACAAAGTATATGATGCAATCTCATTCACAAGGTATGTTGCAAGGTATATGATGCAATCTCATTCACAAGGTATGTTGCAAGGTATATGATGCAATCTAATGTCCAAGGTAAACAAAGTATATAATGCAATCTCATTCACAAGGTATCTTGCAAGGTATATGATGCAATCTCATTTGCAAGGTAAACAAAGTATATGATGCAATCTCATTTACAAGGTAAACAAAGTATGTGATGCAATCTCACTTGCAAGGTAAACAAAGTATATAATGCAATCTCATTCACAAGGTATCTTGCAAGGTATATGATGCAATCTCATTTGCAAGGTAAACAAAGTATATGATGCAATCTCATTTACAAGGTAAACAAAGTATGTGATGCAATCTCACTTGCAAGGTAAACAAAGTATATAATGCAATCTCATTCACAAGGTATCTTGCAAGGTATATGATGCAATCTCATTTGCAAGGTAAACAAAGTATATGATGCAATCTTATGTCCAAGGTAAACAAAGTATATGATGCAATCTCATTCACAAGGTATGTTGCAAAGTATATGATGCAATCTTATGTCCAAGGTAAACAAAGTATATGATGCAATCTTATTCACAAGGTATGTTGCAAAGTATATGATGCAATCTCATTTACAAGGTATGTTGCAAAGTATATGATGCAATCTTATTTGCAAGGTAAACAAAGTATATAATGCAATCTCATTTACAAGGTAAACAAAGTATGTGATGCAATCTCACTTGCAAGGTAAACAAAGTATATAATGCAATCTCATTTACAAGGTAAACAAAGTATGTGATGCAATTTTATGTAATACAGCACAACTTGTAAACAAAGCGTCTCTTATCATGTAGTGTGTACCCAGGAAGCAGCAGCAAAAAACTGTTTAAGCATTCTTTATATATGTATACGATCCACCTTTTGTTTGATTCAAGTTGTCGCTTTTACTTAGGCATACCTTTTAAATATTCTGCTTTAAACGTTGTGAAATTCTAAGGGAACTTTCTCCACAAACAAGCTTAAAATCGTTGTTTTTACCCCGGCCAAAGTTCCAAACTACAGGAATTGATCTCCTTTGATGCCCCCTTGCGTCAACTTCTCATAGAGGTAACTTGAAAATTCTAGAACCAGATGCCCTTGCCTTTCCTTGCGGGCTATAACTTTCATTCAAGAACAAATAAAGCAATTCACGAAAAAGTCTCGTAAGTCAAATACTGGCAATAGTTAATGATAATTAAAGGGTTTATGAGATGAGTGAATATAATTGGAATACTTTAAAACCTATTTGATATTTTAAAAAGACTCGACCTTCTTACTCGGGAAAGACAATGCAAAAAGCTTGTTTGGCAAGAATTGCTTCCACAGAATAAAATTTCATAGATATTAGTCGTGATGGAGTGCTTTCAGGCAATCGAGAGCGGGTTGGATTGTTGGTTCAACGGGCAAAATCTCTAGCTGGAAAAAAGTACTAAATTTTGTTTTTCTTGGCAGAGAATTGAAAAGAAAGTCTCTTTCTTACAGATTCATCCGGGGTACAAGTTGTACCTAAAGGCATCAGAGCCTCTTAAGGATTAAGTGATGCAAAAAATACAAGAAGTTTTGATAAATTTGACGAAAAGAAGCTTAAGATAACAAGGCTGTACCATGAGTGTACAGTTTACAATTGATTACAATTTATGATTGCAAACATAAACTTGACAGCTGAACATGTAAATATAGGCAATTGTAAACTGCACAAAGGGCAAGGCTTGCTGATTAAAATACATTTAAAAATTTTAGGTCTCTTTATTCAACTTTTTTCTATTTTTATCTATGTTTAGAAGAGTTACTAAACAACTTAATTATTTAGAATCAAAACTAATTCAAGTTTGGTGGTTAAAATTTTTTTGTTATTAAAAAAATATTTTTTTCACAAGAAAAGTCTTGCATAATGCATAAGATGTGAAGAGTACAGCCTACTTCTGCTCTGCTATGAAAGGCACAGCTTCTATTGCAAAATTTGGCCTTACCAAAAATAAATTGTTCGCAAACTCTTGATTTGGTAGACTTGTTAGGTGTAATTCCCTTTTAACTGTGCTACACGGCAGATTATTTTCACAAGATGACAATGGCCTTCTTTATAGAGTGTTTTTTATTACTTTTCTGTTTAAAAAAAGTCCAAACAATTGCTCTTAAGTAGCAATACCACCTGTTCGAGGAAACCTTAATTAAAGGAGTAAAAAAATAACGTCCAATCTTTGGTGAAATTGTGAAATACGAATCAAAGATAAACGCAACTTAAGGGCGCAATTAAAATTATTTCAGGAAAAGAATACTCGAATTAGTTAATTTAATGATCAATAATATAACATTTTGCTCTACAAATAAAAGTTGAGAGCTTTTCACTACGACGGCTGAACGTGAAAGAATTTATGCTGCTGTCAGAAGGTGAGCGGGAATCAAAGAACTAAATCATTGTAATTGTAATTGTAGAGGGACGTACTTTTCGTTTTGATTATTATTGCTAGGGTTTTCTATTTTTCTTTTTATTACCTTTGAATTTTCGTCTCTCAAATTTACTAAAAATTGTATCCGATTATTCAAAATCAGCTTTATTTATATTCAAGAGCTAGTCAAATAATCATTTGCAAACTTTGGACAGATATTCTCAAGCTTATTGGGATTTCCTATTTTGATTATTTTGGTAGGATGTTGCACGCTTTTCCACTTATAAAGGATATTGTCTTTCGCCCATCATTAAAGTTTTTCCTAGGCAATCATTGGCCCGTATCCGCATCTCGAAGATTCTCTGTGCTGATGTCTCTATTTTAACACAGAAACCTTGAATCTTTTATAAAAAATGTTCTATGGTCTTTTTTAAAAAAAAAACAAGTAAATTGTAGTTTAGGCAGTAAATTGTCTCTACCTAGCATCTGAAAGTAGTGCGGCTATGTGAGTGCAGCTAAATGGGCCTAAATGGGCACAACCATATATTCAATAGAGTCTTCAGAATGTTGCGAAGAAGCTGAGTTTCAGCGTATTTACACCTATTACCTTTTACCACCACCCTTTTAGATATGCTTCTTCCTGGTGAAATTTTGACCTATTTAAATACCGAGATACTTAAAATTAACTCAATTTTATTTATTCGACAGCAAGAATCACAAGTTAAAGATTAAGTACATACCGTAAATTTTCTTTTTAGCCCCCTCTCTCAATTAAGCCCCCCTCTCTTATTAGCCCCCCTTTTCAGAAAGAAAAATTTAATCAGCCTCCTCCTAAAGATTTAATGTGCATTAAGCACGGGCCATCTGAGTGCCTTTTACCAAAATTACAGGCCGTTGGTACTCCGAGGGATGAAGTCGAACTTCTCGAATGCTCGTTTTCTGAAGGCAACATGGCCCAAGAAGATATTTTAGAATTAATAATTGATGAAGATGACGACGACGATTAAATTTAAAGTGCGAGTTAGTGCATTTCTCACTTTTTGCGGATAATTTTGCTATCAGAATCGTTCTTAACAGTGAAATTTGATATGAGTGTAGGGTCAGTACTGCAGTCTCCCACACACTAAGCAATGCAAAATCCCGGTCAGTAACATGCATAAATTTCGCTTATATCGACATTCAGGCCCTGGACGGTTTACGGGAAGGTAGGGGGGGGGGGTCGAAACGAAAACGTCAAAACGAGGAAAAACCGATATGTTTGCGGCCCCTAAGAGCCCTGCTTATTTAAGGATTCTTAATTAACTGAAACAAAGATGCAAGCTGATACATGATATTGTAAAGAACTTCTAAAGATTTTTGCTCTGATTGAAAGTTTCAAATCTTTTCCATTTTGTTTGGTGACAATCAACATAACACAAGTCTTGGGTGCATTAAGCAAGCGATTCTTGAGCAATGCCTGAACTTCTTTTGAGTCAATGTTTATTGTCTTTTGCAAATGCTTAGAATTGCTAAAGATGTGTCAAGTACAGGCTTGTATCGTCAGCACAACAACAGAAACCCTTAAGATCTTTCCTTTGTATGAATGGCCATTGTATTGCATTAGTAAGTGCATAAATATAAAAAGGAGTGGACTGAGACAAGAGCCCTGTGAAGCCACATCCTGATATTTTATTTAACTAGAGTACTCTTCACAGACTCTTCAATGTCTTACTTGTATAGTCAGTATAGTGAGGTATTTTTCATCGACACTGGAAGTGTGCTTGGTGATACTACGTAGAACTAAAATTACCGCTCCGCATCAGAAACGGGGGCGCAGAAGTAATTAAATTAATGTTTCATAGTGATAAATGTTTCTAGTAGCCAAATATTTGACTTTATCTGACAATTTTTATGGTCTAGTGGACAATGTTTTACAAACTCCTAGCCACTGGAATCATTATCACAAGCACCTGGATGATTTTTTTGAAAACTTTGCTGAATTTTGTGTGGGAACGAAGCAAAAAATATGTTCATAAGCAGTTGTTGTACCTGTTATGCTATTAAATCTGCCAATTTTCTAGTTAGTCATAAAAACTGCGGAAAATCACTTCAAAAGAAAGAGGCAATTTAAAATGACTAATGTAACTTAGCAAATCTTGCTTATTTGCTATATGATTTAATTGTTTATACGACTTTAGGAGCATTTTTATTGATTAAAGATTCTTTCCGGCCAATGCCAGCTGCTTCTCCTAAAAATAGACATACAACCTATATGTATAACTATTATGTGCATACATCAGTATAGCTTCTATCTTTCGTCGATATTTGCTGCACGAGAACAACTTTGTCTGGTAGTGCTTGTTTCTCCTACTGTAGCTCATATCCAAGCTTTACAATAACCGAGCCTTTGTCCTGCACTTTGTCCTGCACTTGCTTTCCTTAATTGCACATAATTTAATTGGTTATCATTTTACACGTTATCAGTTGGACATCAAAGAAGCCAGCGTACGAAGGGCTCCCTGAGGTGCTCCCAATCAAATTATCAGAAAGCTGCTTTCCATCTATCTATCACCACATGTATTCATACAAACGAAGGTAAGAAATTGTCACATATACGCTTCACTATGCCGGTAGGGCTCTCTTGATTTTATGTCCCTGTAGAACGCATGGTCTGATTTTAAAATCGTGATATTGTTAAGAATTTTTGGAATTTGGCTATAATTCATATTTTTCTATAGTCTTCTATTTAATATTCTATCCCCTATCCAAAAATATCACTTTTGTTGATTTCTTACCATATCAGAGCAATTCTTTGTCTTAATTATGGCTATTAATTTGCAGCAGATTCGCCATCATCGCGCCAATAGCATTGGTTTGCTTTATAACATTTTCAACGATGCATTGTCACATTTTGAGGCTCAACTGTAAAAAGTTTGCAAACTTTTCTGTAAAAGTTGAGGGTAAACTATTAAAAGGCTACATGATTGTACAGCTCAAAGGCCTGGACCTTCACCAATGCTTTGGACACTGTCTTCACAATTCCTTGTGCAAATCTATAAACTTTAATGCAGATGATAGTGGGGTGTGCCAGCTTAACCATATCACAAACATGGATGTAGTCCTCTCTTTTAAAGACAGTTGGACTTTCTACACGACAAGCCATTCGAACAATTTGGTCAGTATATACCCATATTTTCGAATTATTTGATAAATTGAATATCAGTAAATTAGCTACATTTATCTGGATTTCGAAAAGGTCGCATTATGGCATCATTTGTCAAAAATCGAAAAATATGAAGTTTTTTCTGTAAATTTGTCGATCCAAATTTCAATTTTAACTTCATATCTTAAAAGATAGTTGTAAAAATAGGCCTAAGCTACAGTAACATTAATGAATTTTATTGTAGTATTTTTGTTGCCTGCTATCTCTGTCTCTAGATACCCTGTAGAAGAAAACATCCATGTTTGCTAAAAGGCCATGCATGTCTGCTTCAATGTAAGGATTCCTTGTACAAAAATGAGACTTTCAAAGTTGAAGTAAACCAACATAAATAATGATAAACTTTGCTTAAAAAACTTGCCAGATTTATTTGGTAAGCAGACTTCCTAATATTCAATAGCAAATCATTTTCTATGTTAACTATGAGAGATTGGCTGTAGAAAAAGAAACAAAGATAAGAGTAGAGGTGCTAGAAGGTAGCAAGAAAGTGTTGAGTAGAATTTATCATTTTAAATCAATAGGTATAGCTTGTCAACTTCTGTCTAAGTACAATTTGAGTCATTGGTAACTTCTTCTTTTCTTTGTGCTCGTCATTTCTGTTCCTTTCTGCAGTGGCTTGCTTGACTTGTTGAAGTGGATATGCAGCGGTGGGTTGAGTCACAGGCAACGCCCCGTCCCGCAATCCCAGAAACAATCCCAGATTCTTAAGGATGTTTTATTGTGAATATTTATAAACCAGTTCCAGGTGGAACGGGTACATTGGCAAGACAGACCTCCTATCATCCCTATTAAAGTGCCAGCATTTATAATTCGATCTTGTTCTCCTCTTTTATCTACACAATACCTTGTGCTGATCTCAAACTCAACAAATTACACCGAGATACAGCCACCTATATCTAGGGAATGCGGTCACTAAACCACATGCTCTTGGCTCTTTATATTTCATTACCTTACTTGGCTCTTTATATTTCCGTACGTAACTTGGTTTACTGAATAAGAAGACATGGAGCAAGCTGTATGTTATCTTTTTGTTTTAGGTTGGACAGAACTGCTTGGCCAAGGATCCTTGCAGCCAGAATCAAATTTGCATGGACATTTGTAGCTGCCCAGGGTACCAGTGCATCGATTGCGATTCGAACACTTTTGGGCTGACGTGTAAGAGAATATTTTTGCCATCCTTCAGCTACATTCCTTACAGTCATATTGCCATTCCAAGTTGAAATAAAAGATAAATGCAATGCATTTGGGGAAATGCAATGAAAGGGCATATGTTGTGTTAGCAGTTGGCTTCTACATCAACTTTTACCATCAAGAACTTTTACCAGGGGCGGATCCAGCACAAAAACCTGACTGAGTTCCAGGCCAAGGCTAGGGACTTTAAGATAATGCATTGATCATTGTGCATAAGACATCATTATTATTTATATTTATGCTTTTTGGTATCATTGAGGGAGGGGGGGGTAGGTACTATCTACTCACTCAATCTAGATTCTAGTTTGTTTGACCCTTTGTTTGTTTTGGATGCCACAGCAAAGTTTTTCCCTTATGTTTTGCTCGCAATTTGTTGTTTTGCCTCTGTAGACACCAGCCTATTCATCAAAATATTGTGTTCCGTCTGAGCATAGGTTTTCCGTGCCATCATAGACTGCAATTTAAAGCAAAGGTAGTTAACACTCCTGGAAAATTAACGATATCTCCTGGTTTTATCTCAAATGTTTAATAATCTGCTAGAATGCTGCGATGGTCGTGAGTATAAGACATCTGCAGTCGCCATTTCGAATTCAATGTTTTGCAGTTTCACGATAGAACAGAAACAATAGGTAGCCAATCAACTACAGGCCATTGTACAGCTCTCCTACAAATCTGGTATCATTTCCGAGTTCCAGATGCTGTTTTGATTGAGTTCCATCCGTGTTCCAAACAAAAAGTTTAGTGTTTCAATTCATTCACTTCCGAGGCACAAAATGTTTATTACCGAGATCTGGGATTGACTACTGTTGTCCTCCACAGCGTCTGGAAAATCGTTTCCAAATCGCGACAGAGAGGAAACTGGCAATTTTAAGATTTTGAAGAGACTGTGATAAAACATCGAATTTTTAGGTTTCAGTTTTTTAATTTAAATATTACTTGTTTCAGGCATATATTTTGAATATTGCTATTTTAGATGTATGTTGAAAAACTGACTGAGTTCTGTGCACCAACGAACTCACTCTGGATCCGCCTCTGTTTACTGCCATGTAAATTTGTTGTGTTCTGTTCTGATAATTGTATGGCGCTTGTCAATACGGTTCACAAAAGTTTTGCATGCTTTCTCGCAAACCAACTCTAGTTACCTCAAAAGATTTCCTATATGATTTTCAATGTCAGAGTTTGGGATCACTGAGACATCACTAGATTTACAGCTGTTTAAAAGTATTTTTGTTTACCTATGAAAGCTATTAAAAACAATTTTGATATTGTCTTGCCTTTCATTGATAGCATACCAAAACCAAGCCCATATGCATAATTGGTCGTTGGTGCGAGCTCTAGAAATGTTGTTCCGTTAGCCCCGTTAGTATAGGAATAGACTTTACCCCAAATCATAATTACAGAATTTCAACAAAATATCATTCGTTGTGGCTCGAGCACATATTTATCAACCATTTTTTTTTCATGGATGGTATAATGAAAGATATTGGACAGCAGTTTACTTTCATTGTTAATATCAAACCTGTAAGATCATCTAAAAATCATCACGCTAAAAATCATCTAAATTGAAAGCCCCTCTAAAATACTGCAATGAATGCAATGAAAATATTGCCATATTAACTCAACTTTTTCATTTTAAATATTGCTGGCTAAACATGCTTCTTTGAAAATCGGGAAAGGAATTTTTTTCTAGGTTGCAGAAAAAAAATTACAGGAGAATCAGGTTCAATCAAGAGTCCAAATTATCCAGAAATTTACACACCCAATGCAGAGTGCTATTGGACAATCAGCGTTAAACCTGGTAAAAGAATCGAAGTCTCTTTCAAGGGTTTGGAAATGGAGGAAAGTACCTCCTGCAAACTCGACTTTGTCAGGATCAAAGACGGTCCTGCAAATTCAACATCGTGGCTTACAGATAGATTATGTGTCTATGATGACGAATTAAAATCAATAAAATCTACTGGATCAATAATTCACGTCATATTTGAATCTGATTTCTCAATCCAGAAGAAAGGATTCAAATTAGATTGGAAAGAAGACTGATGCAAAGATTTGATCCCCCGTCCAAAAAGAAAGGTGATCAGTTAATTATGATAACTTTGATCGTAGATGATTTAATGGCTTGGGACAGATCATTCTTCCAACCACGTTGATTTACAAAATACAGCAAGTACACTTTCTTATGCTCTTTCTAAAGAGAAGGCCTAGTTTGAGATGCATTTGCAAGGTGCTTATACAAGAATAGCACATCTGGTTGGTTTAGGCAAAGAACTGCATCAAAACCAATGCACAATAATGAAACCTTAGTTGGAAAACGTAATAAGCACACAAATGTCATTGCTTCTTGCTGATCTTTTAATTCTATTATATAAAGTTTGCGATAGTATATTAACGCATTGTACTGAATAGTTTATAAAAGCAGTTGTGCATTAGTAAGATTGCTTGAGTCCCTTTTGTAACTCTGCAAAAAGCAATGTACGATGCAGAATCATCAGCACTCGCCGATACCCGGGAAATGATCGCCGAAACCCGGCCAAAATGTTACTCTAAAAAACATAATATACACTATACCGTTTTCCTCTAATGAACGCTGCAGCGCTCATTACAAAATCCAGATTTTGGATGCGGCGTTTAATACAAAATGAAAGTTTATCAAATGAAAAATGACAAGACAGGTGTGATGAAAAAGGATAGAGAAGAATTTAAACAATGGTTTCTTTTCCCATAAACTTACCAATAAATTTGCCTGCACTCTTGAATGAGGGGCATTAGCACAACAAGCTTTTTCTCTTGTAGAGAGCGAAGGAAGAGAAAAAAGAGAGAGTTTATAGCCCTCTATAAAGAATTTGTAAATTTGATATCAAGGCTGGTAAATACAGATGACATTGCGAATTCATCATAAACTGCATTGTAAATTTGTCATAAACTGCATACGTGAGCAAAAATTGTAATAATAGCTTTGTTTTGAGTATGATTGAACTAACAAGTGTGATAGAACGATTTGCTTTTCGATCACTTTGTAAATTCCAATTTAAAAAATGCTATGTTGCATTTACTCTAAGATCGGGAGTAAACAGGGGGTTGAAATAATTCAAAATACATGACATTTTTAATCAAAAGTTTCCTTCAAAAGGGGATCTTAAAAATTGTTAGAAAATAAACGGGGGCTGGGGTTCGAAAGTTCATTCTCTATCTCAGAGTACATTTTCTTCGCTTACAGTGGAGTTAATTGCCAAGAAGAGAAAGGGGTGATTATGGCACAACAGCTATTCAAAACTAAGGGGTGCTGCTGTAACTTTCTGTTTCTTTCAATAGGTAACATTGGCTTCAGTATATGAGGCCTCATTTTTGTCTATACATGAGACCTTTTCAACAGAACTCAAGTGTGTGTTAACAACTACTTTTGGTGCCGTTTTGCAGCTAAAGAAAAAGCTTCACGTAATCATTAACAGTGGTGTAGTCGTAAAACTTTAGGAAGTAAAACGCAAAATTTAGAAATGAAAGAATTTTTTGTTAGTTTTCTTTTTCAGAAATATAAAACATTTTCTGTTGCCCTCCAAAAAAAAGAAAAATCTAATAGCTATTTGTCCATATGACTTCCATCACTTTCATACTTACTTGAACCTTGACTGAGACAAGTCAAATCAACTTAGTTGCTATATACTTCGATCAAAAAGCTACTAATATCTAGAATCATACTAATATTTAAAAAGAATGAGGTCACTTTTTGTTTGGGTAGGTAGTATGGGTGACGCTGCAGCCCAAACCTTTTAGGCAGCGTAACATCATAACGACATTATGCCGCGTTACCCCCTTAACGCTTTTCCAGAAAATTCTTCCAACAGTGCAACTAAAATCATGCTTTGTAATTTTCTTTCCTGTCTTTTTTTCTGTGTTTAATCAACATTAATGCACAAAAATTATAAGTACTTAACAACAAAGATAGGACGTTATTGGAACTAGCAGAAATGCACTTCAGCATGTTTTCGTTGATTTTGTTTGTAAAAGAACTTTGTGTAGAGTGATTTGTCTGAATGTGTGTTCTTGTAATCAAGAGCAAATTAATACGCAGTTTATTTGCCTGTTTGCAGCTTGCAAGCATAATTAAGAGAAGTTTCAAAACAAGGTAGTAATTCATTAAAATTCTCAAATCTTTGCCTTTTTCAGTGAATTAGCATGATTGGCCTATTATATGGTATGTAATCAAAGCACCATTTCTTATCAATAAATTGCTGGACAGTTTAGAATTCGTATACCAAATCCGCAATTTACTTTGAAAACAAATGTGAAAAATTAGAAAAGGAGTAAATTGACCAGAGTTTTCCTATGTATTGTATATTTAGATTATAATTAAGTTTTTGAAATAGATTTGGGCATAGGAAGCTAAAGGTGATTAAAATATATACAAGGAATTGTTATAAGCACTTGAAAGCTGCTCTTCAATGTCAAATGTATGAATTGAAATATTAGCGTTCCTCAAGGCTTGCATCCTGACCTAATTCTGTTTAAAATATCCACCATAGTGTTGTAACTCAGTTCACTTTTCACTGTATTGCGCTTAAGATAATACAAATCAATCAAAATAAGATTACAAAAATATTGATAAAGATGTATTCCAATATTCATAATTAAACCGAAAGTTTATCTAAAATTTCTTGATATCTTAAAATGCAGTTTGGAAATAAAACGTCGACATGTGGCACTGCAAGTATAATTTGCAAATATAAACCATGCTTCCTTCAATGCTTCCTTTTAATATATTTTATCTTTTGTAACATGCATAGCTAACATCAACAAGGTCTTGTTGGCATGGAATTTGGCCAATGATTTGATGTAGTCATGATGTTTTAAAACCCGAGAATAGAAACTGATCGTTTTTACTACAAAAAATATCTTGATAAAAACTTGCATTTTAAGGCCTAACAAAAGTTTATTGAATGTTTTTTTGGTCACTGGGAGAGGCTCTGAATCCATTAATCTTTGATGTGAGCTCTAAATAGAATGAGTTCCCTCGATTGGGAAAAGATTTTGCCTAAAGCCTAACTTACAGAACTGTAACAAATATTCTTCATTTAGGCTGGAACATATATTCACTATTTTCCTTTCATTGACAGGAAAATGCAAATAACTTGATAGTACTTTCTTTATTCTTACATTATTTATTAAGATCAGCTGAATTCAATGCCTCCGCAAGTACTGCTGTGAATTTTATAAACATATTGCCACATTTACTTAACTCAATACATTTTCAATACATTTAAGGCCCCGTTTATACTGTGTCAGATAAAATTTATCCGCATAAAACTTGTTCAGAGTGATTTGCGTTTACACTGTGCCGCACAAATTATGTCCACTTTGCCCTCCCGTGCCGGATAACTACAGTCACATGACCTAAATCATGCACAGAACGTCCAAAATGAAGTCTTCTCTGGGCAACAAAATAATAACGAAATTCCTGCCAACGTAAAAAGACTTATCTTCAGAATCATCTGCTTCTCTTTTAGACCAAATCCAAAGTTATTGTCAATACAAATTGAACTTGTTTGTTTTAAAAGTTTGTTTTTGAAACAAAATGACATTGATTCAGCAACGAAAGTAGGGAAAGCTGAAAAGGATGCCAATTTTACGTAGACTGGCAAGATACTGCACTTTTAAAACGAGTATTTATCGACAACAAGGCAGTGAAAACTAAATTGGATGAAATAGCCAATCGCTTTCGAGCAACATACGATGTATGTAGATAAAATTTACCCGGATAAAAGCGTTTTCACTGTCCACATAGCTATCCAAACTAATTTAGTCCACTTTCCTAGGTGAACTAATTTTGTTCGGAAAGCCGCCCTCAAACTCGTGCGGATAGCGTGGGTCTAGTGTAAACGCGACGCCTATCTGAACTAACTTTGATGCGGATAAAAATTATCTAGCACAGTGTAAACAGGGTCTAAGAAACAGGTTTTTTTGTTTCCTTTTAGTGTCGTTTCCATGGGCACGCCTACAAGGACAACTTCTAAGTTCTGATCTTATTTATAATTGCTTTAATTCAAAACAGAATAACATTAATTGACGATACTCATGGTAACTGATTAATATTTACACCAAACTTATACAAATTGAATTTCTGATTTAATTACTTCAATATTTTTACACAAGCACTTTACACAAGTCTATTTCTTTTGATTTATCTCAATTTCTAACAATCACTTATCTAGCAAGTACTTCAGGCTTTGAAAACATCCCTACTTAATATCCGCTTGATAGAAGAGCTGTCTAATGTAAAATTTCACCTTCTTTGATATGTATATTCTAATTTTGGAAAACTTACTTTATTGAGTTTTCTTATGCTTCCTAAGAAATAATGACATGTAAAAAGAAGATTAATCTCAAATAAGATTTGAAATTCTACATAACAAATTTCCCAGATGACTAAATCTTGCACGATCTCACCTTCATTATGAAGACAGACAGATTTCTACTAGACTGCCCCCATAAATGCTTTTTAGTTTAGTTACTCTTTGTTTTACAAGGCGTTGACGTAACTAGCCTTCCTAGCCTTCAGAACGCACCAATCTAATCTGATGTTTGAACCTACTTGCTGCACTACTGGTGATAAAGATATAAAAACAGTATAAATAGCGGCAATAATAGATATTTAGAAAACAGTACAGCAACAAAATAAAAAGCAAGGAAATTCTGTCAATTCAGTTATTGTTATTTCGTAAAGAGGTTATCTGCTGGTTTATTTATGAGGACGAATGTTCTAAATGATTAAAGCATCTTCTTTATTTGCTAATTACGTTTCTTCAGGCAGTTGCTGGGGTGAGCTAAAGGAAAATGCCAGAGCTTTGGTCACAGTTGATAATATTTGGATAACACTTATTGAGTTGACTAACAGTGGTGAAAATGTGATAAGACTCTTAGATTCTGTAATATCCTTTTCGCAGCTTGTCTGTGAAATGTAAACAGTTTTACTTATGCTAAGATTGAATCAAACCATATCAATTCGAGGTTTAGTTTTGAATAACAAATTTGAGTATCAATCAAGCTACCCTTAAGCCAGCCACCTGCCATTTTCTACAAGAAACTTATCTTCAATTAGAGTATCTACTTTTACCAAATAGCAGCGAAGGAGAAAACTTCCATCAGCAGATAGAACGAGAACTGCAATGATACTGTAAGTATTTATCTGAAAAATGAATTTTGACAATGCTATCAATATTCTTCATCATTTTTACTGAAAGCTTTTTCAATGTAAAAATATTTCTGCAACACAACTCAACCCTTAAATGGTGATTTCGAAAAAAAGGAATGGATAGAATACTTGCAGAATTAGCAAAATCATTATTTTTTGCGAGGAACAGTTTCTTTAAAACAATTTCTCGTTCCTAGACTCTTCTACTTTTAAAAATAATATAAGAACAGTGCTTTACGATAATGGCCAAAATACATGCTACCATTCATTGTATGTGTAAAAGATCCTACATTTCTATCATCATAGTAATTTGAACTTAACAAATTTGTCAGTATTTTGTGGATCTTTAACGCAATAGTCAAGCAAAACCTGAACACCATATACCGGCCGTCGCTAAAGGGATGCCCTGATCCCATTTGCTGACAAAGTGGGTGAGCCATCCTTTAATTTCCATAAAGTCAGAAAATCTGCCCACGACGCACCTCTACATGGCAAAAGATGCCTCGTAGTTACAATGAATTTCTTCCAATTTGAGTCATTTTTCTTCTGGATGACTCGAACTTTCATTAAATCGGATTGATTTTCGATTTCAATGCGAAAATTTGGACTAAAGTCAGACCATTTGACTTTATTTGGTATGTTTTGATTTAATATGCAAATTCTACTACAATAATAATTATTAACACAATTCTGATAATAATACCATAGAGAAAAAACAGCAGATGCAACTAGATGTAATGGACTCTCAAAGTAGGCAAACTAACGAGATAAGAGCATCGTCTATTGGAAACCAATTGCGATGCTAAATTGCTAATTTAAATAATAAAATGTGTTGTTAAGTGTATCGAATAAAAATTTCATTTAGGCATTCACATACCATTGAGCAAGACCATTACCACATGCAACATTGGTCACCTTAAACAATAGATTGTTGAATTGTATTCATTTGCATTTTTGCTGCGCCAATTTTTCCGACACAGAAAAGAAAAGAGTTTTCTAACAGGCATTTTAATAAAACTAATGCCTTAAAATCAACTTGCTATCGAAAAATTTGTTTGTCTTACGTTTCAGATTTATTTAAGAGTGCATGTTTTTGAATTTGAATTTAAGTGGTAAGACAGGTTGGTTTGTGTATGTGGCTATCCGCAAATTTTACTAATAAATATTTCATCTTGAAATCTTGTCAAAAAGTTGAGTTACACACATTCTATCCAAGATCTACGGTCCCTTCTTGGAAGTACAATGACTGTCAAGCCCCGACCTGTTTGCTACACGCTTTTAAGAACACTTGGCTCCAGTTTCAGCCTGGCGTTTCTTTTTTTCGCATATTTTCAGCCTTACGATTTTCTTACACTGTACTTTACTTTTGTGATCGAATTGCCTCTTTTCGGGATGTTGAATTTCAGCCTGCCTTGTTTCTTTTGTTGTTGTTTTTTTGGGAAAATCTTAGCCTGATGTCTAAGAACGGTTGTTTTTATAAATAAGTGTGTATTTACTAATAGGATGACTAAAAACGGTCCCAAGCGTTACATTTGCAGATCTGCATAGAAGAATTATTTAATATTGCCACCATTTCACTTCCATATCAATTTTCCAAATTTTATACAAACAGATTTCGCTGCAAGGATGCAATTTTTTGGGCCTCCTTCATCATTGCCTTTCGTTGCCACATACTCAGACTCAAATGTATGTCTTTTGCGGATTTTTCAGTCAAAGTGGAAAATCACTTGCTCGAAGGATCAAAAATTCAGGAGATTGAAGGCGCCAGCTTAAACGAATGCAAAGGGCAATGTGTCCTAAATCAGCAATGCAAGTCAATTAACATTAAAAAGGACGGTTCTGGGATGTGTTGGTTGAATCGAAAGTCCAGTATTGATGTGATGGACAGAATTAATCTGACAGAAAGCGATGAATGGGATTTTCATTCAACAAATTATTCAGTTCGGGAGGTTCGGAGCTTTTTTCTTATTCTCAATGAATTAGTTATATTTATTTTTCCTGCGGTGAAAGCTTTTGCAAACACAGATGAGAAAAATGATTATCAATGTATTTGAAGTAGATATTAAAGGCTTAATGCCCAAAGACTGTTTAATCATGCATTGGAAACCCGCTATTGCGAATTCAGTATGGATCAAGAAAAATCTTTGTAACAATAAAGTATCTGTCAGAACATTCATTGAATGGCAGCGGAATATCTCCAATAAATCTAGAAAGTTACCGATATTCAACTGAACTTATCAAATGTTTAAAGTCGTTATATAAACCATTGCCTAACTTTTTTGGTATCTGTCCTGTCTAAATAATAAACACTTCGTCCATATATCATAGATTTGCTCACATAAAGATTTTAATAATAGCTCCTCCCACTTCTCTTTTTAACAGTTTTGTATACGAAGGTGCACACGCTCGCACAAAAAAGTACTACCCTCAGTACCAGAGCCACATCGAGCGATGAAATAGAAGATAGGGGGGAAGAAGCGAAGGAGCATTTCCTCCTTCTCAGGTAAACGCACCTTCAGTGTGGCTCTAGTACTCAGGGTAACAGATTACACTTTCTGTAAATTTTTCAATTTTGCTTCATTGATAATAGTTTTAAGTGCAACATTTACAGGAAATGTTTTATATGAATTCTTTACATTATCATTTGAAAATGTTTTGCTATGGAAATTGTCTGTTCTCCTATAATATTATTGTTTCCCGTCAAGTTCACAACATTAGAGGGGGTGGCTGAAAGCTGGACGGTAATGCTCTTCTTTGTATCTTATTGTAGGTTGGAGTGAACTGTAAGTCTAAAAACCCGTGCAACAGCAGAGCAATGTGTGTTGATACATGTCATTGCCCGGGCGTCGAGTGTCTCAGCTGTTCCGAGAATCAAAATGGATTTCACTGTGAGTACCATAAGGTTGGAGGCATACTCATTGAAATCAAAAAACATATGTAAAATGTAAAGGGCATGCCGAAAAGAAGGACCTGTGTTTCTTAGTAATTAAAGTTAAAACGAGCCAAGCTTGCAGCTGTAATTGTATAGAGGTCTAAAAAGGCACAATATTTCTAGGAAGCATTCAATAGAGTCGTATTCTTACTTTTAGGCAATAGATGTGCTAGCAATCCATGCCATAATGGAGGAACGTGTTTGGACGTATCTTCCATCATGTGCAACTGCAAGCAAGGGTACACTGGACCATTTTGTGAAACAGGTATTTTTCGTATACAAGCATGATATATGTACCTTAAGGGCACTATGTTATGCATTTCGATGGCCATTTAAGTTCCCATTGGTTGTACTACTACATACTATGTAACATCTTCCATATCATAGGAACTACTTGACGATCTAGCAATTTTATCCATTGAAAAAAAGGTAGTGAAGAAAATTGGCAAGAATAATGTTATAAAGGATTTTTCCAGCCTTGACGAACATGGAAAAACCCACGTTGTAAGTTGATAAAACAATGATAATGTTAGGGAGGCAAGATCCATAATAAGCTCCCCTAAACATTAAGCATGCAGATATTGCTGTTGGTGTTGTGACTTGGGCGGGACATAGGTATGTACCACAGAGAGACACATGCTTCTAGCAAGAAGATATATATATGATGATTATAAGTAATTAATTATACTCAAGAGAGAGAACCTCTCTCCATGCCTCGTGTATCTAACTCTAATCAATACTGGCCACGGGAGGGCGTAACGCGAAGAGATGCCGGAAATGCCAAATATGGTAAGACCTTCTCACCATGTGTCCCGGAGCCCTATACCCAAATTGAGGTTTTCTGTCTCCTTCGCAGTAGTTGGTTGAACTCCTGGGTTTATTATTTTGCTTAAGTCGTTTTTGCAAATTTAGCAGGTGTTGAGGTTGAAGAACAGAACCATATTTTTCTTGCGTCCGGCATTTCAAACTAGGTATCTCCGTATTTTTGCATTATATTGTGGATGCGGCATAAAGTCAACGGTAGCTTACATTTTTTTAATGAACACCATTTGCTGCAGCTCATAATCGAAAATTTACAATAGCTTTCTTTTTAGATTTAACCAGACATGGAGGATATTTTTCAGCAATATTTGGTGGCTACGCAGTAGTCTTTATCAAAAATTATGGCAGCTCTTTGAATAATGTCATATTTCCTTGAAATTTTATTCAGATAGCATATAATTCCATACCGAAGAACAACTGTTTTTCTCATAAAAGCTTGTACTCTATGTTAACCTTTTCAAATTTAACTCGTATAATTGTCCTAAGTTTTCCTATGCTGAATTTTTCTTTCTATCATAACTTGCATTTTGAAAATCTTGAGAGCATGGTTTCAAATAATTTTGCATTTTTTCAAACTCCCTCCTCCGTGGAGCTCATTTCGCTTTTTCAGTCCACATATGAAGACACACATCGTCTTACTGAATCCATACGGGCCCCAGGCGTCTTCTTGACGTCACTGCAGACATAGTTTCTGTGAATATGAGAGACTTGCAATGATGAGGCATCATGTTGACGGATAATTCGCAACACAACATTTCAACAATTGTGTTATACTTATTATTTTACTCTGTTAAATATGCAGACACTATACAAATGATTCATAAAAAAGGGTTATTCTATTGTAGCGATACGGGCGGCCTCAGCGTGTGGCAGTGTGTTCAAGGGTACAGCCGGTACAATTGAAAGTCCGGACTTCCCACACATTTACCCGGCACGAAGTCAGTGTCTCTGGACAATCTACGTTGCTAATGACCACAGGATCAAATTTAGATTCAACTTTTTTGCTGTAGAGAGAAGTTCAAGTTGCCATTACGATTACGTGCGAATTATAGATGGATCTATGGCAGACAGTGAATTCCTCACTGGAAAGTTATGCGGTTACGCTTTGAGTCAGACGATCTACAATTCAACGACATCAGTTGCATCGGTACAATTTATTTCTGACGGAAGCATTCAAAAACAAGGATTTCAATTGTTTTGGATGCAGGTTTAAGAACTAACTGCCAACTGTAATTTGTTCCCAAAGGATATGGAGATAAATGTGAAAAAATAAAGCAGAAGTTAAAATTCTGAAAATACCCTCTGAGAAGATTTTCTCAAGAAATAATGATTTCAGGTTTTACTTAAGCCCTGGCCAAAGGACTCGATTTTTCACTCGTTTTTTCTACTCAACAAGAAAGCAAGTTAAAATCCACCATTTGGCCACCTTCTCGAGTGAGTCGAGTGAGCGCAAGCGCAGCTATCATCTCTTATGCTTAGTTTTTTTGTAAAAGAGCTAATAAATTCAAGAGCGGGGTGGCCAAAAGGGGGCAGGGCAGCAAACTACCCTGAGGCCTCTAGGTCCAGGGGACCTTTTAAAGTGATGAATTCCATTTTAAGAATGAAATTAATCAAACAAAACAAAAGTATGCCTAAAAATAGGAATTTGCTTAAAAGAATAAAACATTTAGTGACGGTTACTGCATGAAACGAACGACCAGGGTCTTATGACGCTAGAGTTTGTCAAGAGAATGTAAAGGACATTTTCATGTACGATATGCACGGCAGCCGCTTTGCGTTTCTTTGCCTTCATTTTGTTGGTGTGAGCGAAAAATCGAGCGAAATATCGAATCGTTTGGCCATCTATGCTTGACATCGCTCGATTTTGAGATCAAATATCGAGAGAAACAGTGACCGAAAAATCAAATCGTTTGGCCAAGCCTTTAGGAAGCTGTAAATTTTTGTCATTTGCCTATAGAATAAGAAATTTGATTAGAAAATATTTGACTAAAATCAGTTTTTGTAGTTTTTTTTGGAAATTGTGTGTACTTTCAGAGTCTACTTCTTCATTTAAAGGCAGCGCGCTTGGACACTGATCGGCGTATTTTCGATGCGTGAATAGACATTGGTGCCTGACCTGTGAATCAGCATTACTTATGGCGTTATTGCGTGAGTGCTGCAAGCGAATTTCCAAATTAGACAGGGAAATAACCGCAACTAACTCACCGCATGTGTTGTCAAGATTCTCCAAACTTTTTCATGATCCCAGTATGCCAGAGAATTCAAATCTGCCAGGTACCTTTTCAAATTTTACTTCCGGTTACGTGACAAGGCATAATTTCATTTTACGATCAGAAAAAATTAAAAGTCATTTTTTTATAAATCTGAGGCAACCATTAGAAAAAGCATCAAAAGAGATGAAACAATCTATCAAACATCAACCCTGTGACGTTTATATTTCAAGAGATGTGGACCGTTAAACTTTCGATGATGACGTCACAAAATATCTAACTTTGCACAATTTCTAATGCGTAAAAAAAAACTTTTTGTTAAAAATTGATATACATACTTCAAAGCTCAAATTCACTAAAAGAATAATCTGTTGTATCATCAAAAGAATCAATCCAGGCCCAGGCACTATCTTGGTCAAACACGGATGTATTTGTCCAGACGGAAATGGAGGGGAGTACCACCAAAGATAATGGAAGTGGGGCGGTGAAATTTTGACTACCAGTTTCGAGTTCTTTATCAACTGGGGATATTGAATTGTGATGGTAAATGGGGATTTGCCGCTGTTTTGGGGTAAAATGAGGTTAAATCAGGAGAAGTTCCTGCTTATCCTCTGCAAAGGAGAAACGTGGCTGGAATGACGTTTTTAACAAAAAAAACCTGGTATTAGCAGTAGAATGTGAGCGATAGTTTATCTTTTTTAGTAGAAATACGTTTAAGGTAGCAAAATGAGCTATAATTTGTCAAGTGACGTCTAATTACCCCATGTCCGTATATGGATATCTTATTAAAAATGGCCAAAGCCAACTCATCCTTTGCCATCCGACATTTAACTTAGCATGCAATTGACCATCAAAACCTTAGGAAGGAACTGTCGTGGTACTCAAACTATAAGAAGGGACTTTTTGTCTTTTTGTTAACCTACATTGATAGTATTAATTGGTCTTAAAGAGCATTACTATGCTCATACAGATAAGATAAACATGAAATCTTGCTGAGCAAATCAAGAGCTAGAGCTACAAGTATGAATGACGAAAATTTAACAATAAATTATAATTTTAATAGGACTTAATGTAATTAATTGTCCTTCTTGACTCGTTAGGTGAAAAACTTGTCTTTTAAAGTCACCAACTGAAATAGTTAGCTTTTTTTCTTTAGCATACAGTGGGCGGATCATTCTAGAATGAAACTCACCTGCGACAAGTTCTCAAAACTACATTGTTTTAATCAACTAATCAAAGTAGAAATTCGAAATGTACAAATGATACAAGGGGCATTGTTTACAGGAGATCATAAAATAGTCACGATTTCTGGGATATTTGGGATACCATTTCACCCTTCTGAGATGAGACATGTCAGAAACCACAGAACATGTGCCAATGCCCATTGTTTTCTACCATGGTCTCGAACATTCTCCCATAAGGTAAATTTTTTTTCGAAGAAATAGTAAACTTTGAATTGCTTTTGCCTCCTAATTTATATAGCTAATACTATTTCGAAATTCAAATCAGCAAACTTGACCTTGCTTACCGATAGTTTGAGCATGGCTGATTAACCTTATTGCTTATTGGGTTGTGCTTGGTCGGCCTTGGGTGGTTGGCTTGGTGCAGGTCCGGCATGGGGCTGGGGGTTGGGTGGGTCGCTGGGTGGTTGCAGGAGGTTTCCTGTCTATTATTTTCTATTTAGTTAATTGCATGGTATTACCGTAATTTATGTTAGTTTGTTTTAGAGTTATTTGTTGTCATTCATTTGAATTTTGTATGTTGTGAGATTTTAAAATGAAGTAACTGAACTGAACTGAACCTGTGACAATTCCCAAAGGCCAGACAGACTGCAAAAAAAGCCGGAAATAGGCAAATAAAGAAAGAAAGTGCATAAAAAGGGAACTTGAAATGTCACTGATCAAGTAAAATTCGATAGAAAGCTATTCCTATGATGAAAACCCAAGATTGATCATCAAAGACTGAAGCCCCCCTCCCCCTCCCCTCGCCCCAATTTTTTGCAAAGGAAAGTTTACATAAAAATGTATATGAAAAGGAAAATGAAAAAAAGAAAAAAATAACTCAATAAAAATGTCTTCATGACAATAAAAAAGTATAAAGGGATCGGGATTTGCACCAGGGCCTCAAGGTTTAGGAGGCCTCATAGAGTAATTAATTCAATTTAAGAATTGAATAAAAGTAACACAAGTGCGACTAAAATAGTGAAACAAAAGCTATTTAAAGGTGAAAGAATAGTTGTTTTTATTTTTTATTTTTCACATATATTCTTTTGTTTTTTGCAATTGGCATGATTTGAACACAAAGGCAATTATTAAATATTCAGATGCCACCTTGAAAGAAAATGACTGCAAGAAATATTCTGAAATGTTTTCTAAATGACTCTGCTGCAGCCATCTTTAATGTACCACGATGGTATTGTTATCAAATGAAATCCCATGAACAATTTTTTTCCATATGCAGGATGCATTTTTCCGTTGTCAAACCACTTGCTTGCTTATATGTGAGGTGGTATAACGTGCGTGAATTCTTTATTTATCACCATGAAAACATAAGAGGATAAAATAACGCTCTTTATGATAGATTTGCTTCTTTGCTTAAAACCTCGAGCGAACAAGATGGCACAAAATACTAAATGTTTTCGGCTATAAGAATCTCTCCATACAAAATGTCAATCGACTTCAGATTTTGAAAACTTATTGTGCAGTCGTCGATACCTTTAACCTTCTGGGCTTTCTCTCAAATTTTTAATCATAACCTCCCTCGCATCTAACATTTGCTTTGTCAACATTCAGCTAGGTAGCCAAGACGGGTGGCCCGGGGCAAATTACCCCCGAGCCTAAGGGACCTCATAAAGTAATTAATTCCATTCAGGAGTGTGCCCAGATGGTTCAGCATGCTTTCGTTTTCCAAGTGTTTTGTATTGTTATCAAGCCTGACCTTGAAGCATCAGGCACCGCGGAGCAGTGAGAAAAGTGGGGGGTTTTAAAAAGTGGGGGGCTAAAACAATATGAAATGAGGCTTTGCTGTTAGTTTATTACCTAATATTTGGCACTTTTGCAATAAGTTAGCAATATTTCTTGCTAACCCCCCAGCGTCCCTGCTCCGCGGTACCTGAACATGAACATTTGACATTATCAACATTCTTACTTCAAGACAAGGTGCTTATGCGCGGGCAGTCCGCGGATTTACGGCATGTTTGAAAACAGTGAGCAGCAACAGCAGCAACATAACATAGTGAGTTGATTGAAAACGAATCAGGAAGTTGGGAGGTTCATGTTTCAAGATAAGTAGTTCAAAAACTGGGAAGGTTGTTTCCTCGTAAGCTCTCTCTATGTATCTCCCATAGTGCTAAACTTCGTTTCCACGATGGCGCCTTACGATCCACTGAATTTTAGCTTTTGGAGCAATCACACAAGGGAGAGTGCTGTTACTATAGACAGCTTAATGCCGAATGGCCTATGTATCCAGAGAATGGTTCAAGCTGATACGGCAATTCGCGATTTCAAGTCTGATCTGTGGAATGAAGCAAGCAAGCTGCCTTTATTTCACTTGCTGAAAGAATCTAAACATTATGTACTATCTTGTGTGAACAATAAAGGAGGGTTGGAAGAACTTGTTGATGAAAACAGAACGATTTTTGATGTTCAGCCTTTTAAACCCTATTTTAAAGTTGTCAAGAAGCAAGGAGATGAAACTGAAAAATTGGTCAATTCGAAGATAAATATGCTCATCGGAAAAAGCTTAACTGAGTTCGATGGCATGATGAAAAATGACGAAATACGCGATTTCAGAAAAAAGTACCGATCTGTTTGCGAACAAGTTTATAACCTTAGACGAAGAGCCAATTGGGAGGAAAGGGCAATGTATGCTTACCCTCCTCAATTTGCCAACACACTGGACTTCCCAGATTATTTGAAATCTAAAATGACTTCCAACTTGATAGTAAATGTTTCCATTGCAGAAGGAATAACTCATACCTTTACCTTGCCGTTTGACTGTTCAGTTGAACAACTACTGTTGGAGGCATTGGAAAAGAAAAAGGTCGTTCTTCAGTTACGAGAAAGGGAAGATCCGTCAGATTTTATGCTTAAGATAGCTGGCAAAACAAGCTTTGTCTTTGGAAGATGTATTGATGATGAAGAGCCAGTTTTACTTCATTTTGAAGTGAGCAAGTAGATGTAAATTTAATTTTACCTGAAGCTGTGATGCATGATTTATGCCTGTCTGAAACACTGCAATTCTTACTTTAGTGATTTCTTAAAGATATTTTTATTACAACTAAACATATTACATTTATATATAACATTAAAGATAGTCCAGTGAAGCATTCATTTTCAAGCCTAATTTCGTTAGCTACATTATCACATTTTTTCATCCACACATTCTAGGAAATGAAGCCCTGACAAAATAAATTTACATAATTATCACACGGCATCTACAATTGTGAAATAATGCTTAAAACTTTTGATAACTTTGGCCAACCAAACTGCAAAGGGAAATCCTGTCTGCCCATATTTTTCAAAGTTAGGACAATCTGTGCAATTACAGCACAGATTTTGCACTCTGGTTGGCCACCATGTTTTAATATCTTTGATGCAGGGACGGACACTTGGTCAAATATTGGGGGGACAAGCCTATTGTTTTTATAAGATGATATCAATTTTCCCATTGTTTCAGAACATAATAACATTGCCCTCCTAAAAAGTTTGGGGGCTGCCCCCCCCCCCCTTACCCTCCAGGTGTCTGTCACTGATTTGATTTTACATTATTATCACAAAACATTCCACCAAAAATTTCATTAAATGTTTCTTTTGCTCTCATGTTTGATCAGTGTTTTGTACATTTGACTGCCTCATAAAACATTCACCTGTTTCATACATGCACATCATTATACTGGACAAGACTCCCAAGGATCAGCTATTCTGCTTAGGGCCTGTTCAGACTTATTTTATAAAATGCCTATAAAATCTCATTCCATCATATGCTTAAGTAACTTATTTTTTCCAGTATATTCAAGCATGTATCACAGATGATGAAAGACCCCATCTTTCATTGGTGAAAAAGTCTGATCTTGTAGTTGAAGAGAGAATCAGAACAAAAACTGTTGCAGGACCTCCCCCTCCTCTTCCTGAAAGACCAAGGCAAAGTACAATTTCTCTTTGGGATATTGGACAAGAATCCATGCTCAAGATTAAAGTTGTCTGTGCAACAAACATCAATGCATTTGGGATGCAAGTATGTAAAACTTAAATTGCTTGTGCTGTTATTTCATACACAATTCTGCTGTTATTTCATACACTTAAGTGGCAGCACCTTGAGAGAGAGACAAGAAGAGCAGCTTCCAACCAATAATTTTTAAGAAATTTTCAATGCTGTCTTTGTTTAGTTTATTACTAGTTCAGTAAAAATCTTCATGTTCAATTTTTATGCCTTGAAGAAATTCAAAGGAAACAGTTTTAATTGCTTATGTTTAGATGTGTCACAAGTGAAATGGAAATGTGAGTTTCCTTGATAATGACAGCTTGAATTATGTTTTGAAAGGGAACTTGTGTTTCCAAGACTGTGTTTACGGGAAGATTGCAAACCATTCCAATTAGTTCTGTTTCCAAAAATGAAATGTTCAGGGTTGCATTTGTAAGCAAATGGTTCAAATCATATCGTTCCATGCCAAAAATTGGAAAGTCATGATATAAAAGTAGATACATGTATCCTATTTGGTTCCCATGTAATTTTCTGAGTGGCCCTGAACAGCATTTGACTTGTCTTGACTTTACTTCATTCTATTTTTAGAAACAGAATTTAATAATGTACCTATACATTTGGCTAAATGCTTCCATTGTTTGTAGTTGTAGTTTACCATTACCTCTAGCTTAAAGTACATATAAATCATCAAACTAAATGCCGCAGTTAACACATCTAAGAAAAATATGGCCAATTTTTCAGAGTTGTTAAGATGGTTAGGATGACATAATTTTCAAGGGCCTTTGCCCTTTAGTTCTCTTTGTAAAAAGAGAATTATCAGGTAGAGAATCATATAAGTCTGTTAATGCTTATCATATCTATCATCAATTTTTGAGGCTTCATTTACACTGTGAGAAATCATTGGAAGACAAAACTTGTTACTGGTTTCAGTTACACTTTGTTTCTTACTGAAAAAGGAAAAAAAGTATTTTAAATATAGATAGGTCCTGTGATTTTTACTACCATCTTCAATATTGGGCTTCTTAAGCTATTTTCATATTGCAACATTGATTCTGGTAATGAATTCCCAGATTTTCCTAGAATAGAAAATAAATTATGGACCAGAGAAATATAATCTTGCTTGCAATATTTTCTAAGATGTTAGGAATTGGTTTATTTTGCAAGTTCTTTCATTTATTCCAGGTGGCAGTTAGGTGTGGAATCTATCATGGTGCTGAGGCTTTGTGCGATATTATGACCACTTCAAAACAAAGTGGACGAAAATTGAATTGGAATGAGTTTATGGAATTTAATTTACCTGTGTGTGATATTCCACGTATGGCAAGGATGTGTTTTTGTATTTATGGTGAAAAAGAAACAAAAAGGGTAAGCAAGATTAGTCAGTAGTATAGTGGTGCTCAAGCTTGTATTCTAACAAAAATAATTCCAAAGAAAACAATAAATAATAGCTATGGGTCTGGGTGCACTTGCTTAACAGTGCTTAACAGTGCATCCAGAATGATGACTTAACCGTGACAATCCCTATTGTCTTGTAAAAATAGGGCGTTAACTGCTGTGTGAGGAGTCTAGTACACCCAGCGAAATCGTTCTTGCAGGATTTGTCAACTTTTACCAAAACCCTGAAGGTTTCATCGTTCTCCCTCAATGCAGGACGAACTCGTGATAACGGGAATGGCCCCTCCGTTTTTCCAAGTGGAAAAGTTTGTCTCGATTTTCAGGTTTAACAACGATAAACCCATTCAAGTCATTCCTTTAATTCCTTATTTAGTGAAGATTAGCCAAGCTTGTCTTGAAACGTTCTAATTAATTTGTGTATGTCTTATTCACTGAATAATCGGAATGTTGTCAAATCAAATCTTCTAGTATCAGACATGGCTTTGTCAACTCTATATATTATTGTTTTTGCAATTACTACACTTATTGAAATGAAACTCGTGTTTTTGTCGTGGTCCTCATACTGAAGTTGATATTAAAGCTGCGCTCTCCAACAAAAATTTAACACATTTTCTGTAAATTTACGTTTACATTAAAATAATACGGAGTAATATGTTTCGTTATATTATAACTCGGCATCAAATATTAGTGCAGTATTCTTTGTTTGTTCAAAGGTATGAAGGAGTTATTACTTGCCAGATTTGCACAGCAAACGACATATCTCACATATCCTGTCTGAGTGTTCTAAACTTTTCATAACTGTTGAAAATTTTATGTTGAGTTTTTTGTTGAATAACTCAATGGATATCTCTCCTATTGCAGAACCAAACATCAGTTCCATTATCTTGGGCAAATGTTACTATGTTTGATTACAATGGAAATTTACGATCTGGCCAGCAAACACTCCATGCTTGGGTCTGCCATGGCAACGATTGCATAACAATGCCACTAAATCCACTTGGCACAGTCGTTTCAAGTAGCCTCCAAGACAATGGCCCCCGTTTGCTTATTGAATTCACCAAGTTTGCAGAGCCAGTTAGCTACCCTACTGAAGAAAGGGTCAGTATGTGGCAGCCTTTCCATGTCTAAATAATGGTTATTTTGGTGCTCTTGACCACCCATATTACTTTATATTTGGTTTGAGCCATTCTGATCTCATATTCTAGAAACAACTGCATACTTTTGACGTTTCGTACACTACCTTCTAAGAAATCAAATGGATTTGAAGCATGAGGAAGGGTTTAATTATTAAAGAAATCAAGGTTGACAGTAAAATTTTATGTACAAAATCTTTTGGAACCAGTTTTTTACTGCCTCCCCAGAAAAGCACCTAGAATTCCAAGGCTTTATATTTTGCTTATATTTATGCCCCACATGTTCTGGTAGCCGTTTAGCTGTTATCCCCCAAAGAACATTAAGGTATCAGTGCATGTCGTCGACGTAAAATTTTTCTCTATTTTCACTTTCCAGCTAAGCAACTTGTTCATGTTTCAACGTTCTAGAATTCCAGGTGTCTCTACCCTCTTTGCATACTATCTCTTGCTTTTCTATCTTCACCTCTCAAGCTGTTCATCGTCGCTAGTCCCTTCCCTGTCTCTTTTTCCATTTTTCTCTTTGCAGAAATTCGTGTTGAGTGCAAATTGATGCTCTTCATTTGCCAAGGGTCTTTAAAAAATTAGGCATTCTCTACCAAGATATATTCTTGCGCTGCTGTTGTTTTTTTATGATAATCTGGTGAAATTTTAATTTTTTCTTTTTTCTTATTAGGTTATGGAGCTAGCTGCTCACGTTGTTCAGTTTTCACCAGGAGCGAATCCATTAGCGGTGAGTTATTGGTCTTAAAATATTGTTGTCTTTGTACTGCGTCAGCAGCATTGTAGGAATGATTCAAGTATTGCAAAGCTTTGTTTTGTTGATTTCAAGCAATTATTTTATTTCATTTTCTCCGTTTTGTATAGAATATGATACATTTTAACCACAAATTTTGCCATCATTTTCTGTTTATGGCAATGGCATTTATAGCCTCCAAAGATGATAACCCAGTCCAGGTCTTGATGTAACCCAGTCCATCTATTAAGGGAGGTTTTGGTCTCTTGTAACATTGTCGCGGCCTTCTAGGATCAATTTAAATTCTGATGATTGTTTTTTATGGCCAAAGAATTTTAACTTTCTCTCTCTGATAACAGCTGTTATTGATTTCACCTTCATTGAGGTCGTAGGCTTTCTATTGTGATATGATCTTGAATCTTGCGGCCAGTGATAAGTCTCATGATGTGGTTTTGAAAGTTTTCGAGTTTAGTAGCTGATCTTCTTGTCCAAGTTCTAGCAAAGCCTTTAAAAATCAACAGAAGATTAAAGGACAGTAGTGTATGTTCGAGCCTGTAAATTAAATCAACCTTTTAAGTCATACTACTATAATTAGTTTAAATTTCAAGATAGGCACCAAGAAATACTTCTTGTCTCGTAATCATCTCATGTTATCATATTGAATGTCAATAAATGTGGCTTTATTTCGCGATATTGATAGCAAATTATATATTGATATCTTTTAGACGAGAGGCAGTAAGCAGCATCGTGCCAATATCGAAGAAATAATTCAACGAGACTTACTTCTTCCTATGTTTGAGCAGGATAAAGATTTGCTATGGTTCTTAAGGTAAGAAAGTATAAAGTAAACAGAGCCAGACACCAACGAATTTTTCGCTGGATTAAGATTTTCTGCTACAAACTACGTCAAAGTGAGCGTTTGATAAAATCATTGTATTAGTTTCATCAGGAGCCTTTCCTATTGATTGTCGCATATAGTGAGAGAGAGGCAACTCTACTGCCTCTCATAAGGACAGTTGAAATCACACTTATGTTTCAGCGTGTTTCATTGCAATCTTTATTACAATACAATTAAGGAAAATAGTAAGTTGTTTGAGACGACATCCCTACAAATGGGGCTTTGTAATGTACAGCTTTCTCGGCATGTGTATGCTGTTCATAAATCATCGAAGAAAACGTTTTGAGACTTAATGGGCAGGCGGCTATTAGAATGCACGAAAATCGTTTTGTTAGCCACTTAACACTGTCAGTTGCATTTTTTTACTTTTATTATATCTGACGTTATAAATGGTATGATTAATTGCTTTATATTTTCTATTTAAATTGCTATAAATTTATGTATATTCATGTATTTTACTGCTGTTATACTTAATGAAATTTTTGTAATTATTGAAGTTATTATGACTAATACATCTGATTATTTGAATGGCTTTTGGTTTTAACTATTTATGACTATTGATATTTTATGTATTTTTTAGTATTTATGTATTAAACTATACCATATTTTCCTTTATTTGTGTATTATTCTAAATAGTAATTATGAATATAGAATACAATTAAATCTATGATTATTCAAGTGGCTTTAATGCTCAAGAGGCTAGAGCTTGTAATGAAAATGTTTTTATGGGTTTTTTTGTATTTTTCTTATCTATGGTCTATACTAAATAATATTTACGACTATCGATGCCATGAAAGCTAATATTTTTTACTATTGTAGCTATAACTTGTTTATGAGTGTTTATGCATTTTCTTTGCTTTATTATACTGTAGTTATCTACTATACTAAATATCATTTATAAGTATCTAAGTCATTATAGTTAATATTACTGACTATTGTAGCAATAGCATATTTTGAGTATTTATGCATCTACTTTACTATATTACTATATTATATATTACTATATGTACAATATCAGAAAGTATTCACCGCTATCTAAGTAATGATGACTAACATTTGTGACTACAGCTAATTCCTTTAGCTAATTCCTTATAGCTAATTCCTTTGTTTACTGACAGAGCGGAGTGTTGTGAAGAATACCCAACTTCTTTACCGAAACTTCTTCAGAGTATGAATTGGAACAAACGAGAAGACGTTGCGCAGGTACGATAAACAACGGAGAACTGTATAGATTCTCAAAGTGAGACAAACCCCCAAAACAATGACCCAATGAAACTAACTGTTCTATCTCTTGCGTCACTTCAATCTGCACACTCAAAATAATATTCGCTCACCCTTTGGGAAATATCTGCTATTCTATACATACAGAAGGAAAATTGCTTTAGTATGCTATGTTTATGCTGCACCTTTCTGAAGTGAATTTACCATCAACCTGTACGTCTGTTATGGTGGAAAAATTCAATACTGCAATGCTCTAATAATTTTTCATTATCTGGGTTACCAAAAACGATAGCTTCTTTCTTAAAGTTTTTTTAATTTATTTCCACAATAATAGTACAAATGTTGAATTAATTGACAAACTACAGAGAGGCAAGATCCCTACAAACATACGAACCTTGTTTCAGGGAAGGTTTTGGCCGAAAATTGAGGGAGGCTTTGTTGACGAAACAAAACTTTTATTTTTGTTCTTGTTCTGTCACATGTGGAAAATAAATCACCAATAATACATAGAACTGTAAAAAGTCACGTCAACTGCACGATCTTCAAATTAAATTAATCAAAGCTTCAACGGCTAATCTAATTAGAAAAATAAAAACTATTAGGTAAAAATTGATGTTTTTCAGGAAAATTTATCCTTAAAAACTTGGTCGGAGCCCTGATGCTACGCTAAAACAGAAAAATGACGCAGAAAGACCCCTGATTGTATGTTTTTGCCTGGCACAAAACACTGCTCAGCTTTTGAGTTATTTTCATTTGCTTTAAAATGAGAATGTTGAGGCTTTAAGTTGCAGGTTTGAAAAAATATCTTGAATTTTTTGCAGTGTGCTTCCATGCTCCTTATGGCATCGTTTTGTTGTGTGTTTGTTTGTAAGATTCTATCAGAATATAAAGAAATGCAAGTTTATTCATTGAGTGTTACTGAATCAGTTTCCTTTCAGTTTCTTAATTTTGGGTTTGTTTGAGTCTGTGATTGTTGCTTCTTTTGATTTCAGATGTACTTCTTGCTTCACTCCTGGCGGAAAGATAGGCTGAGCCCTGAGGTTGGATTAGAGCTGCTTGATTACATGTACCCTGACGAAAAAGTGCGAAAATTTGCCGTTGAGTTACTGGATTGTTTGAGGTTTGCCAATTTACGTCATTTGAATATATTCCTTACTGCTTTTGCTATTTCTTCTATCTTCTATTACCTAGTAATCCATAAGTGCAGATCTTTGCTACTGACAATCGCCGTCCAGCCAATGACCTGTAATTTGTACAGAAAATACATTTCTGTAAAGAAAAAAACGATTGATAAAATCTCACTCAAAATCATCTCAGTCAAAATTATCACAATCAAAATCATTGTGAAAACCAAATTCATAAACATTGTCAACATCGCTGTAAAAATTGTTGTCAAAATCCCAGTCAAGATTATTGTGGACACTGCGACTAAAACCCATGATCTTTGGGTTAATAATGATTACGATTGCCCCTTAAGTCTTGAAGACAGGATTATTGCAACACAAAAAAAGCTAAGAGCAGACTCGAATTGATTGTTGCAAATATTCTATGAAGATTATACCACTGCCTGTTAATTGATGTCATATTTCCTTGTCTCATTTTATCATGCTAAAATAAGCTTCTTGAAGAGTTTTAACTGCAGGCTACAGAAATGAAGTTTTATGCCAAAAACTTGTTTTAATTTCGTTGATTTTTCACCACTGTTCGATTAATCATAATTTTTTGTTTCAAACAGAGACAACGAATTGGAATTGTACTTGCTACAGCTTGTTCAAGTAAGCACATTTAGGCCTCCCTTGGAAGACAAGTTTTGATTTATGAACTGTTTTGTTTTGAAAAGTGTAATTTATGATACTATCGATACTGAAGAGTTCGAAGCATTCCAAGGATAAAGATAAATTTTACAACTTCAAAGCATTAAGCTCAAAAGGTTTTTCCTGTAGAAAAGCAAAGGATAGAGGAAGATGTCATTTTAAAGAAAAGCTCCCTTGCTAAGAAGGAAAATCTTATGTGAAATAGAAACGCTATCATGTAGACGCTATCATCATAAATTTCATCATAAATATGTATGCATATTTTTCCTATGCTGTTTGGCACACTCGTGTGCCATTAGTGGAAGTTGTTTCAATCACTCCCTTACTTCAAAAAATATGAACAGGCCACTTGGAAAAGCAGGTGTTGTTGGTCCTGCTCTTTTTAAACGTTATTACGAGTGCTTTCTTCCATAGGTTTTGAAATATGAATCATACCTGGACTGCTCACTTGCACGTTTTTTGCTGAAAAGGGCTCTAAATAATCGCCGTATTGGGCATTTTTTGTTCTGGTATTTGAGGTAAATAAATAACTTGTCTATTTGATGTATTACCTTTATTATGACTTTGTATATTGATTTAGAGGTAGTCATCACTTTTTCATGGAAACACATAACTAATCTATTGCTAGTTCTTGGAGATACAATACGAAAGCTTTTGCTTGTTCATGGCGATTGCAGTTTGAGTTGATAGTTTTTTGTCGAGTAAAATACTTCAGGCGCCAAAGTATAGAGATACAATAATACCGTAGTTTAGGTCTGCAAGAGAACTTGTCGTTCTCCCTATCACTCTGCACGAATGCAGTGTTATGTTTCATCCTAAAAATTCTCTAGTCTAGCTCAAAAAAGGAGTAGTCACATCTGAGCTTTAATTCAAAGATTTTTTCGGAAAAAACCAGCTGGCGCATATTTGTATTGCTTTTACAGTTTGTTAAATCTCGTTTTACTGGCTATAGACACTAGCTTTCCAATCTAGATCTGAGATGCATAACCCGGAGGTAGCTGTCCGATTCGGGCTAATGATGGAGGCCTACTTTAGAGGTAGCGTTGGCCATCTTGAAAGTCTGACTAAGCAGGTAAGGATCTTGCTGCACAGGGAATAATTACCTTTGGAAATTTATAGTCAGGAAAATTTCACCTCGATGTGAATTTGATCGTTTCTTGCAAAAGATAGAGAATTTCAATGTTTGCTCGCTTTTATCATTTTTATCTCATTTTATCATTTCATACCAATTCATGAAAATTTATTGTGAATTGATTACGTTTCTAACGCAAGAATTGATATTCACAACTATATATTTGTTATCTTTCTTCAGTATGAAGCCTTGAATAAACTGAAAACAATTACAGAGATGTTGAAGCAATCGTCACTCAAAAATCAAGTATGACTACTAGCATTTTTTATGTTGCCATTTTTTCAAATCATATTTTTCTTGTCAGTTAGGCCTCTTCAAGTCAGGCTGCCCTCTGGTTTTTCTTATGTTTTCAATAGCAATACCTGAACTCGCGTTTCATTGAAGTACTTGAAATTACTTTGATAAAAAGACGATATTTATGTTGAACATCCTGCTTTGTTCTTCACAGTATTAGGCCCGAACATTTTGCCACGTTAGGGTCAATCTGTGATTGTTAATCAGTTTGGAATAAGATGAAGATTACAGAATTATAGACGTCCGTTTACGTGGTGAATTTCTGCACATGTTGCATTCAGCACTTATTCTACTTTGCATTTACATGACAAATGCCAACACGGGTCGAGATTAGGCTATGATATTTGATCAGAATTGGTTTAACAGAACACAACATTAGATGTCTCATAAATCACCACTTTCATTTCAAGCCGGGATGAGATGCTGTGTTAAGGTTAAATCGCGTGAACACCATAAGGACTTATACTGCCAACCGACTTGGAAGTCAGCCCTTCCTTAATTCATCATGGTTTGAAAGTTCAGATGCTAACGGCTTCTTAATCACTTATTTTTCTATTTTGATACAGGAACAGCTTGAATTAATGAGGGAATGTCTGAGAAAATATAATGACAAGGGAACATTTACAGGCTTGGATTGCCCCTTGGATCCAAGTATACGACTCAAAGGAATTAAGTAAGTTACGCATCTTTCGAATTTATGTTTTCATGTTTACTTGTGGCAACCTTTTTCTCACTTAGATTATATTATCTTTAGTTTACATACTGGTAGGTCCGCTAAAATGTTGATATGGGGAACAAAAAATTGCCTCAGAAAAACATTAACAACACTCAGACCCCGTTTACACTGTGCCGGATAAATTTTATCCGCATTAAAATTAGTTCCGATAGGCGTCGCGTGTACACTAGACCCCCGGTATCCGCACGAATTTGAGAGCGGCTATCCGAACAAAATTAGTTCCCCTGGGAAAGTGGAATTAAATTAGTTCGGATAGCTATGTGGTAGAGTGTAAACGCTTTTATCCGGATAAATTTTATCCACATCGTATCTTGCTCGAAAGCGATTGGCTATTTCATCCAATTTAGTTTTCACTGTCTCCCAATCAAGAGCTTTCGCCATCTTGGTTGACTTGTTGTCGATAAATACTCGTGTTTAAAGTGCAGTATCTTGCCAGTCCACGTAAAATTGGCATCCTTGTCAGCTTTCCCTACTTTCGTTGCTAGTTCAGTGTCATTTTGTTTCAAGAACAAACTATTTTAATAGGCCTAATTTGTATTGACAATATCTTTGGATTTGGTCTAAAAGAGAAGCAGATGATTCTGAAGAGAGAATGAAATCTTTTTACGTTGGCACGAATTTTGTTATTATTTTGTTGCCCAGAGAAGACTTCATTTTGGGCGTTCTATGCATGATTTAGGTCATGTGACTGTAGTTATCCGGCACAGTGTAAACGGGAGGGCAAAGTGGACAAAATTTGTGCGGCACAGTGTAAACGCAAATCAATCCGAACAAATTTTATGCGGATAAATTTTATCCGGCACAGTGTAAACAGGGTCTCAAGCCTCAAATTGTCCAAAAAATAAGAACATCGAGCCTAGTGTGACAATAAAGTGACCTTTTTACCGAGAATGCACATTGCAAGCTTGATGCTTCTGAAAAAAGTCATGTCGTATTCATTGTATTGATCCCCAAATTAAAGCTTTTAAAGAACTTTTATGTGCATCTTTGCATGAAGGAGAATGTTTTTTTTCAAAATCAGACATATTAATTGTTTGAGACCGTATAGATCTGCTCAAGCTACACCTACTGTATATGTCAAAACTATGCAAGTCAACTGATTATTAGTCAACTGATTATAACAAATGCCCCACGCCAATGTCCTAATACTATTTTTTGCATGAATGCAGAGACAATTTCCCTTTTGAAAACCTTATAGAATCTCTCCTTTGGTTCCAGAGCAAAGTCATGCAAGTACATGAATTCAGCTAAGCGTCCGCTTTGGCTTGTCTTTGAAAATGATGACGAACTTGGCAATGATGTTCTCATAATTTTCAAGAATGGAGATGGTAAACTATCAATTTATGTATAATCTTTGACATTTACTTAATAAACCTGTATTTTCCAAAGAGTACATTCCTTTTTCTCGTTTTAATCTTTGCTGCAACTCTCGTTTATTGATTGTTTTTTGTACTAAGTTCTTGGCAACGTATCCAACGAGCGATTTAATCTAACCAAACCATCACTTAAAACTATCCATCTTCTGTTTCTTCTGACATCGGTTCAACATTAACATAAATACTCCTTAATCTTCTTGATGTCTTATCTCATTAAACTATCCATCTTGTGTTTCTTTCGACATATTTTCAACATTAACATTAATACTCCTTAATCTTCGTGATGTTTTATCTCCAATTATCTCCTTTATGTTTTAACAATTATGCTAAGAGAATATGTAGGCGACTGTTTACCTATCAGTTTTAAATTTTTCTCTAGATTTGAGGCAAGACCTACTAACCTTGCAGACTTTAAGAATTATGGACCGTGTGTGGAAATCGGAAGGACTTGATCTCAGGTATAATGAGTTAAAGTAATCTTTGAGACCATTCCTTTGCTGACACAAATTTAAGCAATCAATTTCCAGATACTTTTTGCCACTAAAAATTTTACCGTCTTCTAACAGCTCAGGATTCTTCGTTGTGTGCAGTGCATTTTCAGCCTCGTTTGTGTACGTACTGGAACGAGTCGAAGCATGTTGACAGAGTCTTGAAGGCCAAGTGCTTTTCCGAAACAATGCTTGGTTCTTATCTTTTATTTCAGAGTTTTAACATTGATCTCCTGGTGATGAATCGATACTTTTTTAAGTATATACCCATTGAATCAACAGTAAAAAACTCCCTTGCAAGAATGTAGCATATTTTTTAAATGGCTTTAGCGCTATCGTTATTGTAGCTATGATTGTCACCCCTACTACTGTCTACTAAAAACAGGACAATCGTCATCTGCATGAGAGTGATATGACAGTGTTTTTTGTAGAATAAAGCCATATAACTGCTTGCCTACGGGTGACATGATTGGGTTAATCGAAGTAGTTCAAAATGCAGAAACAATCGCGAGAATTCAGGCAAAATCAGGTTTGGGTGGAGTGATCAAGGACAAAATTTTGTATGAGTGGTTACGTGGCATTGGTACTAGCCCTGAAAGGTATGTTATTTCCTTAAAGTTTTTTCTTCTCCAGATACATCAATATCTTGCTCCTACCATCTTATACTACCTAATAAAACCCTGATAATCGTACATGATACATAATTGATAAACCCTTGAGATATACGAATGAAACAATATTTGTTCTACCTTTCAAAGCTGTTGAAGTTTGTTTATATGTGTATTTGGCAAGTTCTTCATGTAACGGATCTAAAAAAGTGTTGATGTTATAAAATCAATTTATTTAAATTTCAACCGATTAACCTGAGAAATCGTAATGAAAAACGCAAAGTGTGCAAATTTAGTTACGTGTGCTACAAGTAGGCTGTGGTATGGCTACATGAGTATAGACTCTTTTCCCATCTGATCACGTTAATTAAGTCTCTTTTCTAAACTTTATGAAAAGAGCCAATTAGTAGTTATTTTTTGCCAACGTCAAAACTTTATTGGTTTTTTTTAAATATCAAACATCGTTGCATAGGTATTAAATGGAGCTCTTTCAAGCAATCAAGAATGCTAATGTAAGTTATGAAATGCTAGATTAATATATTTGTTGTAACCATCATTCTAAAATATTTCAGATGCAATCAAATGGTTGAGAAATTCCGCTTGTCTTGTGCTGGCTATTGTGTTGCTACGTACGTCCTTGGCATTGGGGACAGGCACAATGACAACCTAATGATACATTCAAATGGGGAGGTATTGCTATTCTTGTCTTCTTATTCTACACCCATGCTCATTTAGTCTCGGTACAATCGATCCTTTTTTTGTTATACATCACGCATGAACAAACTTCTAGAATTTTATACAAGATTTGATCTTTATTGAGCAAATTTCTATCTTACAGATGTTCCACATCGACTTTGGTCATATTCTTGGAAATTATAAGCGAAAGTTCGGAATTCGTCGTGAAAGAGTTCCATTTGTGTTGACTGAGGATTTCCTGCACATCATATACAACCGTCAAAAGAGTACTCAAGTTGTCGATAGGTAATTGGTGGTAGCATCTTAAGATATTTTTTCTTCGAATTTCCTGCTTTTATTTTCCACTAAAACGACACACCAACATGAAGGAACGAAGGACTCAGTGGCTTAAATACCATAATCTTAGATTCCTTTTTTATTTTTTTGGGCTTTGGGCGACAGCAAATGTTTTTGAATAAGATAAAAGTCAAGTATCATTTTTCAGATTTTTCTTCTTAGTAGTCAAAACGTCTTAATAGAAATCAAATGCAATTATGACTAGCTTAGTTCTTATGAATTTGTGAAATATCTTGAATATGATAAAAGCATGTCATAGAAATGCTATCGAAAACAATCTTTTGAAACATATGATAATTTGAATCAAATACGTTTAACTACGCTGGGTTAATCATGCTAGTAAATCAATTTTCTATTTTCTTAAAAAATGTAATGTTTCTAATTTCATGATATTTGCTTTAGGTTTCGTCAACTTTGCCTAGATGCCTTCATGAAGCTGAGACGCCAGGGCAACTTGTTCATGACTTTGTTCTCAATGATGATGTATACAGGGCTACCAGAGCTTCAAAAACCTGAGGATCTGGAATATCTTCGCAACAGTCTCGCTCTTGGGAAAACAGACGAGGAAGGCGAACAGCATTTTGTTAATTGCTTCAACAAGGCTCATGAAGGAAGCTGGATGACGTCTGTGAATTGGTTGGTACACAACTTTAAACATTACTGGATCGGTTAAGTATACCATTGAAGCGGTGGATAAAAAATTGGTAGTTGCTTAGCATTTCTGCCAAAGGAAGGATCTTATTTTGAACTTGTAATGGTGCGTTGATCACCATATAGTCCATGTTTGAATTTGACTGTTTGTTGTTGGCAGTACAGATAATTGTGTGTATCTGAAAGATATCACCTCTCATGTCATTTATACATCGAAACTTGCAGCAAATTTAATTAAGAGCTAGAAATCTAAAACTTCATTAAGCGCTGTCCTTATCACCTGATGATACTCTATTTAATTTAAACAAATTCTTATAACAATTGTTAGAAATAATATCTTCAGTTGACATCGAAATTTTAGGCCTATTATAAGTCGTTCTTGATAGGCCATTGAATGCCTTATTATGTCACAATATATCTCTCCAGTAAGTTAGGTTTTCCCTAGTAAAAAGTGAGTAAAAAATAAGTAGTACCCACATCGATAGTTATCAGATAATTGGGTATATATAAATTTTGAAATCGTACCTCGAAACCAAACTTGACCGAAAACTACCGGTTCTTCACAATAGAGTGTATCAATTTTCTCAATGTGTCAAAAAGTAATCTTTTTCTTTGTGGGTATTTATTTGTGGGTTCATAGTTACTCCAGTTTTGCTTAAGCTCTTCCTAACAAATAAACCAACTATCCTTAATTAAAAGGTTAAATGCTGCAAGCTCGATGGCCTGACCATAAGAAATGACTTTCGAGGTCAGCTTTATCAACATAATTGAAAGTTTATCGTGAGATAAGTATTAAGATTGAATAATTAGATCGTCATTGAGATTTCATATTAGAGGCAAGCAAAGTTTAAGATAATTACATTATATTAGTTCTTAGATATTTGTATGTGTTATAAAAAAACCATGGTCATACAAAAATCAGCACTACTAACCTTAAGGAATGTGGTATTATGATGACATCAGCAAAATATAAATGTGTGAGAATCTTGTGAGGAACGGCTTAGTACTTTCTGTTCAAAATTCTGAGTTAATTCTGCTCGTTTTAGATTTGAATTAAGCTACAATGCCTGCCAGAATTATATGGAACACCCGGCAATTTCGTTGTATTTTTTTATATCTTTCCTTAAATACTACAACTTCCACCCCCTTCCCCCCTAAAACAATGCTGGTACTCTAGAAAAATATCATATAAGTTTTAAGTATCATAAATATCGTACCTGCCAAAAAACGTATCTCCTTTTTTGTAGTAAATAAGCATTGATAAACCCATTGGTATTTTATAGTAAATTATACAACGAGGAGCCGGGGGATGACTCAATTCGTCTTTGAAAATTTACGTCAATGTTCAAAGACTTTCGACAGGCATTGTAGATTTTTATTTTTGCATGCAAGGTATTAAATTCGTATCACTTACGTTGTTTCTTGTTATCAAAAGGACTAGTGCTATCTTTATGATTGATCATTAGATCTATTTAACCTCCGTCAAATTTTTTCTTTATCTCGTTTATTATTCATGGCAGATAAATCCGCTTTGAGAAATGCTTGCCGCATTGCTAGATCGAGAGAACCTTTCCAATCACTGGTGCAATTGTCAGTAAAATGACTAATTGCGTCCACTGAAAATTACAATTTAACCAATCCAGATAATTTTGAACAGAATTTAAATGCTATCAAAGTCATATTCTCCTTGAGAAATGGTTGCCGCATTGACAAAAAATAATCACACGTGGTTCCATCACGGAAATAATATAACAATAATCATTTTCTATACATCATAACAAACATTACTTAAAAACCGGCAACTATTTCTAATAGCATGTAAACATGAACCATTTTACAGTACACAAACGGCATCTGAAGTTAACTTCAGTGGATGAAAATTCACTCGACGCTGACGTCATACTAAGTGATTATTTAGGTGATTAGGCCCTTAAGAAAATAAGAACAGTATTTGGATTTTATGCTGCCAGGGAATTATCGATTCGTTATAGCCTAAAACTTAGTTAATAGAAGCATAGGAAAAGTTCTGCAATAGGCTAGAAAGCACTGACTTTGTATTTACATCTTGTGGAATGCATTGGTTCAGGTAAATACATAATGTTTAAATTGTTGATAATCTGTATCAAAAAACATTTACTTTTGACTTGAAAATTTTGCCACCGTCCCATTTTTCAACGTACGGTCTAGGTGTTAACATTCCTTGTTTGTCTTATTACATACTTATAAATATGATTCCCAATCAAGAAAGATGGTAAAAGCTTTTTTTTAAAGATTGGACTAAGATAAGCATTTCTAGCTACTTTGCACTGTAGCAAAGACAGATTTTGTCATGTGTCTCGTGTAGTAATATACTATTGTTAAATATGGAGTGAAAGAAGCTGGCAGCCTTTCTTGTCCATGTTTGACTCTGTATTGACGCATTCACAGTTAGAAGATTTTTCTTTTCTCTTCACGTATTTAGATAAATGGATCGTCTGACCGTAAACTAGCAAACTTGCGACCAACAAAGCAACATTAACCTGCAATGAGAAAATATCCAATCACTAAGATGTAAAGGTTTGGGTGCTTTTCGCTATAGTGTTCTTTCTTGGAAAATTTTCTCCAGTACTGTTCTGTAAATATCAACAAATTCAATGATACTTCAATATTCAAACAACTATAAACGATGTAAAAGAGAACACTGATGTTGTTAGAATGAGAAATTACATTTCCAATGGCTGAAAAACAAAAGAGGCGGCCACGTGTTGAATAGAATAGAAGCTTCAATTTGTATTATTGTAAAATTTCCAAACATGCAGAGCCAGCATAAATGTATTTCATTTGATCCTAGATTATTGAACTGTCTTCAGACTTGATCGATTACATATACTATCAGTTGCTTAGAACAAAAAGATTGATCCATTCAAATTCCTGAAAGCCTTAAAAAGAGCGAACAACATAGTACCCAGAATGGATTGCTATCCAATTTCTTTTCGGTGACGAGGCAGAGTGGGTACTGGAGCGAACCAAAAACCACGCCCATCAAAAGAGAGAGACAAGTGACTTTTCCATAGTGCTCCGGAGGAAACCTGAAAACAAATTAAAAGGGCCTTTTATAAATTGATATATTAAAAAATTCCGTCATTGCACGTAATTTCTGTAACATTCCTATTATCAATAAGAAAGTACCAGAAAAGGTAACCTTGCTATATTCGAAGATAAAATTTATATTTTATAAGTTTATAACTAAGCAAGATGCTTGTGTACTTACATAACAGCGAAATACGTAAAATGCACCGCATAAAAGAAGCCACGAAGAAGAATTTGAGCCAAAATCGCCAGAATCTGAAAGAAAGGTATTAAAAAAGGGAAATATCAATGAACTGACTGTAATAAACAATTTGTTATCATATTAGCATCAAAGTTAAAAATCAAACATGATTATTAGACATTTTTGTTCCGTTGTCAAATGTCATATATAATCATGCTACATAATTATGCCATTGTAATGGTTTTATCTGAGGTTTCTTAAAGCCATCTTGTGCTCAATCTATAAGTCACAGAGCCGAACAATCTGGGCAGCCAAAACAATAAAATTAAGTTTCTACATGAATTAAAGATTATGAACAAGGCAGGGTATAAAGAGCATCTGTTTAAGGTTGTCAGTAAGGAATAAAAAATCAGTTATCATTTAAGGATTCAAGTGTTTGGCAAGAACTTCGGCAAATATTCGTTGATCGTCGGGTCGATTTTGAAGTTCTCATAAGAAACACATTCTTAAAAACCCTAAAACCAGAGCCTTTTGAGAAGAATCAGAAAAGAGTTTCTTCTGTTTCTTCTCAGTTACCATTGGGTACTTTGTACTCATTAGAGAATTTATATTTGAGAGTAGATACCTTATTCTTGAATCAAGGTAAGTAGATAAGGGTCACCTTACTTTGTGCTTCGGGCACAGAAACGAATAAACACTTACCTGAGCCTCTAGTATCGGGACCAGCACAGAAATCCCCATTATTATGTTGATTGTGCAGGTAATTCTCAGAGCTACTGCGCATCGTTTAATTTTCCATATTCGGTAATCTTCGTATGAGGAATTTTTTGATAGTTTTGGAATTCTGTCAATATATGGACCAAGAACGGGTGCAAATATCACCCCAACAAACTGTCCAATTCCAAATATGTTTATATAATTGTTCACTAGAGAGAAAAGAATGATATTTGTACAGAAACGTTAAAAATCCTCTTGCTTTTTGGTGCCCTTTTCTCTATTGCTTTGCCTGTCGCTCAATTTGTACTCATCAAAGTACTGTTCTTTACTGTTTTGTACTGTATTGCACTGCATTGCATTGCATTGTATTGTATTGTATTGCATTGTATTGTATTGCATTGTATTGCATTGCATTGCATTGCATTGCATTGCATTGCATTGCATTGCATTGCATTGCATTGTATTGCATTGCATTGCATTGCATTGCATTGCATTGCATTGTATTGTATTGCATTGCATTGCATTGTATTGTATTGTATTGTATTGCATTGCATTGCATTGCATTGCATTGCATTGCATTGTATTGTATTGTATTGTATTGTATTGTATTGTATTTTGCTGGGCTGCACCGTATCATACCAAAGCTTTCAAATATTGAAAGATTTGCATTTTTGATAATTGTTTCGTGGTTCGTACCTGTTTTCTCGTTAACTCCTGGAATGCTTTTCAGCAGACTCTCAAATGTAGTGACAAAGAAATACAAGCGTAGATGGAATATTGAAGCAAAAAACACATGCCACAAGAATATACCAGATATTAGCAGCTTAGCAAGCGAGGACTTGTCCACTTGGGAATTACCTTTGAAAATAATGATATATAAATAACAGAGGTTAGTGTAAGCTAATATAAGATTGCACCGGGTTTTTTGTTAAAGTATATTCTTATAGAAGGGTTTAGTTTGATTGCATTGTTTCATCGCTCAATTGCAATTTGCAATTGAAGTGAATACTATCATCACATTGCATTGATTATTCTAATTTTTTGTTTCTCTCCGTAAATTAACAAGTTTAAGTTCAATTGGTTTACGTTCTTATGACCTTCTTGGTCAATTTCATTGCAATATACTGATATTTAACCAATATTTGGTTCAAAAGTATCTAAAGATCAATGGTCAGGCTAGAAAGAGGTTTATATAAAGGTATCAAACAAGTTTACGCAAATAACTATTTATTATTAAAACAAATTCCAATTCAAAGCAGTTTCTATTCAAGACCTTGATTCTTGGTGCTTTATTTTCTTGCTAGATACACAACACACAGCCTCTCCGGCCACAAATAAATGCTTCTATTTTCATAGAATATACTAAGAATATGATATACTATGACTTTTCTGTTGCTGATTTTCCTATTCTTTCAACAATGCTTGAAATCAAAAGAACTTTTAAATCAATACCTGTTTGGATTTCTTCTTGCTTTGGTGGTCCATCTAAAAAGCTGTCAATGCTCAGCTTAGAGCCTTGAAGGATGACGTTAAACGTTGTTAATTTCATGTTATCCATGTCACAGACTTTTTCTAAGCTTTGCACCGATCCCCTGTTTGACCAGATTTTCTTTGCTGGAGACACTGCCCAAGTTGAGTCATCTGTCGATAGAATCGCAAAAAATGAACAGTAACAGAAAAATCGGCAATCTTTCATCAATAGTAGGATTTACCGACGAAGACATAGATGAAGAAAGTTTAGATGCTATCTCACCGTCTGATTAATGATTTTACCGACAAAGTAAGGATTTTGTGGACCAGCTGAAATTTACCGACCAACTCTACCCCTATGCATTGGGGAAAATCACATCAGCTACAGCCAACCGCCTCCCCCTTCCCTCCACCGCTAGCTACGCCCCTGCTCGTGGGTATACCGGAATCGGTAGGAATTGAGTCAAACTTTATTTGATGCGAGTTAGGCACAAGGCATTTCCATAATTGTGTTAGGAAACCTAAAATTCTAGTTTAGGTACTAGTTTTGTTAGAAGGCGTTTCTTTATCTAAGCTTCAAACTGCATTATGGCCGGCAAAATATCATCAGTTTTTAACATAATGAGTAAAATCTAGGAACGTCACAAAAAAGATTGTATGGTGGCAAAACCTGTCATGTTTAGAAAAAGGTATGTCAGCACCTCAAAAGTACCGCCCCCCTCCCTCCCCCCCCTCTTCGCTATATGAACAGAGAGAGCTTTCTCGTAACTAGATTCATATCATCTAGTGAAATTACGAAAATTCAATGAGAATGAGCAAGCTGATCAGATAAGTCAGGTTTTATACCAATATCACCTTTTTCGTCTTGATTAAATTTTTCTTCTTCCTCCTTTTCTATTTTCTCGTCAACAAGACTAACGCAGATTTTTGTGCTAACTTCGACATTTTCTCCATAAAGGGAATCCTTTAACAGTTTCCTTTTTGCTGCATGTGCCATCAATTGTTCTTTTGACGGCACAAAAATAGCTGTTGCAATCAGCACGAGAATCGCCGAGAACCCACAGTACAACGACAGCAACACTTCAATTTTAAACAGCTTCTGAATTTCGTAAAGAACCTAGCAAACAAGTGTGATCTCATTGAGTTCAGCAAATAGAAGCGAATCGAAAAGTAGAGTTCTAAAGTGATGATATCACAATAATCCCTTTTCAAAATTTTTTGAATTCTTATTGCATATCCTGAAAAAGAGTAATGGATTGCTTCAAACATGCAAATTTAACTAAATGTGTCACGAATTTGCTGAGATTTGGCCACATCATGAGCGCAGGCTCTTTCCCCTTTGGCTATGAACCAGTCAAAAGTAACAGAAATCTGTTAGCAAACATGAAATTTCATGGACCATAAATACATTATCCAATTATTAACATATATTTCTCTGATTTTCCATATATAACTTATGGCAAACACGTACAACTCTAAACAATCCAAAGTGTGATAAAAATCAACAATTTCTTATGATGATAATCAACAATAAACTCGGAGGACTTTCATCTCGGAGGATTCAATTATCAACTATTATTAAAGTCATCAGAAAACTGCGAGAAAGTTAGGCAATAGATTTTTTGATTCATTAAAGTTAGAAAACAGCCAATGTGACGAAAACGTAATTAGAAGGCAATTATAAAACAACTAGAATTAATTTCAAATGAGTTTCAATCACGAACAGTTGTTCGACAGAGAAAATGTTCTCGGTTGCTGCTTTTGATCAATAGCTTTACAGCAAGAATGGCTATTTGAAGAAGATTGCTCAGTCAACAAGCTTTAGAAGGTTTGTGAGTGCACAAATATCGAGCGAATGGATATGGATTGAGAAAATGCATGTGATCACGTCACGAAATCTTACATTTGATTACTTTCATACGTTGCAAAATTTGGATGCGTCAACGGTGCATTACTTTTAGATCACCCACGTTACTTTCGTAAAAACATTCCATGCATTGGTAGTCTTTGATGTTTCTTTGAGGTCTGCACTAATAAGGGATAGAAATCGAGGGGAGCCTAACCTTGATGACGTGTAACACAACAGCACTTGCATTGTATGCTCCATTTTGCAGTCCGAGAATCGTCGATTGGTTATTATGACATAGAAACGCAGACACCTGAAAAAGTGGAGTGAACAGTGGCTATGATTGGTCAAATATCATGTATCAGGGGGGAATAAAGGGGGCGTAGATAGGATGCGTGTGATCCCAGTAAGCAAAGCAATGCATGTCGCAATAAAGGCAGGGGATATTTTTGAGAATGTCGCTTTCTCAAAATGAAAGAAATGCAGAATTTGTTATCGGGCATCTACCCTTGAATTATTTTTATATTTTTTGTTTTTTTTTGTTTCTATTGTAGCAAAAACCACATTCACATTCATATGTACTACCCATGCGTTGCTAAATTAGCGGATTTGAATTTGTGCGTATTCGAAAAAGTTCCCATTTCTACTGGCAATTCTGAAAGGCTTGGCGCCACCTCAATTGGTCTCACCTGAAAGAATGCGAAGCTGCAAAATACGCCAGCAGATGACATAGTTAGAACAGCCGGATAGATCAAATACTGGCTCTCTGTCAAAAATACAAAAAAACATGGTAAATATATTGGAGACAAACAGCTGCAAATTGAAGCAATGAAGCTTTTTGACGAAAATTACCAAAGGTTTTCACCTGGTTCACCGTAACCATTGCCAATATAGGATCCACTATTCCACAAAAAAATCCAAATTTCAAACTGAAAAGCAAACAGACTGGAACCATTATCAGGAAAAGCAACTAAAAACCTAAGATCATCATCCTTTCGCCGAGAAATCAATTCTAATTGCTTATCTACATAAACTATGTTTGCGAACCTTTTTGACATATTTTGGCCATCTAACCTACCTGGTGAAAAATTGATCCAAATGGCAGATGACATTCCAAAGAGGGCACTGAAACAGAGAATAGAACTTTAGTTCATACCATAAGTCAGATGACATCATTATTATGAAGTAATCGTGGGAGCTGGGGCTACAAGAGGCACCTGCTCCACCCAATTTTTTAGAAAAAGAAGTGCCCCTTTTTGCTCACATGTACCCCTTCCCCACTTTAAGAATGCTTTCTACGACTAGTTATAAAGCAGCCCAACTTCGATAATATCTTTATTCTCCTTCGCCCACTACATCCAAGTTATGTTATAGTTTGATTATTCTATCGGCCCTTCATAGGTTCTCTCATCCCCTTTTATCAAAAATGCACAAAGTTTCTGTATTGAATTAAAGTCACAAGCAGTCACTGTTGTTAAGCCTTTTGTTCCGATTGGTGATAGAAAATTTGAGAATTGTAGAATTCTATGTTTGACGTCTCCTCTGTGAGTTATCAAATGCTCAAATCAAAAAGCTCGCGAGGCTTTTGTAGGAACATGTTCAAAAATTCTGAAAAAATATCTAATAAATGGGGGGAAAATTTTCCACTGAATAAATTCACTGAAGGTTTTAGCACCGGATAATTGGTATATAAAGGTAAATCCTGGGTAGATTTTTAGAAAATCGAACTTTAGCCAAGAACAAAATCTCGCATGAAGTATCTAGCAACAAAAAAGAATTTTGAAATGACTGTCTGATCGCCATTTCATACAACATAGGTGCCTTCAGGCTTCAAACACGTATAAAATCAAAAAAGATTAAATTCAACCAAATAAAAACTTTTCAAAGTATGAGAAAAGTGGATTTAAAATGGGGCTAAGAATCACAACAAAATGATTGAAACTTTTAAGCTCCTCGAGTTATATAAAGTGGTCGAAGAAAGGAAAAAATTAAGTTAAGCTCAAACATCAAAACAGAACAGATTTTCACCTGCTTATGTATCTGGCCTTCTTTGGACCACAAATATCTAGCAGGTAACCAACAGGAAATGACACCAAACCAACAGTTATAAACCCAACCATGTACGCAATGTTCAGACTATTTTCTTGAGTTGAACACAGGTCTTGGCTGTTAATGGCTGAAGAGTTCTCTCCTCTTGGATGCAAGCAGAGCTCTGAAAAGTAGTCTTCTTTTTTCAAAACATAAGCAAGAGAAGCCCATCCAAAAATTGGGCCTGAGCAAAACAACATCTCAAAAACACTGTATGAAAACATTACTTTTCTAAAAGCTCTTGACTCGGTCTTTCGTAGCATAGTCATATGACATTAAGAACCAACAACCAACCAGCTTTCTTTGTGTTGTCAGCAGTTACATCCTAATGTTTCCACGGTGCAGACAAGGGCAGTGAGAATTGTTTCTCTTCACAGTCTCATTGTTCAATGAAACTACGAAACGTCCTTTGATTAAAAGATAAAGATGCTCATTATGATAGTTGCCATGACTCCAATTATGCAGAAAAACCATCTTTATAATCATCATGACTATAAAACAACAATTTCTTTTTATTATAGTTCTTTTAAAATATACAGTATTAATTTCATTGTACTCGCAAACAATCAATTTATAATAGTACAGGTACTTTTGAAGACGACTGCTGTTGTAATGTCTGGTTAGGCTGCTCATGTCAAGCAGGTGAAGAGTGAGAGAAACAGTTGCAAAATCAAGAAGTGCGCTGTATGCGCTGGTGTATCTTAAATTCATCTTACGGTTTACAACAGGATAAAACCAGACAAACAACATTTGATATTTATCGTTCGTTGTTTGCAGAGCTCATAACTAAGTTATTCTGTCTAGCTTCGAAAAGAAATGTAGATATTCATCAGAAACACCATCCCAAAACATGGGCTAACGTTTATAAATCAATAATAAGCAGAGGCCCTGGCAGTCTATCTCACATTGGCCTCAACTTCCCTACAAATAAGGATATTGATATAAGAAACCTAGAACTATGGCTACATTTTGTTTTAAGCCTTCACTTCCTAAACCTCTGTTCCTGAAAAAATAATCTCAAAAGGTGTGGTGATTGGAAACAGTAAATGCTGTTTGATTGAATTTTGGTTTCGATATTTGGACATGTTCATTCTTAGGTTTCAGATTAGACAGGGGCTATTGCATCTTTTTAACTGTATCACCTGTAGGACTGATACTGATCTCTGCAAAATCTAAAACTACACGGATGCTTAGTAAATTGCTCCACTCCGCTAGTTTACAAGATGTATCCCTCGATGGATAGTCCTCATCAACAGGCAGTTAAAAAATACACAACTTAAATACGAGCAGAATGTGCCAGTGTACTTACATTCGTGCACATTGTGAACATAGCTTCGTCGCGATGGTCGAACTATGAGATCGAACTGTGCTGTGTTGTCGCTTTTATTCCACCACACGAAACGAAACTCTTTAGATCTCTGACGTTTGCAAATCCAGATGCCCTAAGTTATGCAGATCAAAGCAGGTGGAACACGATCATATGTAAGCTGGTCAGAATATGAATACACAGTCAGGGGGACAAGCAACAAGCAGAAAAAGCCAGTCGGCTGAATATGGAAACCAAATTAGATCAGTGAATAAAACGAGCTCTATATGCTATGCAAGGAAAACTTCAAAACTGAGATAACAAAAATGTGCTGGCTGCTAAAACGTAGGGAGATATGTGTACTTCAATGAAACGTGGCCTCTGGTAGACGATGTTATATGAGAGCAAAAACAATCATCATCTTCGACAAAAATAGTAGGAGAATATTTGCATAACTGCAAAAAGAAGAAATACAGTAATAACCGCATGTAAGAACCTAGGGATTTAAGAACCTTTTGGCTGAAATTTTCTTTTTTTATACTCCAAAATATAAGAACCTGTCTAGCCAAACAATTTTCAAAAGGTTACAAAAGGCTCTTTAACCATTTAACTTATATACCTTTTAACCACAAGCCAAAAAGGTGACAAAAAATTGAATTGTTAAATAAAATTCAAAATGCACAATGTATGTTGAATTTTAACTGTTATCATGAGACAATTATTGCTACTATTTTATATAAAGTACTGCATCATTGATTCATTGTTGGTGGGCTTTGGCAACATTGGTACACTATCAAATATTTAGAATGAAGAACAGGCCAGATTTAATGCTATTTTCTGATAATCGACAAAAGCATCTACTCTGTGATGATTAAAAACCTAACTGAAACCTATTTAGCCCAAACTGTCAATTAAGAAAAACTTACGAAACAATGAGTATTTAAATTTCCAGGACATTAAGAAACTGGAATACTCAACATCGGCCTTTCTTTCTTATAAAAAAATGAGTAAAAATGAGTATATGTATAAAGAATTTTTTTCACATTTAATTATTTTTGGCTTCTATAGTTGTCTTAAAAGCTGATACTTAAAGAAGACTTAAAAAAAGGCTCATAGGAAAACTATAATGTCCGCCCCCCCCCCCCATATTTAACCTTGGCAAACTTCAAATATTTATTGATGCTGAGTTAACTGTCATGCTTCAAACATGCTTTGATCGAAGAATTTAAAAGCTTATAGGGGGGGGGGAGCTAAACATGCTAAAAGCCAAAGGAAGATCCTTGTGTTCCTTTAAGTACATTTCTAAAATTTTATGGCAGGGTCTAAGACCCCCCAGCCGGAACTTTTGTGGTCCCTGGACG